TTCGCATTTTGAATCAAATTAGTTCAATTTTTCGCAATTCTTATAATTAGGACTTTGAATGCATTTAAATTAATTAAAATAATAATTTTAGTCTGAGCATTAACAATTAGAATTTTATAAGATCATGTCATATTAGCATCCCTAACAAGTAGTGTAATCACTAGTACAATTTTAACACCCAAGCACTTTACAATTTACGCAAGTAAAATTTTGATCCAATCCTTTTTGATCTTTACAAACACATTAATTATTTTAATAAATAAAATTATTTTCATCACAACTTAAACATGAATTTGGCCCTTTTTAGAAACATGTTTTGCAAGTTTAATTACAATCAAAGTATTTTCCTTTATCTATATATGTATTTGGTGGAGGTAATTCATTTTAACATTTATCTTTATAAAAATATTAAGTATTTTTACAATCCAAACATTATCCATTAGAATCGCAATATTTTGTGCAGTTCTTACATTCTGTACAAATAAAATAATCAAATTATTTTTTTTCACAATATGTTTTATCAGGTTGATCCTTAAAGCATGTATTATTGTAGAGATATTAACCTGAATTACATGTTATGCACTTACTTTTTTCACTTTAACAATTTTAACATTCTTCTGAACACTAAGAGCAAACTTATAGTTATTAACTTGTATTATCAGTATTGTTGAAATATTTTTAAGGACACTGATTTACACATTGATCATTGAAATTTATTGTTTAATTAATTAAATTACAATTTAACATATTAAATTGAATAAATTAACTTGTTATGTTATATATTTATGAAAGATACCAAGTAGCATAATTATAAGTATTGTCATTATTAATATTAAGCAAAGCTCTTACACCATTACCACAGTCATTTTTATTAGCACAAAAATTAAAACCATTAATTCCACCAATTGTATTTTATTAGTTTTTAACTTAAAAATTTTGCATTTACTGTTAACTAGTTGATCTATACTTATTATCACTACCATCAGAGTAAGATTAGTTAAAAGAATATGTATTGTTTCTATCATCATAAATTTAAAATTAATAATAATTGTTACCCGAATATTAATCTTCAGGGAAATAAATATAATTTAAATTGATTTCGCTTATAGTTTATAAAGATTTTGTAGAAAATTAAATTTAAAATCCTTTTTAATTATCATAAGTATTATTTATATAATCTAGGATTAAACTATAATATTCTTATTAGATTGAATTATAGCCTGTTATGAAGCCCAATGCTTTCATATTTATTTTATAGTTTTCAGGTTTATCAAATGTTTAATTAATATTATTACTAAATTTTGGGTTTTTTATTTAGTATTATCTAAAATAAACATTTTTCAGACATATTTCAGAAATTTAAAAGCATACTTCATTTTCACCATTAATACTAAATGATAATTAATTTTTTATATCAACTATTTAGGTTATATTGAAATGACCCCATTTAAAAAAATAATCTAATTTATATATGCTTACTAAATAGCTTTTATTAAATGGGCATTAAGATATTTTAGGTTAGAGAATATAAGTATTAGACTTGCTAATGCAAACATTTTATTGAATGGTCACATTACTAGTTGGAATGCTAGTATACTACTAAGCAAGGAGTAATCTGAAATTATAAATTAGTATTAGGATGAAATATTTGTATTAGTAGATCGTTAACATATCCAACTATACCATCAATTTAATATTTTAGAGATATCTTAATTAGATAGTTAGTTTTTTTTTTTTAGAATCAAATTTTGTTTATTTCAAATATTTTATCTTTCTTTCTTCACAATTTTTAATTTATCTAAGCAAATTATTTATAGTCTTAATAAGATACTTCTTTGACTATAATTAATTTGAAAAATATATATTTCGTAGACTCTAATCAGAAAATCCATAAATATCAAGTGTAACAACAATTTATTAAATTAATTATAAATGTATTAATTTTTGGCGGCATGGTTGATAAATATTAAAAGAGGAATATTTTAGAACTAAACATAGTTAGAGAAGAAATAGTCATATTACCAGCCAAAAATAAAGACTTTTTAAGTGGATACATAAAAATATCTCAAATTTAAGAAATAAAAAAACATTATTTTCAAATAATTTTTTATTTTCTTTAAATTAGTTTTATGGTTAAAGAAGGGAAATAAATAGCACTAATCTAATCTAAAACATTAAAATATAATCATAAATTGCGTCTTTTGTATTTATTAATAATTATAATTAATTTCTTTTATTTTTAATATAAAGTCTATCAGAAAGTATATTGATTTTTATTTTAGAGGACAAATTAGTTAATTAATTAATATATTTTTCTAAAATGAATCTATGGAAAATAATTAAATCAATTTGATAATTAATTTATATTAATATACCAAACATCCATTAATCCTCAATCAAGTTAATTATTTTCATAATTACAATTAAAAATAGACTTACAAAAGTATGAAAAGAGTATACAAATATTTACAGAAGAGAAATCAAAAAATAATTTAAGTGTATATCAAAAATTTAAAAAATAAGCAAGATCATTCCAATAAAAAGATAACTCACATTCTAAAATTTTCTATTTTTTATGGTAAATAATTAATTAAAATTAAAGTGAATATTATTTTGATAAATTTTACAATCTACTAAATTCCATAGTTGTTTTCATCCCTTATTAGTTTTTAAATCTATGAATAAATTGAAAATTGCTTACATTTATTTTATTGTTTTATAAATAATTCATTTAACATGCATTTGATACTCAGTCTTCTGTAACTATTTTTAAATTCTTTACATTTGTACATATGGCAGTAAATGAAAAAATAATTTCAAATAAATACCAAATTTTGTTGTAAGTGAGCCAACCTTTGCATCTAAATTAAATAAAATTTAATCAAGTTTTAATATAATCCATATAATTAAGATATTTTGTTTAATAAGAGTAATTATGATGATATAATAAACAAAAATTTATTTAGATATAAGTAAAGCAAGTTTTTTTTATGAAAGCTTTTTATTATCTTACCTTTATTTTAAATAAAAGCAATATTATCAATTAAACACCACGAATTGTTAATTAATTTATTTGCCTATTTAATCAAATATTTTTAGGGTAAATTATTTTTTCATTGACCTAAAACTGAATAAATTAATGTAAATGTATCAATTTAAGCATAATATTCTCATATTGGAAGTTACTTGGAGTTATTTTAGTAAAATTTCTGTAATTATTTATACCTTTTAAGCTATACAATACATAAAAATAATACAATAAATGGTATTTTTAGAAAGAATAAAAGCAATTACATAAAATAGTGATAAAATATCACAAAATTTTAGAAAGAAAAAAGAAAGGCATATATTTAGCAATATCATGCGATCAATGCTTTAATCATATTGTAAAATTTTATTTATTTTAAAAAAGAATTTAATACACTGAATAAATAAAATACAAACTATTTCTACCTTTTTATTAGTAAATTTGTTTCAAATAAGATTTTTTTCAACAAATATGCTTCTTTAAAAATTGATTTGAAGAATACTCTAAATAATCTGTAAATTTTAAAAATGAAAAAATTGATAAATAATATTTGATTTAGCAAATAAAATTCTGATTAAATTTTATATTAAAAAAAGTAGTTCTTGTCTTTTACTAAAGCTTATAAAAAAAATAAAATAATTTAAAATTTATCAAATTTATTTCGTATAAAATATTAATTAATAACAACAACTGTAAGTAATATTTTCTAGTTTTGTAAATTGGATTTACTTTTTTTTACTATTTCTTTAAGTAGAAAAATAAACAAATCGTATTTCATTATATATAATTTACATTTGATTTTTCATCAAATACTTTACTCTAACATTTTATATGAAAGTAATTTATTTAATCTTGTTTAATTTAAATATAGCAATTAAATTCTTATGCAAGTGGAGAATAAAGAATTTAATTCCTAGATTTGCTATAAAGTAGATTAATTAATGAAATAATTTGATTTTAATTTTAATTTTTAAACACTAGTTTAATAATTTTTTTATATTAATATGTAATTTAAGATATTACATTTTTAATATATAATAGATTTTTATTTTGTTAAATTAAATTAATAATGTAAATTTAATTTAATTTTGCTTTTTCTATAAGAAAAATAGTAAAATTTCGAATAAATACAATATTTTTTCATTCAAATTATATAAAATAAAATAAAATCGGCTTTTGCTTTCTTAAATTATTTAATTTTACATTTCATATAAATATTAATTTAAACTGTTTAATTTATATATTTTTTTTAAAGAATAAATACCATTTAATTTTATAATTTTCCAGTTTTGGATATTTAATTTGTTTTTGTATAGTCTATAAGTTAAATAATAAAGTCTTGAATAAATTCAATATTACAATTAATTAACTAGTTTTATGAATTTACTCTCACTTTTGCTATCTGTCAAATGATTTACTTTAGAATTTTATATCAAAATTTGTTAAATTTTTCTTTATTTTTAAATACTTTTTTACCTAATAAATAATCTTTTAATTAATTAATTAATTAAAGTTTTGTAAATTTAATTTATTTTTGCTTTAATATTCTTTATTATAATATTATATTGTATCTTTTTAAATTAATTATTTACTTTAGAATTTCCAAATATTATAAATTAAGTATTATAAATATCATTTTTTATTTTTATTGACATTTTATATTTAAAAGATGATCAATCAATTTTTCCTATATTAGACAAATTTCTAAGTAAATTTGTTATTTGAAGACAATATCTAATCAATTATACCTTTAAAATAAATTTATATTATTAATATTAATTTATTATAAATATACTTACTTATGTCCATGTTTTATGGAAATGTTCCTTTCATGTAATCATCATCTTATATTTTTGATTTATTAGTTCTACTACAACTAAGTCGGATTATTATGGCTTTTATTTTTAAGTATATTACAACTAAGGCACTTATTATTGTAAAAGACTAAAAAATTAAAATAATTGCTATTGTCGTGATGTCTAAAATTGAAGGATTCTTGTATTACTTTCCAGTCTCAAGTTCAACAGTTTGAGAGTTTTAGTTTACAGCTATTAAGATATATAAACTGCTTAGTAGTATCTCAGAAATAAAATTGAACATAGTTTTTTGTTTAGTATCAAAAATTTGAAAAATAGGTATTATCAATAGAAAGATAATTGATAGTCCACATGCTATAAACATTCCTACTTTATTTTGGAATTTAATTAAAAAAAATACACAAATTATTTTCCTGAACTCAATGAGCACCCAAATAATATATTTACATCCTTAATTTAAATTTATATCTCTAATCAAAAAGTTATTGCTTGAAGATTTTTAAAAATTTATTGATTCATTTAGCATATGTTTCGTATCTGTAGAAATATGAGAAGATTATTTTTGGAGTTGAAAATATTTGAACACCTCTTTACAATGATAAATTAGGCTGACAATAAAGAAAATAATTATTAGACTATCTACAGAAGCTGCAGTTAATGCTTTTACATTTGAGTTGAGTTAATCTAATTGTAAGAAAACCCATATAACAGAGAAGGTTACTTGAGTTGAAAGTAACCTTGACGCAGTTATAAACATGAATGCTTGAAATTAATTAAAAAAAGAATTCTTTTACAAGCCTTTTATAATCATACTTGCTATTTTAAATAAAAGTAAAGCAATCAATATAATACCACTTACAATTAATTAATTTATTATTCCCTATGCGCGAAAATTTTCAGATTAACTAATTTTTATATTACCAAAAAATTTAAAATTGTAGTTATTATATTCATTCAAGAGTTCTATTCTCAAATCTTAGATATCATCTGGCAATATTTCTGAAATTAAGCCTATCTATTGTTGTAAAATAAATGAATATTGAATGTAAGGGAAAAATGGAGTAATCGCAAGTACAAGCTACATATAAAAAGATAAATTATGAAGAACAGTTTTAAGAGTCAAAAAGGATTAGCTATAAGATTATTATATAGCCTAACAATCTATCTATCCGGTTTCTTCATAGCCATAAATGCAATTGCAAGAACTATCTGTTAAATTAAATTATCTCGTAGGTGAACTGCATAAACTACAAGCTGTAGATGAATTCGGAATTGTACATATTTAGCAACTAAAATGGCAAGGGAATTAATCCTCATATTATTTGCAATCTTATTTGTTAGAGCAAAAATAACAATATTAGATGCAACTTTATGTGCAGTCATTTGTGACATCATCAAAGAATTTTCCACTATTAAAGAATTTTAATTAAGATAAATATTCTTCAAAAATATTAACGAAATTTATTTATAAAAAAGGGAATTTTATATTTAATTTGTAAGATCATAATTTTTAATTTACTTTCCACAGAATTTACAAATACCATTTACTAATTTGTAACCCTAATAGCATTTTAAGCATTGAGGAAGTTGTTCATTCGGTATTTCGCAATTAGCAATTTATGGATTTTAAATGCATTTCTTTAGATACTAATCCATGTAATACGATCTATCCTAACAAATGCATTTATCATTGACTAATATAGAGTTTTGAGGACAATCACAGCCTTTTTATGATAAAACATATTACATAACATTTTTATCTCTACATTCACATTTAGAGCTTGTTACATTGAAAAACATGCTGGGCATGCAATCGCATTTATCTTCTTAAAAAATCATATTGATTTCATCCAAACATACACATTTATTTTAATAAAATTTCATGGTTGTAGTATCTTTACAGTCACATGAAGATTTGTCTAAATTTAATATCATAGTTTAGCTATCTTAGCAAATACAACTATTTTATTAATCGTTGATTTTCATTTTTGTTAAATCGTTGCAGGAGCATTTTTATTTTTGTAAATCGATCGTCATAGTTAATTTATCTTTACACTCACAATTATTGTTTGAAAATTAAATATAGCTATTGATATCGTTGTAATTGCAGCATGATTATAATGAATTGCAATCTAAACAATTATCACACTTTACACAATTTTATTTAGCTATTAAATAATCAGGTTTTTATTCACTGCAAACATATTTTGTAGGATAATCTTACTTGCATATTTTTTTATCAGATAAATAGTAAGGATAATTATCATTGCAAGTTAAGCATTCAGTAGCTTTATCACATGTTTTACAAGATATATCACATATTTGACAAGTGAGAATTTGCCTTTATGAATCTGATAATTAAAAATAACCTGAAGGACATTAATCAACACAAGTATCATTAAAGTTTATTTTATTATTATCACATTATTTCATTTGAAAAAAAAGAATTGAACTTGTGTAGCCATATACAATAGGATCACCTTGTTTTGAGTAAATCAAGATAATATTTGTAGGTAGACTGTTTTAACTTTAACTTAGCTCTAAATTAACCGTGTTTGATTTTTAACCTAAAATATATCCAGTAAGACCAATCATAATAAAACTAATATTTTTATTAGTTTCCAATTGATAAGTAGATTATTTTTATTAATTACCACTATTGACCAATGGGTTATCAGAATCTGAAATTTATTTGTATTAATTATCATCAATTTATTATAAATAATAATATGGATCATTGTTTGTATTTATATCTTATTCATAAAAAACAAAATTAACTTTCAAATAAGAAATGTCATCTTTACTAGTTGTGAAAAACTCAAATGTAAAAGATCCTTAATTTGCTGTAGATTTTTAAAGTACTATACTTTAAGTTGAATAGCAGTCCTTATATTAATATCCAATTAAATAAGCAAATACTCTCATATTAGGTTTTGCATTTATATATGGATAAGTGTACACAAATATATTATTTTAAAAATTTATACTCTGTTAAATCTCCACTACTTAAACAAAAAAAGTATCAATACATATTTGAGCATATTAAAAAGAAACCTAATAATTCTGAGTATTTTGAATATTTGATTCAAATTATACTTATTTATTATCGTTTGAAATGCTATATTTTATTTAAAATCCTTTTTAGCTAGTAGGGAAATCTAAAGCAGTATTTGCAATCAAAATTTTAGGATTAGAGCAATTCAGAGTATAACTAACTGTTTATTGTGGCTATGATTAATTTATATTTATTGAGTTAATACTCACTTTATCATCAAAAGGATATACTTATTAATAGCAAAAAGGTAAAAAAATTAGCATCAAATAAATGATAAAAAATGCAATTTTAATTTTATTCATTTGTTTTTTTTTATGAGTCTTTTGTTTTTCCTCTTCTTATCAATGTTATTCTCAATTAATAATTGATTTTTTTAAATTCTTTTAAGCTAAATTTTTAATTGATGCAATTCTGGTATGATAAGAATAGAAATCTTCCTTATTAATTCTTTTCTAAATTACTTTTTGAGTTAAAAATTAGGTTTTTTCCAATTAAATTCCTTATCTAAAAATAACCAATAACATAATTCATAAGATACCCAAATGAAAGAAAAATATTAATTTAAATTAAATAGTTAATTTATTTGATAATAGCCTAATACAAACAATTTTAAACAAATATTCTCAGGATTTTAAACATAAAAAAATAATATAATAAAAACCAACAATTATTAAAGATATTGAAATGCATAGCTTCTCAAAGTTAATTTTTTCATACTATTATTAAAATCTTGAGATGTCTCAAAAATAAATACTTTTCTTTTATTTGTGAAATAAGTAAGATTAATTCAACTTTAAAAATATTCATTTTTATATATGTATTGCAATAATAAAAATGTAATACTATTTTCAATTTATTTAATTTAAGAATATTCTTATTGATAGATAAATTTTTGAAAACTTATTTTTAATTTTCCTTAAATAAGAGTTAATTTTATATTTATATCAAAAAACCAAAATAATAAAATATTTTTGAATAAATAAAAGTAATTTTGACTTAAAATATAACCAAAAATCTAATTAAAATCAAGTAGTTTGGGCATATTTATATGAATTTGTTAGTTCAAAGCTATTTTTTTTAATTCATTTTTATTAATAAAAAACTTAGGTTAAAGAATCTTTTTTATTAAATAATAAAATATATAATTATACTATTGCATAAACTTATTTAATATTATATTAATTTCTATTATAAAAATAAAATAAAATTTTCAATAAGCAATTTAGCTTATTTTAGAAATCTAAGATTAAAATTTAAAATTAAAAAAATAAATTAAATTACAGACAAAAAATAATAAAATAATAATTAATCAATTTATTTCTCTTTAAATTAAGAATAAAATAATAATTTTAAGTATAAAATAAAATATATTCTAGTTGAATCATATTTCTTTCAACATCTTCTCATCTTCATTAGGCTGTTATTTCTTGATTTTATCACTTTTGTGTGTTCACTGATTTAATGCACTTATATCAGCTAGAATTCAGTTTTTATAGTATTACTTGGTATTATTCATTCCAATTTGATACAGATTACTAAAAATCTCTCTTTTATTCATTCAAAAATTATTCATTAATTTGTTACAAGTTTTCGGTAACTTGTGTTAATTCGTTGGGTTAAAGATTGTTCTCAATCCAGATGATAATTTCGCTAAGACATTTAGTATCAATATTATTGTTGATAACAAGGAAATATAGTCTGTCTTAAATATACCTCATTTCATTTATTCTAGAAATATTCATAAATTAATCATCCAAAATTAATTTTACAATTTTTATTTTGATGATATTTGAATAGTTTTTTATCAACACAGAAGCAATTTTATTAGAAATTTTACCTATTTTTGATTTGTGACTATGATCATTTTAATTAATCTTTGAATTGATATCATCAATTAAAACTATGATTTGTTTAACTTATGTCAAGTTTTCAAATTCTGTCGATAAAATTTCTTTTAATACTTCTTTTGTTATATTTAAATATTACTTATTTTAATTAAGCTAGTAAGCTTAATTAATTAAATTTTAATTTAATTTTTGTTGTTCGTTTTGGTTTAAGGTATTTTAGTTAGTCGTATTTGACTGTTCAAATTACTATTCTTGGCTATTATTAGATTTCAATTTTTATTAGATTGCTTCATATTAATCTATCCAATTTGATCTAATTTCCTAATTTCTCTAATATTCACTCAAAAATAACTAGTTTATTGCTTAAATGTTTTAGAGAGTTTGTGTAAATTCAGTGGGCTAATGATTATCCTCAATCCATGCTATTATTTCGTTTATGGATTTTATTGTTATATTACTATTATTATTATCAACTAAGAAAGATAATCTTTCTGAAATATATCTCATTTCATTTATTTTATAAACATTCGCATACTAATCTTCTTAGACCAATTTTAACATTCTCATTTTTATGGTATTTAAGTAGTCATTTGTCAATTAACTTGCAATTTTTTTCAAAATTTTAGCTATTTCATTTTTGGTGCTATGGTCTTATAAAGGAGTTTTGGCTTGAATATCCTGAATTAATGCAATTATTTATTTAATTTATGTCAAATTTTCAAATTACATAGATAATATTTCCTTTAATACTTCTTTTGTGGTTTAAAAATTCAACTAATTTTAACTAAAGTTGTTTGGCTAAGCAATTAGATTTTAATGTAGGGTATATTGTCTATTTTGGCTTTAATTATCTTAGCTAGAAATATTTGAAGGTCTAAATTGGTAATTTTAGGGTCCTGTTATATTATCTTATTTACTTTGATTATAATTATTGTTATTATTTAAGACATTTGAAGGTCTTTATGAATATTAGTTAGGTGAAATATTTATCTCTGCTAATAAAGGTTGATTTAAGAATTGATTTTATTGGTTATTTTCCAAATTAACCACTTGGTTATTATATCCGTTATAATTGTACTAAAACTGAATCGGAATGTTTGCTTAATATTATTAAGGATACGTTTATTGAAAATAATAAAGATTTAGTTTAGGAGCTACAAAATCATGTCCTCGATTCTTATTGAATCCAAACCATGGTAGAACTAAGATTTCACAAAATATGATTGTACCTAATATAGAAATGACATAACCTAATAGATATTACCATATAAATGAATAATAACCAGCCATCATAAAGAGTAACAATCCTAAAATAAAAGAATTAGAGTCTGAAATAGCTCTGGTTAGTGCAGACATCTATTTTATGATGATCTAATTAACACAGCTTGAAAAAATATTTATTAAAACTACTACCAAAACTAAAAAGAATATAGCAGGGTTTTTGAATGAGAAGACTTAACTCACAAATGAATAAAAATCTTCTTAAAAATATTAATTATGAATATAAGTCCAAACTAAACTTCCAATAAGAGCAAAAATAATTCCAAACATTCCTTCATACCCAGAAACTTAGGCTGGATTTAACATGTATTTTCTGTACAACATTTCTTCATAACTCAGCTGAGCAGCATTTGTAAACCAGGAAAATATAAAAGCTAAAATTGGAAAGACATCCCATTTCATAACATATTAATTTGTATCATCAGCATAATACATTTATTAATCATGTGAAAAAAATAATAAAAATAGGCTAAGCAAATTAAGTAATATGCCAAAGTAATGTTGTCTATGCAAATTTCGTTTTAATAAAAATATAGAAGACACTGTAATTACAATAAGAAAACCATTTTAAAGCTGAAGATAAATGTAAAAAAAGCCATAAGTTGCATATACTTACAAATATTAGGTTAGGAAGTTCAGAAAAGAAGGAATTATGAATATCTAAATTTTAAACTAACTTGATAATCCTTTCTCTATAGATTATGCTTTATCTTATTCGTAATTTACTTTGTATTTAGATTTGTAAATATAAAAGAGACAATAACTCAAGCTTTGAGCAATTGACAAAAGAAGAATCTAGCAGAGTGGATAATAGAAATGATTAATTTAATACTCTTCACGTATTATGAGTTAGCTCAAGGCACGCAATACTTATGAGGCAAATATTAAACAACTAATTTATTTTTTTGTTGAAGACATTGTTAGGTAAAATGCTTGCTTGCTTATTTATTTATTGGCTGCAAGTTATGGCAATTTTGAGTATTTATCAACAAGTGAAAATCTTTTTTCCTTTAATTTGATTATTTTTTAATTTTAGAAATGATATTTAATTAATTTATTTATTTTTTTAAATTATTCTTCATTTTAAATTTCATATATTTATTTTGGTACTATTTTTTCGTATAAGTAAATAGTTAAGTTAAGCTTAACAATTACAAAAAATATTATTACGCACTAATTGAGAAGCTTTTATTTAAATTGTGGACATATTTTAGAAAAGATCTATATATTTTTTTTTCAAAAAAGATAGATAGATAGCAAATATCAGTAAAAAACAAACTCTATTAATTAGCCACAATAATTAAAATATGTAGTTTTTTTATTTTATCACATCTTATTTTTATTCTTTTGTTTAAAATTTTCGGTAATATGCTTAACAATCAAAAGTGAAGATAATATATAGTATTAATTAAAAAGGAAAAATAAATATTTATGGCTTTAATTTGATTGAAATCTAATTTTAGAAATAATATATGATTTGTTTATTTATTAATCTTTTTCCCTCTTGTTTTAAATTTCTAATTATTTTCACTCTATTTTCTCCTATAAGTAAATCCTTAAGTAAAGCTAAAATATTAATCTCTTAATAATTCATCCAACAATTTTTAGATCGGGGTATTATTTTCGAAAATAGGTAGATATCTTAATAAAAAAAGGATAGCAGACATCTACATAAAACTAGAATTAAAGAAAGTACTCTCTTTCAAATTAAACTGAAAATATCTTGACAATTTCAAAAGTTTTTCAAATAAAAATTTCTACCTATTTATTTTGACGCATGGTGTATAGTTTATACTAGGTTAATCTTTGAATTATTAAATGCATAATATCTATTTAAAAACAGCTTCGTCAGTTAGTTCTACTCGTGAAGAAAAAGTAAAATTTTATATAATATTAGTTAGTCTGTATCATCAACTTTAAAAAAAATTTCCATACTTTTCAAATTAGTATAAATTCAAATTAAATAATTAAAAATATTAAAAATAATATTGCCTAAATTTATTTAATATTATATTAATTTCTATTTAAAAAAAGTAAAATTTAAAATAAGCAATTTAACTTATTTAAGAAACCTAAGATTACATTTAAAATTAAAAAAATAAAATTACACAAAAAATACTTATAGTTAGTTAGTTAGTTTATTTCTCTTTAAATTAAGAATACAAATAAAATTTTAAGGAAAAATAGAAGATGTTCTAGTTGAATCATATTTCTATCAACTTCTTCTGATCTTCATTAGGCTGTTATTTCTTGATTTGTCTCTTTTATTCAATGCTTTAATGTACTTATATCAGCTAGAATTAAGTTTTTACAATATTGCTTGGTATTATTCATTCCAATTTGAGACAGATTACTAAAAATCTCTCTTTTATTCATTTAAAAATTATTCATTAATTTGTTACAAATTTTCAGTTACTTATGTTAATCCATTAGGTTAAAGATTGTTCTCAATCCAGATGATAATTTCGTTAAGACATTTAGTATTAATATTACTGTTGATAACTAGGAAATATAGTCTGTCTTAAATATACCTCATTTCATTTATTTTAGAAATATTCATAAATTAATCTTCCAAAATTAATTTTACAATTTTTATTTTGATGATATTTGAATAGTTTTTTATCAACACAGAAGCAATTTTATGAGATATTTTGCCTATTTCTGATTTGTGACTATGATCATTTTAATTAATTTTTGAATTGATATAATCAATTAAAACAATGATTTGTTTAACTTATGTCAAGTTTTCAAATTCTGTCGATAAAATTTCTTTTAATACTTCTTTTGTTGTATTTAAATATTGTTCATTTTAATTAAGCTAGTAAGGTTAATTCATTAAATTTTAATCTAATTTTTGTTGTCCGCTTTGGTTTAAAGTATTTGAGTTAGAAATATTTGACTGTTCAAATTACTATCCTTGACTATTATTAAATTTCAATTTTTATTAGATTGCTTCATATTAATCTTTCCAATTCAATCCAGATTCCTAATTTCTCTAGTATTCACTCAAAAATAGCTAGTTTATTGCTTAAATGTTTTAGAGAGTTTGTGTAAATTCAGTGGGCTAATGATTATCCTCAATCCATGCTATTATTTCGTTTATGGATTTTATTGTTATATTACTATTATTATTATCAACTAAGAAAGATAATCTTTCTGAAATATATCTCATTTCATTTATTTTATAAACATTCGCATACTAATCTTCTTAGACCAATTTTAACATTCTCATTTTTATGGTATTTAAGTAGTCATTTGTCAATTAACTTGCAATTTTTTTCAAAATTTTAGCTATTTCATTTTTGGTGCTATGGTCTTATTAAGGAGTTTTGGCTTGAATATCCTGAATTAATACAATTATTTATTTAATTTATGTCAAATTTTCAAATTACATAGATAATATTTCCTTTAATACTTCCTTTGTGGTTTAAAAATTCAACTAATTTTAACTAAAGTTATTTGGCTAATCAATTAGATTTTAATGTAGGGTTTATTGTCTATTTTGGCTATAATAATCTTAGTTAGAAATATTTGAAGGTCTTTATAACTATTGGTTAGGTGCTAAATTTATCTCTGCTAATAAAGGTTGATTTAAGAATTGATTTTATTGGTTATTTTCCAAATTAATCACTTAGTTATTATATCCATTATAATTTTATTATTATTGAATGGGAATGTTTGCTTAATAGTAATAAGGATATGCTTCTTGAGAATAATAATAATTTAATTTAGGAGCTACAAAATCATGTCCTCGATTCTTATTGAATCCAAACCATGGTAGAACTAAGATTTCACAAAATATGATTATACCTAATATAGAAATGACATAACCTAATAGATATTACCATCCAAATGAATAATAACCAGCCATCATAAAGAGTAACCATCCTAAAATAAAAGAATTAGAGTCTGAAATGGCTCTGGTTAGTGCAGACATCTATTTTATGATGATCTAATTAACACAGCTTGAAAAAATATTTATTAAAACTACTACCAAAACTAAAAAGAATATAGCAGGGTTTTTGAATGAGAAGACTTAACTCACAAATTAATAAAAATCTTCTTAAATATAATCATTTTAAAAATAAGTGCCAATTAAACATCCAATAAGCGCAAAAATTATTCCAAACATTCCCTCATACCCAGAAACTTAGGCTGGATTCAACATGTATTTTCTGTACAACATTTCTTCATAACTCAGCTGAGCAGCATTTGTAAACCAGGAAATTATATAAGCTAAATAAGGAAAGACACTCCACTGCGAAAAAGATTAATCTGCTTAGTCACAATAATAAATTTGATAAGTATCAATACTACTTATTAAAAATAAGCTAAGCAAATTAAGAAATATGCCAAAGTAATGTTGTCTATGCAATTTTCGTTTTAAGAAAAATATAGAAGACACTATAATTAAAGTAAGATAACCATTTTAAAGCATAAGGTAAAGGAAAAAAAAAGCATAAGTTGCATATACTTACAAATATTAGGTTAGGAAGTTCAGAAAAGAAGGAATTATGAATATCTAAATGTTAAACTAACTTGATAATCCTTTCTCTATAGATTATGCTTTATCTTATTCGTAATTTACTTTGTATTTAGATTTGTAAATATAAAAGAGACAATAACTCAAGCTTTGAGCAATTGACAAAAGAAGAATCTAGCAGAGTGGATAATAGAAATTATTAATTCGATACTCTGCACGTATTATGAGTTAACTCAAGGCACACAATACTTATGAGGTAAATATTAAATAGCAAGTTTACTTTTTTGTTGAAAACATTATTAGGTAATGTGCTTGCTTGTTTATTTATTTATTGGCTGCAAGTTATAGCAATTTTGAGTATTTATCAACAAGTGAAAATCTTTTTTCCTTTAATTTGATTATTTTTTAGTTTTAGAAATGATATTTAATTAATTAATTAATTTTTTAAAAGTTATTCTTCATTTTAAATTCCTTATTTTTATTTTGGCATTATTTTCTCGTATAATTAAATAAATAATAAAGATAAGCTTAACAATTACAAAAAATATTATTACGCACTAATTGAGAAGCTTTTATTTAAATTGTGGAAATATTTTAGAAAAGATCTATATATTTTATTTCAAAAAAGATAGATAGATAGATAGATAGATAGATAGATAGATAGATAGATAGATAGATAGATAGATAGATAGATAGATAGATAGATAGCAAACATCAGCAAAAAACAAACTCTATTAATTAACCATAAAAATTAAAATATGTAGCTATTTTATTTTAACACATTTTATTTTTATTCTTTTGTTGAAAAATTTCATTAATATATTTATTATGATTGTAAGTGAAGATAATATTGAGTATTAATCAAAAAGGATAAATAAATATTTATGGATTTAATTTGATTGAATTTTAATTTTAGAAAAAATATTTGATTTATTTATTTATTTATTTATCTTTTTCCCTTTTATTTTAAATTTCTAATTATTTTTACTTTTTTTTCTCCTCATTAAGTTAAGTGAAAGAATAGCCACAAAGTATTAATATCTTAATAATCGAACAGCTTTTAGATGGGGGTATTATTTTCGAAAATAGGTAGAGATTTTTTTTTTAATAAAAAAAATGAAATTTAATTTACAAAAATATCTAATATATAAAAAAATAATCAAACACGTTATTAAGCTTTAAACTATAAGGTGATTGTTGTAAATTAATTAATTGTAAAAGGATTTTTAAATTATTTTTTTTTATTCCTAATTTTTTTTAGATTAAAATATAGGTTAACCTTTGGATTATTAAATACATAGTATCTAGTTAAAAGCAACTTCTTCAGTTAGTTCTACTAGTGAAGAAAAAGTAAAATTTTACATAATATCAGTTAATCTACTTCATCAGCTTTAAAATAAGTTTCCATACTTTTCAAATTAGTAATAATTACAAATTAATTAAATTACAGACAAAATACTTATAAAAATAGTAATTAGTAAGTTTATTTCTCTTTAAATTAAGAATAAGAATAAAAATATTAAGTTTTAAATAAAAGATATTCTTGTTGAATCATATTTCTTTCAACTTCTTCTGATCCTCATTAAGCTGTTATTTCTTGATTTTGTCACTTTTATACAATACCTTAATTAACTTGTATCAGCTAAAATTAAGTTTTTATTGTATTGCTTGGTATTATTCATTCCAATTTGAGACAGATTACTAAAAATCTCTTTTTAATTCATTCAAATATTATTCATTAATTTGTTACAAGTTTTAAGTAACTTATGTTAATTCGTTGGGTTAAAGATTGTTCTCAATCCAGATGATAATTTCGTTAAGACATTTAGTATTAATATTATTGTTGATAACTAGGAAATATAGTCGGTCTTAAATATATCTCATTTCATTGATTTTAGAAATATTCATAAATTAATCTTCCAAAATTAATTTTACAATTTTTATTTTGATGATATTTGAATAGTTTTTTATCAACACAGAAGCAATTTTATGAGAAATTTTGCCTATTTTTGATTTGTGACTATAATCATTTTAATTAATTTTTGAATTGATATCATCAATTAAAACAATGATTTGTTTAACTTATGTCAAGTTTTCAAATTCTGTTGATAAAATTTCTTTTAATATTTATTTTGTTGTACTTAAATATTGCTCATTTTAATTAAGCTAGTAAGGTTAATTCATTAAATTTTAATCTAATTTTTGTTGTCCGTTTTGGTTTAAGGTATTTAAGTTAGAAGTATTTGACTGTTCAAATTACTATCCTTGGCTATTATTAAATTTCAATTTTTATTAGATTGCTACATATTAATCTTTCCAATTCGATCTAATTTCCTAATTTCTCTAATATTCACTCAAAAATAGCTAGTTTATTGCTTAAACGTTTTAGAGAGTTTGTGTAAATTCAGTGGGCTAATTACTATCCTCAATCCATGCTATTATTTCGTTTATGCATTTTATTGTTATATTACTATTATTATTATCAACAAAGAAAGATAATCTTTCTGAAATATATCTCATTTCATTTATTTTATAAACATTCGCATACTAATCTTCTTAGACCAATTTTAACATTCTCATTTTTATGGTATTTAAGTAGTCATTTGTCAATTAACTTGCAATTTTTTTCAAAATTTTAGCTATTTCATTATTGGTGCTATGGTCTTATTAAGGAGTTTTGGCTTGAATATCCTGAATTAATACAATTATTTATTTAATTTATGTCAAATTTTCAAATTACATAGATAATATTTCCTTTAATACTTCTTTTGTGGTTTAAAAATTCAACTAATTTTAACTAAAGTTCTTTGGCTAATCAATTAGATTTTAATGTAGGGTTTATTGTCTATTTTGGCTTTAATTATCTTAGCTAGAAATATTTGAAGGTCTAAATTGGTAATTTTAGGGTCCTGTTATATTATCTTATTTACTTTGATTATAATTATTGTTATTATTTAAGACATTTGAAGGTCTTTATGAATATTAGTTAGGTGAAATATTTATCTCTGCTAATAAAGGTTGATTTAAGAATTGATTTTATTGGTTATTTTCCAAATTAACCACTTGGTTATTATATCCGTTATAATTGTACTATTACTGAATGGGAATGTTTGCTTAATATTATTAAGGATACGTTTGTTGAGAATAATAACGATTTAGTTTAGGAGCTACAAAATCATGTCCTCGATTCTTATTGAATCCAAACCATGGTAGAACTATGATTTCACAAAATATGATTATACCTAAAAAAGAAATGACATAACCAAATAGATATTACCATCCAAATGAATATAAACCTGCCATCATAAAGAATAACCATCCTAAAATAAAAGAATTAGAGTCTGAAATAGCTCTGGTTAGTGCAGACATCTATTTTATGATGATCTAATTAACACTACTTGAAAAAATATTTATTAAAACTACTACCAAAGCTAATAAGAATAAAGATGTGTTATTGAAATAGAAGACATCACTCACGAAATAAGAAAAATTGTCATTATCATCAGTATAGTAGTTAATTATAATTCCAATAGGCGCAAAAATTATTCCAAACATTCCTTCATACCCAGAAACTTAGGCTGGATTCAACATGTATTTTCTGTACAACATTTCTTCATAACTCAGCTGAGCAGCATTTGTAAACCAGGAAAATATATAAGCTAAATAAGGAAAAATATTCAAATTACCTTAACGTATTTTGTAATTATAAAAATATTGATAACCTCTTAAAATACCTATTAAAAATAAGCTAAACAAATTAAGAATTATGCCAAAGTAATGTTGTCTATGCAATTTTCGTTTTAAGTAAAATATAGAAGACACTATAATTACAATAAGATAACCATTATAAAGCAGAAAATAATCGTTAAAACGAACATAAGTTGCATATGCTTATAAAAATTAGGTTAGGAAGTTCAGAAAAGAAGGAATTATGAATATGTAAATCTTAAACTAAATTGATAATCCTTTCTCGATAGCTTCTATTCCATCTTTTTAGTAATTTACTTTGCAATAAGATTTGTAAATTAAAAATAGAAAATAACTCAAGCTTTGACCAATTGACATAAGAAGAATCCAGCAGAATGGTTCATAGACATAACCTATTTGATACTCTTTTCTTATTATTAGATAACTCAAGGCATACAATACTTATGAGACAAATATCAAATAATAATTATATTTTTTTGTTGAAAACATTGTTAGGTAATGTACTTGCTCTCTTTATTATTGGCTGCAAATAAAAGCGAATTTGATCTTATCAATAAGGGTAAATCTTTTTTCCTTTAATTTGATTATTTTTTAGTTTTAGAATAGATATTTAATTTATTTATTTATTTTTTAATAGTTATTCTTAATATTAAATTTCTTATATTTATTTTGGCAGTATTTTCTCCTATAAGTAAATAATTTAGATAAGCTTAACAATTACAAAAAATATTATAACGGACTAATTGAGAAGCTTTTATTTAAATTGTGGAAATATTTTAGAAAAGAAATTAATATATATTTAATTTAAAAAAAGATAGATAGCAAACATCAACAAAAAACTCTATTAATTAACCATAAAAATTAAAATATGTAGCTTTTTTATTTTATCACATCTTATTTTTATTCTTTTGTTAAAGAATTTCGGTAATATGCTTATCAATTATAAGTGAAGATAATATTGAGTATTTATCAAAAGGGGTAAATAAATATTTAATACTTTAATTTGATTGAAATCTAATTTTAGAAATAATATTTGATTTGTTTATTTATTTATCTTTTTCCCTTTTTTTAAATTTCTAATTATTTTCACTCTATTTTCTCCTATAATTAAATAATTAAGTTAAATAATAGCCACAAAGTATTAATATCTTAATAATCCAACAACTTTTAGATGGGGGTATTTTTGAAAATAGGTAGATATCTTGATAAAAAAAATGATAGCAGTAAGTAACACAAACTATATACTGAAAATCTACATTAATTAGCATCTATTACCCCTATTTTTAAGAAACATAAATTGTTTTTTAAATTTTCAAAAATCTATGAAATAAAAACTATTCATAATTGAGGAAGGATCTGTAATATTAGTTAGATTTATTTTTTTATCATTAAAAACCTTTTTTGATTATTTGCAGATCAGATATTGTTTGTTTTGTGGCTAATTGAAAAAAAAGAAAATATATGATTTCTTCTTTATCTTTAATTAGATAAAAAACAGACAAACAAAAAAACAAACAAACACATAGTATTTTTATTTAAGCCTATCAAAAAAGTTTTATATGAGAAATAATTTTCTTAAATAGATGAAAATTATTATCATTTTGTATGATTTATTTATGACATTTGAGTGTAAATTCTGTTTATTTATTTATTTATTAATTTAATTTTAGTAAATACTTAAAGAAATAGGAAAATAATAAATTATCACTAATAAATATTATGTAAATTTTACAATAGAAATAGATTTTATTTTTGAATTTTTTATTTTTTTAGATCAAGTTTAATCTAAATGCAGAATTAAACAAATATTTTTTTAGTTGAACTTTTAGTAAATAGAGTTTATTTTTCATTGCTCTGCCAAAATTTAATTGAAGATTATTTATAAATTGAGACAGTCATTCTTTATGAAATAAAAAATCACTAGCTAGATGCTATTTGAATTTAAAGGGATAATTTAATATTTTGATTTAAAATGATCATCTAAAAATTTTCTAATAAAAAAATTCTAAAAATTTGAGTCAAATATGTAATAGATTCATTCACACTACACCCTTACGGTTACTAAAAATTAATTCTTAGATTTTAACTTTTGGATGAATTATTTTTTTGGAATAACTTTTTTCATTAGAAAGAAAAAGATTTTTATGTTTCAAAAGTATATTCTTAAGTAAGTAAATAAATAAATAGATAATATTAATAAGCTAGATAATTTCATTTTATATGATGATATTAGATTCTTTTACAGCAATTTTTAAATAATTTTAAATTAATAACTTTAAATTTTTTATATTATTATATTTAGAAAACAAATTGAATTTTGAATAAAAAATTAAGCAAATAAAGAAAAATGATAATGGAAAGAACCTTAGATTTTGTTATTCAACTTTGTAAATAATTTTATATTAACATCTTTAAATCTTTTAAATTTTTATTTTTAGAAAATAGATTGTTGAATAAATAATAAATAATAAAGAAAGAAAGAAATAATTTAATTGTTTTGTTTGCCACGTCAATCTGACAGAGTGGTAAAAGATATTAGGATGATCAAAAATAGATATTTTGTAGTCCTTTACATAAAATCCAAAAAAAAATTTATTGTCTAAGAGAATATACATATTTTTATATAATTAGAAATAATTAATTGTTTGTTTAAAAATTACATCTATTGGAATCAAGAAATAAGAAAATGGATAGCGATAAAGAACTACAAAGGCTTTTAGATGAAAGATAAAAGCTAAATGATAAAATTAACGAATATGTTAAAGAAAAGTATTAAAAGTATAAAGGTATGAGCGAAGAGGTCAAGGATGATAACCCATATAGGTACTTAGTTAGATACATGAATAAATAAATACATAAATCATATCATACATAATATAAATTAAAAGATTAAAAATTGAAATATTTTAACAAATAAACTGAGCAATTAAATTAATTAAATTGTTAAAATATAAAATTTATAAGTAAACGCATTATAGAAAATAGTTCATTTTTATTAAGTTTTTAAGCGATTAGAAATATTTCACTTTCTTCTGTTTTTTATAGAGAGCAATTACTTTTTTATTTGATAGATTTTAATGGATGAGTAATTAAGCAATTATTTAATTTATTTAGTCGTTTGATGGCATTGAAGAGAATGGGTGTTGTTTAAAATTACGAGAAAATTAGAGATTGTTCAGTTTTAGTTGTTGGTGTTGGTGGTGTAGGTTCAGTATTAGCTGAAATGCTTACTCGTTGTGGCTTAGGCAAATTGATTATCTACGATTATGATAAAGTAGAGTTAGCAAACATGAATAGGTAAATAAATAAATCAATTTAAAAATTATTAAAAATGCATAAAATTTTGTTATAGATTTATAAGAATAAGCATAAAAAAGTTAGAATTTATTTCATATACTTATATCAATAGATGATAAAGTAAAAATATAAACATAAATACAGAATAAAATCATAATTTTAAATTATGTTAAGAAATATTTTTTTTGTTTATCTGTAAAATGTTCAAAAAATTAATAAATTATTAGATTAGTTTATATTAATTTTTATTTTAAAAGATTGTTTTATACTCCTTAATAAGTTGGTTTATCTAAGGTCGATGCAGCTAAAGGGACTCTTTAATCTATAAATCCTGAAATTACAATCGAAGCTTACAACATGAACATTACCACTAACAGTAATATATTTTCTTTAAGCTTTTAGATTACTATCATCATAATTAAAAAACAGTTAAAATATCAAGATCTTAACATAAAGATATTATTTGTTAGAAAAATTAATATACTAATAAATAGAAATATAAATAATTTATAAAGATTGTGATCAAAAATTAAATTCTATCTAACAATGATAATAAATAAATAAATAAATAAATAAATAAAGCAATTTTTTATGTATTCATTTTAAATTTATTTAAGAGACTAATTGGAAAGCAAATATTTAAATAGTTTTCATTTAAACATAAAGGTGGATTTGAGCACTTGTTAGATAGAATAAAGAAAGGAGGTAAGAATGGCGAAAGAATTAATTTAGTAGTTTCTTGTGTAGATAACTATGCTGCTCGTATGGCAATTAATACAGGTTGTAACGAACTTGACCAAATATGGTAATTATTTTATATTGATTTTGTTTTAAAAAAAATGGGAAGTTAAATTTATGAATAAAAAAGTTTTATTAATTAAAAAATAAATTGATTTAATCAATCAAGTTAGATCATTATAAAAGCAAAAAATATATTAATAGAAACAATTTTGATTTTAGAATAAATAAGGTCTGTAAAAATTAAATAGAAAAAAAATTATGTCAAAAATAAGAAGAAAAAAAAAAATCTTTATTATTCTTGAAGACAGATTTAAATTTATTAATTTAGAATAAATAAATAATCTAAGAGTATGCGTCACTCACTTTTAATAATCAACCATTTTAAATTTTTATAACAATATTATTATGCAATATTGTTTAATTTATTTGGATCGTCTATTATAAATTACAATAGATTTTACGTCATACTTTATAATAAAAATTAACCATTTTTTTATTATTTAAGTTTTTTAAATTTATAATATAATTCTATCTTGTTGATAACTTTTTGGTGCTCCTTAAAAGATTTTCAAAAATTTGATTCATTTTTTCAAAAATAAAAATTCATCATCTAAAAACCAAAAATTATAATAAAAATTTATTCTATAAAATGTAAGAATATTCTATTTAAAATTTCAAAATCAAACCAATAAATATTACAACTTTTGTAGTTTTATAATATGATCTAGCACAATAAACAGCTTATTTGCATTTTTATTGATACAATTTTTAGAATGCATCAATAAAAAGTTTTATTTCCCCTTTTAGATTTTCAAAAAAATGTAAAGCTTCAAAGAAAAAAAATATGATTTTTTAACAAGTTATTGTAACATGATATTTTATTGCGTAACAAATTAGTATTGAGTCATTTATCAATCAATTTATTTTTAAAACTGCCTTTACCCCCTCGTTTGTGAATTAATTTATAGGAGAAGATAGCCTTATAATTTTTGCTTGTAACCTAACTCTAACTTTAAGATATTTTTTATTATGTATTTTTCAGGTTTGAAAGTGGTGTAAGTGAAGATGCTATGAGTGCTCATATTTAGATTATGATTCCAGGTGAAACTGCTTGCTTCGCATGTGCTACACCTCTTGCTGTGGTTGAAAGTAACGAACACACAATAAAAAGAGAAGGCGTTTGTGCAGCTTCACTTCCTACTACTATGGGTATTACAGCTGGTTTTCTTGCATAAAATGCCTTAAAATTCCTTCTTGATTTTGGTGACCTTGCTTTTGTTTTAGCTTATAACGCAAAAGCTGACTTTTTCACCAACTATATGATTAAGCCAAACTCTGAATGCAAGGAAAACGAATGTAGAAAAAGACAAGCTGAAAAGGCTGTTAATAAATAAGAAAACATCCTTGAAAGACTTGAATAAAGAAAGAAGGCTGCCAAGGAAGCCTTCGAAAAGGAAAATAAACCCAGCGAAAACGAGTGGGGAATCGAAATAGTTGATGAATCAGGACCACAAAGTGATTCCAATAAAAAAGATGATGATGTAAAGGAAATTTCAGAATAAGAAATTGAGCAAAATAATTTGGACGATTTGATGGCAAAACTGTAAAATATGTGAAAAAATACTAGTTAAAAGATATTAAAAATCAAATCTTTATTTTTAAGTGTTTTTAATAAAATTATTTGTGTTTGTAGAAGTAAATCAAAAATGTTATTTTTCATTATTTTAGTATCGCTTTCTTTAAAGTTTACTCAGCTAATTTCATAATAAAAGTTTGTTTTGAATTATGGTAAAAAGATCAATCAAATATTTTTTATCAATTGTTTTTTATTTCAAAAAAATATCTTCTCCTGACGAGTATCAGAAAAAAATTTGCATGAGAGAAATTCAAATAATTATCCTAAATTTTTCAATTTTTTTATAAGAAAATAGGTTTAAACAAACTATTTTTTATTATTTAAAAAAGAGATGAATTTTGAATAAAATATTGAAAGGGAAAAAACAATAAAATTGATTTTTTGAAATTCAATAAAATAATTATTTATTTTTTAATGGCTGGGCATTAATGATTACTCCTATAAACAAAATTTAAATTTTTAATAGATTTATTGTTTTTAGTTTATATTAACATATTTCTGCAATGATGGATCTCATTCAAATAAATTACAGTATTAACTTTTATATTTACTTCTTAATTTCTTTAATAATAGATCCAAGCTAAATATCCTAAGTTGTTTGTTTGCAATTAATTTTCTTATTTCTTGAAGAAAAAGTGAATTCAATTATTGGGATGATGCTATTTAAAATTATTTTTTTATAATGCCTATCAAGAATAAATAACTAAATGTCAAATGAAGAGTTAATATGCTGAATTAACATGTTTTTTTAAAAAATATAATTATAGAGATTTTCAAAAGAAAAATTAAAGATATAAACACTGCCATTTAATTTAATTGAATTTACAGTTTACAATTAATTATTTCTGCTTCAAGTTAACATCAGAAAAAATACTTAATTGCGAAAAGAATTATAATATTAATTATTTATTAATTACCCCTAAAATAAAAAAATGATATTTTTATTTGATTTTTAATTCTGCATAAGAAAGAACTTCATTTTGAAATAATTTATTTACAAATTATAATTTTGATCAACCAACTTTATGTATTTTATTTCTTTTGTAAAAGTTTAAAGCTAACACTTTTTTCAACCAATTTTCAAAACGTTATTCTCATAAATAATAACTTATTCCATCAAAAATACAACTTACGAAGCCTAATGTCAACTAACTAAATTTATCAAGTATGTGAATTAAATATGCACTTGAATTTTTAATGATATTTTTTTTTAAAACTAAAAATCATTAACTTTCTTTTTACAAATTAATATCTAAAAATAGGGGGTAAGTTTTAAACCAATCTATTAATTGTTACTCATTTTAAAAAGATCAAATTTTAATATAATATCAGGAATTTTTAATTAACAATAGAAGACAGATACCTCGTCGATAATTTGCAAATTAAATTTTTCAATTTAAGATATTTGACAAATTGTTCAAATTAGGTTTACTCTTTTAAAGAATCATAGTATAATAATTACTAGTTGTAACATAAAGTAATTGTTACTGAGATAAAATATTAGTATTTTGAATGATTAATGTGAGATAAAAAAATACTTCCTCAAATCAGAAATATATAAAAATGAGAACAATCAATCTACATACATTAAAAATATTCTGAGTGTTAATTAAAATGAGCTAATTAAATCTAAAAAAATAAAAAATAAACAAATAGAATAAATAAATAGCAAACTTTTTTTATGGATATTTTTTTATTGTGAGTGTTTGTTTGTATTATAGTGGGATATTCAAATATATTTTAGAATAATCGATAATTTATTCAAATTAAAAAAGAAAAGATTGAAACTAATTAATTTTCAGAGTGATTCATTTCAAAACAAGATTTTAATCAATAACTCAAATTTTTGCGCAAGATAAACTTAATGAGGTATTATAAATAAATATATGCAATAAATTCATATTTGTTTAAAATTTAGAGTATAAATTTATTATCGCAAAAAAACAATTACTCAGAAATAATAATAAACAAAAAATCTTTTTTTTTTTAACTTTCTATTCATTTTTTAAGAAAAGCTGTAAAAATCATTTAAATAAAAAATAAAATTTCATTAAAAAATGCTAAAATGTTTTAGTTAAAGCTGTTGGAATAATTTTTTTATATTGGTAAATCATTCTGTAGAATAGTTTAATGATGATTGATTATTTTCAAATTAGAATAAATAGTTAATTCATAAATAATAAAAATTTTAGGTATATTCTATCTATTATCTTTATTCAATCAAATTTCTAATTTATTTTTATATAATTCTACTTCAATACTTCAAAGATAAAATATGTTAATAACAATTTTAATAATTTAAAGTTATAAAAAACTAAAAAATAATTTGTTATCATTTAAATTGATGATAATGATTGAGGTCATACTAAAGATATTTTTATAGAATGTGTGGTAATAAGGATTTGAGTTAATGGATTTTTAATTAAATTGTTATCAGATAAAGATTTGAATTTTAAGATGCTTACAATACTTAAAAATATAATAGAAGACATATTTAGATAATTTAATTAACAAAGTAGGAAAAAAAAATAATGCTTTAATGAAAAATATGTAAAAATGTTTTAAGAATTATTAAGAAATAGGTTATTATTTAGGAAAATGAGGAATAGTTTATTATTAATAAAAAGTAATGTGATTTTTATAACTCTATGACAATATTTTTTTTACTCTAAAACATATAATTAATTAGGTATGAATATATGTATGTATGCATGCAATAATAATTATTTAGTAACACTTTTTGAGTTAATTTATTTAATGGTGTTTCTTCAAATATTTTATATAGTTTTTTCTGTTATTTAGATCGGTTTATTGAAATTTAATATATTATGAGGCACAATTTAAGCAATCTAGGATAAATTTTATGCTAGAAAGAGTTTCTTTTCTTCTTGATATTCTTCTTTGAGGGCCTTTTAATTATTTTAGATTTGCTTTTTCAAATTTAGCGAAAATAAAACTTGCTTTCAAGTTTTCAATTCTAGTCTCTTGATATTTTGAAATCACCTTCTCTCTCAGTTCTCTCGAAACGGAGAGTCTTTTCGTTTGCAAGATGAAGAATTGTAACGAAGCATGTTTAGAGAGAGACTCTGCTACGATTTTGAAGGCCTATCAAGTCAGGGAGTTGATCGTAAACATCACTAAAATGAATTTCTTCTTCCTCAACTTCAACTCTTTTTTGGATGAAAAGAGAGTCGTTTTGGCTCTATCCTGTGGTTGAAGTCTTTATTGATAAATAAATAAATATTCAAATGAATTTTAGCTTGAATATAGCCGAAAATCAATTGATTGTAGGTATGTATGTAAATGTTATCTGAATTAAACAAAATTTTATTTATTTTTATAAAATTGAAAAATCAACTTCAATTAGAATAACAAAGTGAAAATTTGTGGTTAAAAAATAAAATAGCAAATAATTTGGGCTTTTAGATATTTTAATTTATAAATTGGGGAAAGTCAATAAGAAAAAAAAAATAACTAACAAACAAACAAACAAATCAAGTTGGAAAATAATTTCTTGTATTTTTACCATTGGTATCTTTTTTTCCAGCTTGTCCCATAGTTTTGTCTTGAGCTCTTTGATGGGCATTTAGTTCTTTGCCTTAATTGCCTATTTCTTTAATGGATAAGGAAACAAATTATTTTAATGAACAACAATACTTCATTTTTTTTATAAAATGTAAACTCAAATTTGCTTAACTAATTTTGAAAATCAATATACAACAATAAATATGTAACTATAAATGATTAATCAATTTATCTTACTTCTGCAATTTCATTCAGCACTTTTGACATAGTACTGGGAACATGGGTATTTACAGGCAATATTCTGTTATCACCGTTGTAATCGTAGTAGTCAATTGTGTCGTTATTTAGATCATCTTCATCTAATTCACTTCCAAGACGAGAGCGATGGAATATGGTAGCAGGATCTTTAAATCCAAAAGAGCTCAATCTATTTTTTCAATTAAAATATAAAATTATTTGAACTCATAAAAATATCTTTTTCAAAAATTGTTGTGTTGAATTGTTCTGGGTTGGGTTAAGGTGTGTATGCTAGGATATTTTTCTAATAAAGCATCATAAAAATTATATCTTAATTAATGTAAGGAAAGTACCCTGAAAAAAAGAAAAGAAATTTATTAATCTTAATCTAAAGCAACTTGTCAATCATAATAGATTAAAAATTAATTGCAAAAGTAATGCTTTTGAATTATAAAAACAATTGCGAATCTTAGATGAACAAATTATCTAGATACAAATCACAAATAAAAATTAATTAATAATCTCGATACCCCTCAAAATAATTAAGCAAACACAAGCAAATTAAGTTAAGGTACCAAATGACAAAAATGAATTAATTACAATTGCTTAGAGATGTGATAATCTTTTGGGAGCATCCCAATTTCTTAAGAATATGAACTCTTATATTTATCTACATTAATTGGATCGGGATCAACAACTTGATCAAAGTCTTCTTCATTTGAGATGTCGAAGTCAATTTCGCACTCACCCTTTTGTTTTAGCTTTTTTGACCTGAATATGTTAAGCTCTGGGAGTAAGTCCTAAATGCGTATTTTGATGTTTTACTTTTCTTTTTATAAATTGTGAAGTATTAAAAATAAAATCGCTCTTTGATTAAAGTGTTAATGATAAATTCTTTCACAAAATTTCTATGAGTTTTCTTATAAATTCTAATTAAAAACACCTAATCAGGTTCCGATCATATTATTCCTCGTGGAATAGACAAATATTAAAACTTTATTTTTATTTTAAGAAAGACCTGCCCCATAAATTTTTTGATGAATGAGGATAGGAATATCTCTATTTGTTTAATAAAATTAAAATAGAGGTTTGAATTACTTGGTAATTTCCATGCATCAGGTTGCATCCAATTCTTTATGCTTGATCCATTCATATATTCTTTCCCAAATCCAATTGTCTGCAACTTATCTTCTAAATTCAAAAAGTTAAGGGGCTTCATAGACTGTGAGTTCATAGATGTGTTGAGTGTGGCAGCTCCTCCGCCAATTAACTTTTTATTTGAATTATTTATTAATTTATTTATTTAGCATTGTTAAAAGTTAAGAAATTAAAAATATTCTCTACTGCTGTAATTGTATTGTCATGCTCTTCTTCGATTGAATTGAATTTGTCAAGGTTTAATGCATTCTTTTCGTTATATACATCTTCAAGAGGAATATCATCTTACTCTGGAATTATTTAATCGTTGTAGTCGTCGTATCCATGAGGATTGGTGGTTATCAAGTTATGATTAAAGCTGTTTGAAAGATTTGCAGCATTGAATGAAGCAGGATTATCTTATAAGAGTATTTACTCTTTTTCAAGAGGTTCTAAATAATCATCAACCTAATTCAAAATAGCTGCATCAATTTCTTGCATGATTTCTCTCTCACCTTCTTCTATTTCGTTTATAAGCTTATTTTACATTGAAATTTCAGAGTTTGTAGAAATCAAGAAGTTTGTTCTCCTGTTCTGGAAATTATTTTAAAAATAAGTCAAATAAATGCATTTGTATAAAATTAATTTTAAGCAATTTAATCATGTTAATATTTTGAAATAATTTATTTTACTTCTCTTATTCTTGACACATCAAAGATCTGCTTTGAATTATTTCTCATGTCTAGAGCCAAATTAGTCATTTCGGGACAAAGCTAGCACTTAAAGATACTCTCATAATTTGTTGGTTTACCTAGATAAAAAAAATTCAGAATAAATACATAGCGATTATTTGCTTATTAGTTTTATTTACCACTATTTAAACTTGCTATTTCACCATAAGTTGCTTTTTTTTGCTTTCTTCTCTTCCAAAGTTGCTACTGCTTAGATGAGTCAAGCAAAATTGAGACATCAGAATCTATCTATTTTAAAGATTATTTCATTGTTATTCATTTTTCTTATAATTTGAAATTTTAATAATAAATACTCCTATAGCATTCATAAGAAGTCCTTTAGCTCCTGAGTCATCAAATTTTGCAGAGGTTTTTTGAAATAGAGGATCAATGTCGAATTCTAAATCGTATTTGGTGGCATTGATATTCGCTAAGTTCTTTTCTAAAGTGCTCTCACCTCCTTTGAATTTCTTCTTTTGCAATTTCTTTTCTATTTCTTCATCTTTTTCAAGTGGGTCTTCTAAATCATTTGCTTTATTAGCATCTATATAATATATATTATTATAGAATCAACTATATAATGTATAAATAACTTAACTACCTTTTATGTCTTAAACCTCTGAGCGATTAAGGCCTCCTCTTATTTTATAAGTGTCACTATGCAAACTGTCTACACGATATCTTTTGTTTGTATTTAAATATTATTAAAATTAAAATCCGTTAATTAGCATACCCATAAATCCTTGCACCTGCATCAAGAGTGCTTGAGAGCTTCTTCCAAGCAAAATCTGTATTTATGTCTTTTTTAACAAAAATTATATTAAAAATATGTGTTTTAGAAGAAGTATTTCTTCCTCATAAAAACAATGCTTACTTTTAAAATCAGAGAGATCTAAAACATTTACAACAGGGACTTCAAATGCATTTTTTGAGTTGATTTTCTTTAATGATAATAAGATTTTTGATGAATGACAAGAAAAAAAACAAAGCTAACAAAAAATTCTAAAATTTGAATTTATAAGAAATATGTATTACGTTTTTTAACAAAAGGCCTACAATTATGTCGCTGATTTTATCTTAATTAGAGTTTTTAGCCAATTTTGCATCTTCAATGTTGTATTCCTCTTCTATTTCCTCATCTTCTTCCCTATCATATAAATTCTACCTTCTTTATATTATTTCTTTTGATGTTTCTTTCTTGGATTGCTATTGCAGCTTCAAGGAATCTAACCCTTCTTCCTAATTGGTTTCTAAGTCCAGCGAAACTTCCTTCTTTTTTTTAGCTATTTTTTTGCTTGCTCCTAAAAACTTTTCCCTCGAGTTAGGGGCATTTTGTGAATTTTAGGATGAATTCACTTGCTTCTCGCTTAAAGGTTTACCCTATAGTTTTTAGAAAATAAAAGGTCCTATTTGTTTTGAATATCATTTAAAATAAATAAACCTACCATAGATAATAGCACTTATGTGTGTGTGACTAATAACTTTTATATTTAATTCTATACACTAAATTATATAATAGCTTTTTTGTATGCAATTTTAAAATAAATGGATTAATTAATTAATTGCCTTTAATTAAAGATTCTATCAAAATTTTTAAAATTGAAAATATTGCTTTAAATGAATTAAAACTTGTTTGTTATTTTGATTTTTTTGTTTTTTGCGGGTTTTATTATTCAAAAACAAACAAACAAATAACAATTTTTTTTATTAAAATCAATTCAATTAGCTAGCAAGATTCACTCTTCATTGATTAATTTATGCATAAAACACATCAAATAATTTTTCAAAGTATCAAACAAATACATTTATTTTTTTTGAAAAAATAATTTTAGAAGAAAAAAAATCTAAATCAATAAGTAAGTCAATAATACAATGAATAATAAAAATTTTTTTATATTTGTAAGAAAAAGTAATAAAAATAATAATGAATTCATAAGTTCTCATAATTAAATGAATGAATCATTATTTATGAATATAAAATGTCAATTTCTCGTTGAATTATAAGTCTGAAAAGTATTGAGCAAACATTTTTTTTGAAATATACTTTTTTAAGCAAATAATTTTTTACAAATTAATTTATTTTTTGAGTTGCTTGCCTTTTTGAATAAATCTCTCGTATAATATTTAATATTGTTTATTTTATATTTGCTGATGCGATTGATAGATAGATAGATAAATAGATAAATACAACAACAATGACTAAATTAGGTACCTGATCATAAAATTTGATGAAATTACCCTACCCGTCTCAATTTAAAAAACAAGAAATCAAAATCTTAAATTGAGATTAATAAAAATAGCTTGCTTTGTGGTCTGTCTATTGGTAGATGATTTATAAAATACATATATACTATACATATACATATATATATAAATATATATTTATTAAGAAGGCATAACCACATTTTAATAATAAATTAATTAAATAAAAAAGAATATAAAAAAAGAAAGATAAAAATTAGCTAAAAGAATGAAAATTTCATCTATTATTTTAGTTGCCCTCATCTGCGGAGTTACTTTCGCAGCTGACACTCCAACCTGCTCTGGATATCTCAGCAATACTTGTAATACTACCAACTGTTAATTCACACCTGACACTAACGGAGTTAGTTTTTGTACTTCTAAATGCTTTGGATTTACTGCTTAAGATGATTGCTAAAACAGTGCCTCTAATTGCTCCTACTAAGCTTCTAAATGTCTTCCCAAGGCTACTGATTGTGAATTATATAACAAAGATAAAGCAACATGCACCAATCATAATAATGCATGTTAGTTTTCTGTTACTAAATGCACACCAAATGACGATTTAACAAATAAATGTAAAGCCTTTACCAACTATGCTACCTGTTCTGCTCCCAACACTAACTGCTTATTTAATGCTACCGGAGCTATATCCTGTGTTGCAAAAACTGATTTATAATGCGATAACGTATGCGCTAATCCTAACGGTAATTGCTCATTTGGAACTTGTTCAAATCCTAACACTTGTAATACTCTCGCAGAAGCAGATTGTAAAGGAACTTGTTCATGGAACGCAGCAAACAAAGCTTGCGAAGATGCATGTGCTTCATAAACTGATGCTGTAAAGTGTAATGCTTTAGGATGCAAAAATGTGTGTAATAATACAGCTCAAACAACCTGTTAAGATCTTAAAACTGATGCACTTTGTGTTGCTAATACTAATTGCGTTTCTTAAACTCAAGGTACATGTGGAGCAAATTAAGATGCTTGTAATATTGCTAATTGCGATTTAAATAACTGTGATTCAACTGGTGAATGCTCAGCTTCTGAATGCCCTGGTGATGCTAATAATTGTGGTCCTAATTGTTTCTAACTTCCTGCTACATGTGTACCCAAAAGTGCAACTTAATGCCTTAATTCTATCAAGGATGCAAGCAACTGTGAAAGTTAAGGATGTGTTTTTAGTTAGGTTGGTACTTGCTCTACTAAATCAAGCAATTCTGTTATCATTATCTTCTCTTTACTCTCTAGCTTAATTGCTTTAATGTTCTGATTTACATAAAATCCTAAATATAAAAAAATATAATTTTAAAAGATAATTATATGTATTTTATTATATATGATGGTCTTTATTATCTATCTTGTTTTTTTATTCTTAAAATAAATAAATAATGAAGGATTCTTAATTAGATTTTGCAATTTATTATTTAACAATTTAATATTTGGTTTCTAGCTTTATTTTCTTTTTTTGAACTAAGCGAAATAAGATGCTATTAATAATTTAAAATCTAACAGATTTTTTTATTTAATTCTAATTTCTACTACTTAAAAACTTATAGATTTACTTTTTTAATTCTAATTTCTAAAATTCCCTTTTATGGAAACAGTTTCTTCTTTTAAGACAAAGTATATTTAAATATTTATTAATTTTCTTTGTTATTTGTTCAAAAATATATTTTTTTAACATTTTAATAATTTATTTTTTTAATTATTAAACGCACTATTTTAAAATAAAATATTTTTTAAATAAAATTTAATTAATTCATTTTTTTAATTTAATTTATTTTAAAAATATAACTTTTTTAATTTTAATTTTGCAAATAAATATTTCCTCTATTGTAAATTAAAAATGAATATTATTAGTAAACCATCATTTTTATAAATTATTACTTATTCATTTTTATTGGTTATTTTAATTATTTTACCAATACTTTTACTCCCAAAATTCATATTCTTATTTTTGAAAGTATTTAACAAAAAATATTTCCAATTAAACATTTTCGAAAAGCTTAAACTATTTTTTTAATTAATTAATTTTTGTGGCTAAAATTAATTCATTGAAATAAATTTACTATTTTTATCATAATAAAATTATTTTTAACCCATAAAATAAATTAAATTTACTATTTTAGTTACATCTTAATCATTTATTTAAAAAAATTACCATACTAAGATGGATGTGATTGTTTAAAAATTATCTTTTGAATTTCTAATTCTATTAAATAACTAAAAAAAAATTTAAGAAATTCAAACTTTTTTCCAAAAGTAGTTAGTTAGGCAATACTTTTAAATGATTTTATTTATTACAGCTACTTGTTTTTAAGGATATAGATTAAAATAGGTGCTTAAAACAAAGAAAAATATTATCCATAAAATTTTAATTTAGCAAAAATGTTTTAAATTATAAATTTGTAATTCCATATTTTTAAAATAATTAAATAAAATTTAAAAAATAAATAAATTTACAAATATAAAAAAAATAAAGCAATTGATGCAAATAAATAAATTTTTTATAAACAAATATTCATCTTTTTGAAAAATAGCTCTCAAAACATATTTGATAAGCAATACTAAAAGAATATTTATAGAGAGTTATTCTTTTAAAAGAATAAAAAAACGATATTATATTTTAATGAATTAAAAATTGATTTTGAATTCATTTAATATATAAATTTGTTGAAGACATAAAATTAAGTTTTTTTATAAAATTTAATTAAAAAACTAGAAAATAAGAAATAAAAAATTTTTAAAAATTCATAAGAGAACTAACTAACTAAACTAATCTTACTTTTTTTCAAGAAAATTTTAGAAAAATTTCATCAAAATAAAATGAATATTCTAAACTTTAAATTTATTCTAGAAATTAATGTTGATTTATTAAAAAGATTTAGTGTTTAAATATTATAAAATTTATCATAAATTTTATTATTTTATTTTTTGCATAGATTAAATTATGAAATTATAAACAATAAAGGAACTTTACTCTCATAATGATCAGTTATTTTATGATTATTGTAGAAATCGCATTAATTTTTTAATAACCAAAATTTATAAAGCAATATCAATCTTAATATCTTGAAAATAAGAAGGAATAAAGACAAAATTCTTTCAAAGAGATTTTTACTATATGATAAGATGAATTTTAAATGTATAAAAATTCAACCAATCAAATAGCATTAATTGATTATTTCAATCCACTTTTAAAATAAGTTAAAAATTATAATCAAAAAAAAATTAAATTCTTTAAACCCTAATATAATTTCTTTTAGAACTAAATGATAGTTATTAAAATAAATTGACATGTTTTCATCATCCTTTTTTTTAAATTAGGTGAGAATAAGTAAATTAAAAAAGGAACTTTTGCAAGATTTATCATTTATATTGAGCATTTTCCTTGTCATATATCCTTACTTTGTTTACCTAACATTTTAAAATAAAAAAAATAGAATCACCATAAATATAGATCATAAAACTTTATTGCTAATGCCTTATTCAGCTAGATTTGAGAGTAATATTGTTAGCTTTCGGTTTCAATGATGAGATAACAAAGATTTATATATCCTGTAGACATAGGAAAATAAAAAAATATATAGTGCATTAGGCTTATCCAAATTATAAAAGAGAGCCCAGCATTTCTTTTATGAAGCGAGAATTGATGTAATTTATTGTACAAATCCTCTAATTGTTTGATATTATTGTACTAATTATACTTAAGTATCCAACTATACTTTTGAACATAGTCCTAAAGATAATGTATAAAGTTAAATATTTCTCTTGGCATATGGTTGTTTGTATTTAAATCAAACTAAATCAAAAATTCCTAATAACTGCGCTAGCTAAAAAGATATTAGGTAACTTTACGCTTAATATTATTATCTTAGTAATACAAATTAACTTCATAGAAGATAAAGTAAAATTACATAAATAATTTCATGTATTCATACTCACCTGATTAAGCTTTTTGGAATAAATTTGTAGGTCAAACATAAACTACTTGAGTGAAAAATGGTCTTTTAGTTTAATCTTAATAATATTTTTCTTCTCTATTATCCGATGACTAAATTAATTAATTTAAGTTATAATGAAGTGAGGCTCTAATTCCTCATGATGTTGGTTGTACCCTATTGAAAAGTTCTGATTAATAAAATATTTAATTTAAATTCAATATCTAATTTATCCATAAAATATTAGCCTACGTAAACAGAACGCTTGCTCTTATAATGATATTAGGATTCTTTAGGATACTTTGGTAGAGGTATTACTTAGAGAATAATATAGCAAGAGTTTTTCCTTCTATTTTTTGTAGAATAAATAATAGGAAGGACACTTATGAGAAAATAATGGAAATTAATTAGATATTTTAGAATAAGGATAGAATACACGTTGAGATAAATAAATTATTGCTAATTGCAGATTTTTTTTTTTGTAATAGAGAGATAAATAGTGATGGGTTACACCTATAACTATTTATCTTTCTAATAGAAATTAATATAATATTAAATAAATTTATATAATAGTATTTTATATATTTATATGTAATTTGTATTTGATTAATAATAATTTAAATAAATTTTAAATTTAAATTTAAATTAATTTTTTTAAATTTAAAAGTAAACAAATAAATAAATATAAAATAATATAAAATAATACAAAATTTAAAAATAATTTAATTTATTTATTTTTTAATTTATTTTAACATGTAGCTTCTCAGCTACAGAAAAAATTTGCTGCAAATAGCAATAAAAAAAGAAATTGGAGAAATTCATGAAGAATCGAATAATGTAAAATTAATAACAATTCCTTCTTTTATGGTGAAATAAAAATAAATATCAAGCAATAATCACTCATAAAATTTGTAAAATTTAAAAAATTATATGAGAAGAGAATATAGATAAGATAGAGTAAACGAATTTAATGAGCCAGCTGTAAGATTTAATACTAATTAGACTGACAGAGAGTGATTATAATTAATACTTAGCAAAAGGGAAGATTGAATAATCTAATGCTAAATTAAACAAATAAGAAATTAACCAATATTTTAAAAAGAAGATGGAAGTCATTATTAATTCTAAAGTTTACAAAAATAAATACACAGAAAATCATATTAGGAACAAAGCAAAATTTAAATGACATCTATCTCATAAATAAATTTTGAATTAAATTAATTAATAGTTTAACAATAATAAAAGTAATAAATCATTAGAATTAATTAATTAGGTATATAAAAAGAAAGAAAATAAAATGTACAAGAAGAGTTTGATATATCTATGAAACAGTGAATTGAATAGAACTTTTAGATATTTTACAGCTGTATCAAGACATCATATTCCTGAAAAAGGTGGTTATGATCTTGATCAGCAAAAATTAGTTAGCCTCTATTTACCTTGTAGGTTGATCACTTACTTTTTATGCAAGGAGATTTGCTATAAAATCTTTAATGCCTCCACTTTAATAAATTTAGAAAAAGTAAAATGAGGAAATTACTTTGAAAAATAAGTCACCATATCATTATAGTAAGAACTTAAGGCAAAAAAAATCCTTTTAAAAATTCTTATATTAGAGCATAAAAATTACTTAATTGAGTGATGGAGATTATAGGATATATTCAGTTATTAGGAATCTAATTAATTGATAACTAAAATCCTCAAAAATCAATAAAAATTATTTATTTTGTATTTAAAAATTGATTTAGTTTTCTTAATTCAGTCAGTTTGTTTTATTTTAAATCATTTCTTTAACTAAAAATCAAGTTTTTTAATTAATGTGTGATAATTGATTGATTAGAATAAATAGTTATTTATTTTTCCATAAAATTAATTATTCTATCACTGAAATTTTAGAAATAAAAATAAAGTTGTGCTCATTGAAATAATAAATAAAAGCTAGAATTCAAAATAAGACAACCAAAATCTTTAATGCAATGATAAACAAAAATTGATTATTAATTAATTAATTACGTATCATTTTAATAAACTGAATTAATTCTTGAAGTCTTCTCTATTCACAAATTAATTTAACTAAATGCTTTGCAATTTTATGTTATTAAGCGTATTATCAAATAAAAAACAGTACTGTAAAATAAATAAGAGGTTTTATTTGTTATCTTTATTTTTCATATTTAGAACTTACATAATAAATGATTGAAATTGAATATTTTTTTATTTAAAAATAAATTAAAAATATGTTTAGAAACAAAAAGATAAACATATTTTTGTTGTGAATGTTTTAATTATTGTCATAAACATATTAAATTTAAAATCACAAGTTTAAAAATAATGAAAAATTTTATTTAGATTAATTTAAAATATTGTTTTAATCATAAAAAACAACTCTTTAGTAGCACAAATTTATATAAACCTAAAAAATAATAATTATTAAAAAACTTTTAATTGAGAAAGTAAAACAAAATAAATAGTGATGAGTATTAAAAAATATGATATGTTTTCCTCCTATTTTTTTTTTAATTTGGGGAATTAGTAAAATAAAAAAGGAACATTTATTGGAGCACTACTGACTATTGCTGTTATAGCTTCTGCCTTAACTTACTTTGTTTATCTTACGATTTAATATTTTGATAATTAGATTGATCCAAAATATAAATCCTAAAATTTCATAACTGAAGATCTAGTAGAAGTAAACTTAACTAACGATTTAGTAGGATTTAGATTTGAATACGATGTCAATAAGAATGTATTAGATTTAGAAGCCTAATAAAACAAAACGTATGTGGTTTTCAAAGCTTTTTTTAATTACTAAAATAGCACATTTGCTAGCATGACTCCTATTGATATAGTAAATTGCACTAATCCATAACTTGAAGGTTATTTATGCATAGATTTTTCAAAAGTTTCCAATTTTACGCTAAATATCAACACAAAAAATAACTATAAGACAGCTTTATACGTTTTAACTTATGGTTGCTTAGATATTAATGGCTTCTAAAAGACATCTCCTTCAAACTGCGCTAATTAGGATGAAATTAATAATATTGTTAATGGTGAGAAGGCTAGTTTACGTACAAAACTACTTAGTGCTTAATTTAACACAACTTCAAAATAAAAATAATCAAGCTATAGAAATAACTATATGTACACCTCAGCAGATTAAGCTATTGAGGTTTCCTATAAATTGCAAAAGCAAATTACGAAAGTTAGGAAGGTTTTTTAATACAATCAACAAGTATTTATGAATCTCCTTTTCAATATGAATAAGTTTATTCAACTAGTCTTAGGAATTCGTCTGCAATATAAGGAGGAATACTCCCATATGGTAAGTTTGTTATCTCTATGGATGAAATGGTTTATCAAATCACTGTTCAATATCCTACTTTTCCAGAAATAATGGCTTTGGTAAATAGTGCGCTTGCTCTTCTGATGACATCAGGATACATTGGTAGATATATTGCTCAAAAATTCATAAAATAAGAATTTTTTTTACTTTTCCTTTAGAATATGTATCAAGATACATATGAATAAATTATGCAAATCAATAATTTATTTTAAAAAAATGATGCAATATACTTTGAAAAGAGATTTCATAAAAAAAATATTAATGAAGAATTTTAAGTTTAGGATAATTAGTAGAAAATAGCTATTCCTTACTTCAGAGCTAATAATAATTCTATGTCTTAAAAATTTTCTACTATTATTGCTAACGAAAATGATTGTTAAAGTTAAATTAGTCCAAAAAGAGAAACTGAATAACAAAATTTATAAACAGAATAAGAAAAAATAGAATAGACGATTACAATTACTAATTAACATGAAAAAAGTGACTTTTTTGATAAATAAATGGTTTATGCAGAAATATAATTAGGTAGACGTTTCTTAAAGTCCATTCTTAAAAACAGCTTTACCAAAATAAAAGTTTGATTCTTTTGAGGAAATATCATTCTAAAAGGGATATTAACATATAATAAATAAATAAAGTAAAAGGGGTGAAAAAGAAAAGAAAATAAGATTGACTATTGGATAAAGAAAATCATAAAATTGTTTAAACTTGAAATCTGATTAAATTCAAAAAATTAGTTAATCTGATGGTCTGTAACTAAAAAAGGAGGTGATGGAAAAGTTAGATAACAAACAAATCAATTCATATTTCACAAAAAAATTAGAGTTAATTTAAAATTAAAAAGTGGGCAAAAACATTCAAAATAAAATTTTTGGAAAAAGGTATGTTTTTTACTTATTATACATTTTTGTATTTTAAAGAAATTTAAATAAATAAACATCCATCTATTTTATTTATCGTAATAGATTGTGGAAGAAGAAGTAGGAATAGGGTTATCAGTAATTAAATGAATCTTCAAAGAACTTAATTGAATCCTAGGTTGAGAAAAGCTTAGATATATTGTAATTGTATAGAGATATTATCTTTTTGAAGAAAGCAGTAATGGTTATATTGAGCAAAGATCAATTAGCTACATTATAACTTGTTGATTGTTCTCCATACTTTTTAAGTAAAGAAATTAATTAGGAAACAAAAGACCATTCTTAGATATGTATTAATTACTTAATTATTTATCTATAATTTTGATATTAAACAAACAAAAATATTTGGTAAAAAAGATCAAATGAGAAAAAGAAACTATTTTGAGGAATAGTTTGCTATATCATTGTCATAAGACCTATAGAAAAAGTACATCGCTAAATTCCTAGAAAAATGTTAAAATAGCAGTGACTTAAGCGAAATCGACTGTAGAATTCTATCATCTGTTATTAGAAATAAAGTCGACTGATTAATTAATTAGTGTTTGAAAGATCAAATTTTAATAAAAATTTTAATTTTACAAAGTTTATTTAAAAAAATTATTAGTTAATCAATTTATTAATGATTTCATTAATTTATTTTGATGGTTTTATTTTTGTTTATTTGTGTTATATTTTGATTTTTAATTATCCACTATGAAAATTATTTTTTTTAATGAGCAAAACAAGTTTCATTTTTATATAGGAGTTGGTCAATTAATGTTGATATTGAACTGATTAAATTGTTGTTTTTGTATGTAATTTTAATATTCTTACATTTATTATTAAATAGGCAAATTTATTTATTTATAATTAAATAGATTGCTTGAAAAAGAAACAAAAAGTTTTCTTTTTACGTACTTGCTAATAATATTTATCTTATTAATGTTAATTTTTATTTACAATCATTTTGGAGAAATGGGAAATTTAAGGATGAGGTAGGGTTAAAATAAATGGACCTCTACCAGCTTTTATTTCTAAACGCATCACTTTTAAAAAATATTATGATTTAATAAGTAAAAACTTTTTTCAAGGAACTAACTTATCACCTTTTTCTAGTAAATAATTAGAAGGAAAAAAGCCAAACAAACAATATTAAATAGAAGAATAATGATTTTAAAACTTAAATTAATTAATTTCAAAATAAATTTAAATAAAAGAAAAATTGATAAAAAATGAATTCATTCATTCATTATTAAAATTAAAATTAGTAATAAAATAAATAAATTTTCATAAAACAATAATTAATAACTAACTAACTAACTAACTAACTAACTAACTAACTAACTAACTAACTAACGAACTACACATTATTTAATTCTTATCAGTAAATTTATTTACCTAGATAAAAGCTTTTTAAGAAGAGAATAAGTAATGTTTATGATAATAGCTTTTATTAAACACCTTTTTATTTAAAAATATGCTTAATAAAGTAATAGACTAATTGGTATTAAAATATAAGCGCAATAAAGTTGTAGAGCAGAATGATAAATAGTTTTTGGCTTAACAAGAAATCTAAAATAAAAATAATGTATTAATTAAAAATCCTATTAATCAAATAGAGCAGCAAGATGAATAAATTTTGAAATAGCAGTAAATAAAAGAAATTCAGTTTAAAGAGATTTAAAAAAATAATAAATTGTTATTAAATGAATTGATAAAAAGTACTATTGATTTCAAGTATATGTTTAAAAATTTAAAGTAAAATTAATTTTTATATTAGTCCTTAAAGCAATATTCAAGAAAAACTTGTAAAACCAATCGAAAATCAAGATGTTTTACTGAAACAAAATGAATATTAAAAACCTAAATTAAACAGTTAAGAATTATTCTACCACAATTAATTAAAATGACAGATTTGAGAATAAATGTGACTATATGATTTTAACTAAATGTATTATAATATGATAGATTTGAAAAATATGTAATAGTTTGAACCTAAAATATCTGAAAGCTAAAGCGGGAAATAGAAGGGAATATTTATCTGAATAAAAATGAATGTTAAAATGACAATTTATTCCATTAAGAAGTAACAGATGATAAAAACTGATTTTAATATTTTTATTTTTTCACATCAAAGTGATATCAGAAATGAAAAAATTGAAATGAAAGAACAGGTAGGTGTATTATTCTGAGTATGTTGATCATTTCAGAATTAATTAATTACCATGATGAGAATGGAAAGCCAAATATCTGAAAAGGAGATTTAATGAAACTTATAAAGATTTTGTATTAAGGGGGGTTTAGGAAATAGCATAAAAATTTAATAACAAAAAATAAAAGGATAAATTAATGAGTTGTCCTATTGTTTTCTTTTATTTTTGTAATAGATTAACATATATATATAGATACTAAGGATTATGAAACTATTGATAGACAATTTTAAAATAATTACTCAAACTTGTTAATACTTAGTTAGTCTGGATTATCAATTTTTTGTTAAGGGTTTAATTAGAATAGAAAAAAAAACGAACAAAAAAAAAGTTATATGAACCAAAACAGACAAGTACTTTTTCTAATTAATTTTTTTATATTATTTTATAAATAGAGGAATCATTGTCTAATACTTCTAATGCAAGATTAAGCTAATTTTAATAATATGTTTTTTAATGTAGGTCATTTAAAAATTATTTAATTTTTTTTTTAATTAAATTAAAAATGTGTGAAATGTAGCTATTCAAGTAAAATGCCTGGGAGACAAAAAATTGGCATGTTAGGCTTCATTTTTTTATATTATAGATAATTATTTTTAATGATATTTAGTAGAAAAAGTACATAAACAGATAACATATTATCCAAAAATTATTTTTTAAAATTATAATGTTAAAAAAACTACATATTAATTCTCCAAAAATGTTTGAGATAAAATTTCTATAGAAATAATTTTTAAAATAATCAAATAAAATTAAATAAAAAAATAAATAAATTAAAATTTTTTTTAAATTAAAAAGAAGTAAAGCAATCGATGACAATAAATACTTATTTATTTATTTTTATAAGCAAATTATTGTTCTTTTTTAAAAAAATAGATAATAAAGATAAATATAATAATTAATAATAAAATGAAATTTATTTTTTAATAGAATAAAAATATGAGATTATGTTTTAATGATTTAAAAAAGATTTTAAATTCATTTAAAATATAACTTATTTAATAGATAAAATTAACTTCTTTTATAAAATTATTTTCGAAAACTCTGCTTACGGAATCTTAAATTTCAAAATAGATAAGAATACTAACTAATCTTACTTTTTTTAAGTAGCGTCTTAAAAAAATTTCATCTAAATAAAATCAATATTTTAAATTGAAAATTCATTTTTGAAAATTAGTTATTATAAATATTAAAAAGGTTTAAATATTAAATAAACTATATGATTTTATTTTCTTAACTAACTAAATTATGAAATTTTTAACAATTTAGGAATCTTTACTCCCTTATTCCTCAAATAATTTTATGATTATTGCTGCAATTAATCACATCAAACTTAGTAATAACCAAAATTTATCATAATATTTTAAAAATTAAAAAAAATAAGCAGGAATGAATGATCACAAAATTCTTACTAAAAGATGGTAAAATTCGCAAAGATTCAACAATCAAATAGAATCAATTCATTATTTCAATTCGCTTTTTAAAATAAAGAAAAATAATTCAAAAATTATAATCATCAAAAAAATTAAAATTAGTAAATCCAAATTTAATTTCTTTTAAAAATAAATGAGAGTTACTAAAATGAACATATTCTGATTATCCTTTGTTTTTGACTTGGGTGAGAATAAATAAATTAAAGAGGATTATTTACAGGATTTATTTTGATATTGAGCATTTTCCTTGTCATATTTTCTTACTTGTTTACTTAAAATTGTAATGTACAGCTAATCGAATGTACCCTAAATATAGATCACAAACCTTTGTGACTCACTGATCTTCTTAATCAGCTATATTTGAGAAGTAATATTGTTGGTTTCAGGTTTTAATACTTAGCTATCAAAGATATATTTAACCTAGATGGATTAGAAAATAATAAAAAATTATTTTTTATTAGGTTAACTATCTAAATTATAAAAGCCCAACATTTTCTATAATTAAAAGAATTGATATAGTTAATTACATAAGTCTTCTTTTGGAAGGATAATGTTGTATTGATTATCCTTAAGTATCAAACTATACAATTGAAAATAGTACTAAAGATAATGTCTAAAGTTAAATCTTTCTCTTGGCTAATCGTTGTTTGGATCTTGATCATTCTAAAACAACAACTCTTATAACTGCGCCAGCTAAAAAGATATTGATGATATGGACAATGGTGACTAGGCTGCTTTACTCATAAATTTATTACTTTAGTAATACAAAAACTTCATAAAATATAGAGCAAACTTATAGAAATAATTTTTAAGCATCCTTTCTCAGAATAAGCTCATAGAACTTAATTCAAAAATAAACCATTTATGTGAAAAATGGTTGTTTAATTTATTCTGAATAATCTTTTTCTTCTCTATTATCCTATGAATAAATGAATTAATTCAAGTTTCTAATGAAGTGAGGCTCTAAATCCTAATGGTGTTGGACCCTATTATAAATTCTCAATTGACTAAAATGAAGTATACTATTAAATCTAAATTTAATATCCTACTTATCTTGAAATAAATATTAGCCTTGGTAAAAAGCATGCTTGCTCATATAATCACATTAGGATACTTTGGTAGAAGTATTTATTGCCTATAAAATAATAAAGTAAGAATTTTTCCTTTTATTATTGTAAATTATGTACTAAGATACTTAAGAGTAAATAATACAAATCAATTAGATATTTCAGAAGAAAGAAGGAATATACTTTGAGAAATAAAATTTGAGAAGATAATGTAGAATCAAATAATGCGTAATTAAAAACAATTCCCCTTTTTTTAAAGAGAAATCAAATGTTATATCTTACAATCAATCATTGATAAAATTTGTAAAATTTTAAAAATCATTTGAAAAGTTAAAATATGTAATATAAAATATAATGAACCAGCTGAATGTATTAAGATTATTGGTACTACTTAGATATGTGTTGATGATAATTATTATTTAGCAACAGGGAAAATTGAATAATCAAATTTAATCGAAAATGAAAGATTCACAAGTCAAAAATCAACATTTCCATCAATTTAAAACTCACCAAATACTTTTCAATCAACGTTGCAGAAAAGTTAACTTAATTCAAAAGCAAAACCACTGAAAATCAATCAGATTATAAAGAAGAATAACATTTGATTTTGATTAAACTAAATTTAAATTGAAAAATTAGCCAACTATCATCAATTATCGAAAGTTAATTACCTGATAAAGAAAAGGTTTTGCAAATTTTAAAAAAAGTGAAGAAAAATTAAACAAAAATTTAGATATCATGAATGAGTAATTTCAAAGTTTCTAAAAATAAATATATAGAAACAAAGAAAATTTAATGGTCAATATTTCTTATTAATTCTGAATTAAATTAATAAACAAATTCAAGATAATAAAAATAATAATTGATTTACATAAATTTATTAGATTCTGGAAAAGGAAGGAAAATAAAAATGAACAAGAGTTTGATATATACGTGAAACAGTTAATTGATTCCCATGTTGAAAAGAGCATAGCTATCTTACAGCTGTACCAAGATTTTATATTTCTGAAAAAGAAGAGATGGTTTTCCTTAGCTAAGATTAGTTAGCTAGTAGGTAGTTCACCTTATTTTTAGGAAAGGAAATTAGTAATAAAAACCTTAATTCTTTAATTTTTTTCAGGATGCTAATAATTTATAGTAAATTATGTTCTAACTATAAATTTAGAAGAAGCAATTAGAAAAAGTTGCTTTGAAAAATAATTCACCATATTATTATCCAAGAACTTAAATCAAAATACATAGAAAAGTAGACAAAAGAATTTTGATTAGGTGATGCTGATTATAGATTAGGAATCAAATTAATTAAATTAATTGAAAACTAAAATCCTCAAAGATAAGCAAACAAATATTATTTATTTATTTATTTTGTATTTTAAAATTTATGTTTGTTTTCTTAATTCGATCGATCTATCAATTTGTTTTTTAAATGATTTCTTAAAGTAAAAGTCAAAAAGAATTTTTTTAAATTCAATATGATTATTGATTAATAAAATAAATAGTAGATCATTTTTATATATATATTAATTAATTAATGAAGAATTGATTAAATGGGGATATTAACTTTACACCAACACCTGTTTTTTTAATTTCAAAAGTTATATTTCCCAAAAACCCCACCAAGTTATTTTCTCATATCAATATGTAAGCAAACAATCACTGAAATTTTAGAAATAAAATCTAATTATGTTTATTTAAATAACAAGGCTGACAGTAAATTCAAAATAAAACTATCTCAATCTTTAACGCAAAAATAACATAAATTTGATTATTAATAAATTTAGTATTATTTAAATAAATTTAATTAATTCATGTAGTATGTAAGTATGTACTTACCTACGTATATATGTATATCTTTTATATTCACAGATTATGTTTATTAAATGTTCTCCAATTTTACGTTATTATAAATTAGTGCTTTGTCTTAATGAGAAATTATATTTGCTTATTGTTTTAAAAAGATTGTTTAGAAATAAATAGATAAAATATTATTTTTACTTTTACTAATATTGAGAAACTTATTAAAATTTGTAGCTTATTAGATAATTTAAAAAATAATGATATATTTTACTTAGATGAATTTAGCATGATTGATTTAATTGTTGAAAACTCCTAATTTAGTAGCACAAATTTCTATAAAAATAAATAAAAAAAAAACTTTTAATTAGAAAAAATAAAAAAAAACAAACAAAAAGAGATGAGTTTTACAAAAATTGATATGTTTTCTTCCTCTTTTTTTTTTAATTTGGGAAATTCTCAGCAAATTAAAAAAGGAACGCTTATTGGAACTCTGTTGAGTATTGCTGTTATATCTTCTGTCTCTACTTACTTTGTTTATCTTACAGTCTAATATTTTAATAACAAGATTGATCCAAAATATAAATCGTAAAACTTTATAACTGAAGATCTAGTAGAAGTAGACTTAACAAGGGATTTAGTCGGTTTTAGATTTGAATATGATGTTAATATGAATATTTTAGACTTAGAAGCATAACAAAACAAAAAGTATGTGGTTTTCAAAGCTTTTTTTAATTACTAAAATAACACATTTGCTAGCATGACTCCTATAGACGTAGTAAATTGCACTAATCCATAACTTGAAGGTTATTTATGCATAGACTTTACAAAGGTTTCCAATTTTACGCTAAATGTGAATACGAAATAAAACTATAAAACGGCTATTTATGTTTTAACTTATGGTTGCTTAGATATTGATGGTATCAAAAAGACATCTGATCCTAATTGCGCTACCTAAGATTAGATTGATAAAATTGTTAATGGCCAAAGAGCTAGTGTGCGTACAAAACTACTTAGTGCTCAGTTTAACACAACTTCAAGATAAAAATAAACAAGTTATAGAAATAACTACATGTACACCGCAGCGCTGTAAGAAATTTATGTTTAATATAAATTGCAAAAACAAATTACAACAGTTTAGTAAGGCTTTTTAATTCAATCAACAAGCACTTATGAATCTCCTTTTCAATATGAATAAATTTGTGCAACTAATCTTAGAAATTCATCTACAAAATAAGGAGGAATACTACCATATTGCAAGTTCGTTATCTCAATGGATGAAATTTTTTATCAAATCACTGTTCAATATCCAACTTATCCAGAAATCATGGCTTTGGTAAATAGTGCGCTAGCTCTTTTGATGACATTAGGATACTTAGGTAGATATTTAGCTCAAAAATTCATAAAATAGGAATTTTTCTTACTTTTCCTGTAGAATATGTATCAAGACACCTATGAATAAATTATGCAAATTAATAATTTATTCTAAAAAAACGATGCAATTTACTTTTAAAAGAGATCTTTTAAAAAGAGTGTTAATGAAGAATTTTAAATTTAGTAGTATTCGCCGAAGATAAACGTTCCTTTCTTCAGAGAGAGCTAAAAATAATACTTTGACTAAAAAATTCTCATCTATTATTTCTAAAGAAAATGTTTTTTAAAGTTAAATTAGCCCAAAAAAAGAACTTTAGTAACATAATTTATAAACTGAATAAGATAAAATAGAATAAATGAATACAATTACGAATTAAAATGAAAAAAGCACCTTTTTAGATAAATAAATGGTTGAAATGCAGAAATCTAATTAGATCGACACTCCTTAAAGCCCGTGTTCACCTGCTTTATTAGCTTCGCCATAATAAAATTTTGACTCTATAGATGAAAGCTCATACTAACTCGCATATTAACAGCTAATGAACAATTTAAGTAAAAGCGGTGAAAATGAAAAGAAAATAAGGTTAACTATTGGATAGAGAAAATAGTAAAAATGTTAAAATTTGAAAACTGACTAAGTCCAAAAAATTAGTTAATCTGACAGCTCATAATTAAAATAAGAGGTAATTGAAAAGTTAGATTACAAAGAAATAAATTCATATTTCATAAAAAAATTAGAGATAATTTAAAACTAAAAAGTGAGCAAAAACATTCAAGATATAATTTTTGGAAAAAGGTATGTTTTTTACTTATAAGTTTTTAATATTCTATGTATCTAAACAAATTTAATTAATCATCTACCCATTTTATTATCATCATAGATTGTGGAAGAAAAAGGAGGAAAAGAATCGCCAGCAGTTAGATGAATCTTCTAAGAACTTGATTAAATCCTAGGTTGAATAAAGCTTAGATATTTTGTAATTGTATCGAGATATTATCTTTTTGAAGAAAGCCGTGATGGTCATATTGAGCAAAGATCAATTAGCGACACTGCAACTAGTTGGTTGTTCACCATACTTTTTAAGTAAAGAAATCAATTCGTAAACGAAAGACCTTTCTCAGTCATGTATTAATTGATTAATTATTTATAATTTCTATATTAAAAAAACAAAAATATTTGGATAAAAAAAGACCAAATGAGAAAAAGAAACTATTTTGAGGAACAGTTTGCGATATCTTTGTCATAAGATCTCTAGAAGAAGTACATCGCTAAATTCCTAGAAAAATGTTAAAACAATAGTGATTTAAGCGAAATCGATTGTAGAATTCTATCATCTGTTATTAGAAATAAAGTTGACTGATTAATTAATTAGTGTTTGAAAGATCAAATTTTAATAAAAATTTTATTTCAACAAAGTTCAGTTAAGAAGATAGTTAGTTATTAAATGTGATATGAATAATTTATCTTCATGGTTATTTTATGTTTATTTGTAGTAAATATTGATTTCAAATAATCTTTTTATTTTTAAATGTCTCTATGAAAATTAATTTTTTAATCATTAAAAAAAATTTCATTTTAATAAGTATCCATTGATTTATTGATTTTGATGTTTAATTCATTAAATTTTTGTTTGTTTTTATAAGTAATTCATAAAAATTTTCTTATAATTTTTATTAAAATAGCCAAATTAATTATTTTTAACAAAATAGCTTTACAAGAAAAGAAAATACTTTCTAATTGCTTGTTAATAAACTTAATATTTATTAATAATTAGAAGGATTTTTATAAATGACTAAATTAAAATTTAAAATAAATTTAAAAATGATATTAAAATTTTTGAAATAATTATTTTATATTGCAAAGAAAGAAAAAAAATTATATGTTATATTATTGAATTTGAATGTAATATATATCTTGCTTTTTTTTCATAAATTTTACATTGTTTTTGCTGAGAAATCTTAAAATTTACAAAGAAATTAAAATAATAGTTCATTAAAGATTTATTATTAGAAATACGGGCTTATTAATCTAAATATTTTTGATCCTAATATTAAATATTTCTATTTCGTTTTTTTTTACAAAGAATTTAAGTCATGGTATAGATTATTACATTCTAAGTATCAACAACTAAGTGAATCTTTAAAAATTAAATGCATATGTAAATCCTTAAATTTAACATAATTAACATTCCGCAAACACACATACTTAATTATCAACTAAAAGGACATAATTAAGCAAATGCCCTGAGGTATTAAGGTGACTAGATCTTCGAAAATTTCTATTTTTGTTTGCATGTTTATATATTTTTCTCTATAAATAAGGTAGTAGAATAATAAGATATTAAATTTATCTTCTTTAATTGACTAATTAAAATTCAATTGATAATACACCATATCTTTATTGTTAATATACAGAAAATTTTGCTTTTTGTGTTTCTACTACTTTTGGTAACGATGTGGGATTCTACAATTGCTAAACATATTATTTTAATAATTGTGATGAGTTACTTTTAGTAAATTTGCAAAATTCTATTCCTAAAATATTAAAAGCAGAAATAATTATAAGTGAATGAATGCCAAATCTATCCTTTACTTTACTGAGGATGATCCTTAGCATAATATAAGTTAGAAACTTAAAAAAAAACTAAATAAGCAAAAATTAGCAAAGTTTTTATTTTATGACTTTATGTATTAAAACAGTAGGTTAATCAATGAGTTATAACATATAATTCCCTAATTTTCTTTTGGTTGGTTTGAAAGTGCTATTTTTGAAGTTGATCAGAAAATTTTTTATTTTTTCTGATACTTTCAAAAAATAGAAAGAAAGACAAATCTAATGCTCAAAATTTCTTTTATTTAAATTGAGCAGTCTAAATTAATGTTCTATGTTAGTTAGTTAGTTATGTTAGTGATGTGAATCAAGAAAAAGGAAAAAGTGAAAAAATTCACAACATTTAGGTAAAAAATTATGTTTTTTATTCATTTTTCAAATCATTTAAAAATAATTAACCTAAAAACTTCTAAATAGGGTGGAAAATTAATTATAATGATAAAAAAAATAAAAAAATTTAAAAAAACATTTTATTGAAAAAGTAGACAGACAGATATATTTATTTTAATAAAATTACATTATATGAAAATATTTTTTGTTTGATATACATATAGCCAATAATATTAAACAATTTTTTAAAACGAATTACATAGTTATTTAAATTATCCAGCAAGTTCCCCTAACTTAAATGTTATTGAATACATATGGGCTTATATGAAACGCTATTTAATTCATTAAAACTCAACAATTAAAAAAATAATCAATTAATTAGTATAAAAGCTGATTTTGGAAACACTACACAGTAACTTCTCGTTGCAGGAAACGAATTGAAAAATGTCGAAAGGTAAAATTTTGAATCATATTGATATAGTAAATTGCACTAATCCATAATTTGAAGGTTATTTTTTTGTTGATCTTTCAAACATTTCAAATTTTAAACTAAATGTTAACCAACACAAAAAATTACTATATGTATGACTGCTTTATATGTTGTAACTGTTAGCTGCTTAGATATTGATCTTATCAAAGAGACAGACATCTCTAGGATGAAATTAATGAAATAATTAATCATTATAGAGCTAATGCACGTACAAAACTACTTAGAGCTAAGTTTAACACTTATTCAAAATAAAAATAATCAAGCTATAGATATAATTAAATGTACGCTTCACACAAAATCGATTTATGCTTGGGATAAATTACAAAAGCAAATTACAACAGTTTGGAAAAACACAAACATTCCTCCTTTTAAATCTAAAAGTAATTTCTTCTTAAATAATTTCTCTCCTACTTTTACTAGCTAAAAGTTTTTTTTAGATTAAACTAACTCAAAAAAGAAAGTGATTAGCAAAATTAATAAAATCAATGCTAATCCTAATTCATTTATTAGCAACTAATAAATAACTAAAATAAAAACATTGAAAAGTATATGTAAAAAGTAAATAAAATCAAACACTCGAAAAAGAATTACATTAAATTACTAAAATTTGAGTATTGATTAAATGAATTCAAGATTAGATGATCCGATATTAGAAAAAAATATTGATGAAAAGTAAGAAAACAAAGAAATTAACTCATATTTTACATAAAATTAGAAGTCATTTAAAACTAAAAATTGAGCAAAAACATTTAAAATAAAATTTTCAGAAAATGGGTTTTGGTTTGTGAATAGGAATTTTAATATTTGATTAAACATTTAATAAATTTAATCACCCATTTATTTTATTTATCATCTTAGGTTAAGGAAGAAATAAGATGAGTAAAATTATCAGCAATTGGAAGAAACTTCGAAGAATTTGATTGAATAGTAAGTTGAAAAAAGCAAGCATTAAATAAACTGATTAATTAGCATTTTTTATGGTCTAATTTAAATAAAAATGTTATTTTTATTTAAAAAGATAATTATTTAATTAATTGGAAAAGCTATTTATTTTCTTAGTATAACTTTTGTTCATTTGTTTGTTTGTTTGCTGCTAGCATAAGATGATTTAATTATATGTAAATGAATTTCAATAAAAATAATTTTTTTTATTTTATTAATTTTGATATTCAAAAGAATGTAGAATAGATAATACTTATCAAAAAGTACTGTAGGTACTCTTGAATTCACAATACATTTATATTATTTTTTTTAATTCGGAGGAGTTTTTTTATTGAGTCTCTCCCTTTAGAATCAATTAATTGAATAGTTTTATTAACAACGATTAAGGTGCTTTTTTATTAATTAAATTTAAAGATTAATAAGCATATTCTATATAAAGTAGAAAAATAAGATAAAATAAATTGATTTAATTCTTATTCTTTTGTTAGATTTTTTCATTTTGAATTCATAATTTAAGTACAGATTAATTGTTAATTGTAAAAACATGAAAATAAAAAATATTTTTTCATTTGAAAATTCATATTTTCTCTATTTTTCATTTATTAATTTAAATAGTAAAAATATAAAGAGTCAATTTTCTTTTTATCTCATATTTTTTAAAAACTTGAATCAATTAAAATTTTATAAAACAGAAATCTACCCAATCAAATGCTAATTTGCTATTGTAATTGATGGTTAAATAATTGAAAATCTAAGTAATTTATATATATATATTTTATAAAAAACTAATTCATAAAAACAAAATTTAAACTAACAAAAAAATGAGTGTTACTAAAGCTGATATGTTTTCATCTTCCTTTTTTTTTAACTTGGGCCAGAGCAAGTAAACGAAAAAAGGAACTTTTGCAGGGTTTTTTTTGACATTGAGTATTTTCCTTGTCATATTTTCATACTTTGTTTACTTAACATTCTTATATGCAACTAATCGAATCGACCCTAAATATAGATCTCAAACTTTTGTAACAGATGATCTTATTCAGCTTGATTTAAGCAGTGATATAGTTGGCTTTAGGTTTGAGTACTTAGCTAATAAAGATGTATCTATCTTGGAGGCATAGCAAAATAAAAAATATATTGTCTATTAGGCCTACTTAAATTATCGAAGCCCATCATTTAGTATGATGAAGCGTATAGATGTAGTTAACTGCACAAGTCCTTTACTTGATGGATATTACTGTATTGACTATTCTTAAGTATCCAACTATACTTTCGAATTCAGCACTAATGAGAATATCTAAAGTTAAATATTTCTCTTGGCTTATGGATGTCTGGATCTTGATCATGCTAAAACAACAATTCCTGATAACTGCGCTAGCTAAAAAGATATTGATGATATGGTCAATGGCGACTAGGCAGCTTTACGCATAAAATTATTATCTTAGTAATACAACACAACTTCATAGAAGATAGAGAAAAATTACAGAAATAATTTCATGTATTCTTACCCAGATTAAGCTCTTTGGACTTAATTTAAAGCTCAAACACAAACTACTTCAGTTAAGGAGGGTTTTTTGATTTAATCAGAAACCTCTTTTACATCCTTATTATCCTATGACTAAATTAATTCTAGTTTCGAAAGAAGTCAAGCTCTAAATCCTAATGGCGTTGGACCTTATTGTAAGTTTTCAATTTACTTAGATGAAGTCTACACATAGATCTAAATTTAATATCCAACTTATCCTGAGATATTAGCTTTGGTAAATAGTATACTTGCTCTCTTAATGACTCTTGGATACTTTGGTAGAGCTTTTGCTTAGAATATAATAAAGCAAGAGTTTTTCCTTCTATTTTTGTAGAATATGTACTAGGACACTTATGAGTAAATAATGCAAATCAATTAGATATTTCAGAAGAAGGATGGAATATATTTTGAGAAAAGGAAATAAAAAAGAGAAATTGGAGAAGAATATGAAGAATCAAATAACGTACAATCTATATTAGTTCCTGCTTTTAAGACAAAATAAAATTCAATATAAAACAATAATTCATCAAATTAGTAAATTTTAAATAAGTACTTGAAAAATGAAAAAGGGTAAGATGAAATAATGGAGTTCAAAGAGTCGAATAGAGGCATGAAGACGGTTATTACAAGTTAGTCAGATGGCGAAGATAATTACTACTTAGTAAAAGAAAGTATGGCATAATCGAATTTTATTGAAAACGACAGATTAGTAAGTCCCAAATGTTCATCTCCATTAACTTTAGATTCACCTAAATATATCTCAGGCAACATGGCTGAGAGCACACTTTAAGTTTCAAAGCTAAGCCCAAAAAAATCATTGAGATTGTAAAGAAAAATAACTTTGGGGATTGGTTAAACAAAATTTAAATAGTCAAAACCACTTCCATCAGTTGGAGAAAGTTAATTCCCTGATAATGAAAAAGTTTTGTAATTTAAAAAAGAAATTATGGATAAAATGAACAAAAAGGAAATTAACTAATATTTTACAAAGAAGTTAGAAGTTATGATGAATTCGAATGTTTCTAAAAATATACAAAAAATTATATTTGGAACAAAGTAAATAAATACAGATAATTTAAATTTCTTATAAATTCTTAATTTAATTAATTTAAAAATTCACAATTTTAAAAATAAATATTAACTCATTGAAATTAATTAGGTTCTGGTAAAAAAAAGCGGACAAATAGGATCAAGAATTTGATATATCTGTGAAGTAATTAATTGAGTCCTAGGTTGAAAAGAGCTTGGATATTCTACAGCTATATTAAGATATCATATTCCTTAAAAAGGCAGTCATGGTTTTGCTCAGCAAAGATTAACTAGCTGCTATTTCACTTGTAGGTTGTTCACCTTACTTTTTAAGCAAAGAGATCAATTAGAAAAACCTTAATGTCTCTGCATCATGTAATAATTTTAGAGTGCTAATAATTTTTATTAAATTATATTCCAATTATAAATTTAGAGGAAATAAAAAGAAGAAATTATTTTGAAGAATAATTTGCCATAACACTATCGCAAGAACTCAAAATAAAATACATTGAAAAGTTCTTAGATAAATGCACAAAGGATACTGACTTAAATGATGTTGATTCTAGAATATTATCCTCAATCATTAGGAATAAAATGGTTTGAAAATTAAAATTATCATAAATATATTGCTATTTTTTTTTTGTACTTTATAATTTATGTTCATTTTCTTTATTCAATTAATCAATTCTTATGTTTTAATTAAAAATACATTTTTGAGCTTACATTGACCAAAGTAAAAAAAAATTAAAATTGGTTTAAACTACTATTTAGTATATCAAAAAGAGTGTTTTTGATTTGGAAGTCTTTTAAAATAAAATTATATTGTTTTAATAGCTTTTTTTAGTTTTTAAAAATAGCTCACATGCTATCTATCTATCTAGCTAGCTAGTTAACTAGTAGCTTGCATAGCAACTCTAAATTTAGTAAATTAAACCAACCCATAACTTAATGGAAAATTTATGTGTAGAATATTCAAAAATTTAACTTTTACACTAAATCTTAATGATATTACATTTTAATTTTATCAAATTTATAGGTTTTTTAGAAAAAGAGGATACTGGGTATATGTAAAACAAACACAAATAATATTTATAAATAAATAAAAATATTTGTTAACATAATCAAAATTAATTTTAAGTTGTATTCTGAGTGCATTTATATGTGTGATCTATTCTATAGTTTCCCCATTTAATTTTAAATTTTTTAATATTAAAGAAAAAATAATGAGTTAATTAGCTAATTAAAAGAAAAAATATTAAATAATATGAAATTAATAATAAAATAAAATGTTGAAAATCAAAAAATTAGTTCAATTAATAAAAAAAGAAAAAAAACACAAATAGAATAATAAAAAGAAAAATAAATCAGATAAAGAGTTAATAAATAAGAGTTAGTTATACTATTTAAATTATTTTATACAATAAATAATATTGCAATCCAAAACAAATAAGTTGTTTTACTTATATTTTAAGTGTCTAATTTTAGAGATTATGCACTTGCGTACTCACAATCAAATATAAAAACATTAATAAAAAAAAATAAAAAAATGAATTAACTACTAAATGAGAATTATTAACAAAAAAAAATAGTTGAAAAATAAGGAAAAAATGAATTCATAGTTTTAAGGATATAAATTTAATTTTATAACCAAAATTTTATTCAGCCTTTTTAAATTATATTAAAAAGGAAAAACCAAAGAACAACAAACAAACTACCATTTTAAATAATTGCATTATTTCAAAATTTTTCCAAGTTTCCTAAAAAAATTAAGAAATTAATAAAAAGTCCTAAAAATAGTGTTGATTGTATGCTTGTACAATAGAATATGTTAAATAATCCTGATATTTTATTTATTTTGAATGTTATATTATAAACTAAAAAACATTTAAATTAAGTTTCCATTGATATATTTGATAGTATTTTTAAGCAAAATTTCAAAAATAATTCTTAAAAAGTCGAAAATATAAGAAATAATAAGAATAGTCTGATTTTTTTTTATATATTAAATTTTATCATAAAAAATCGAGCCAACCAAATTTTGATTTATTATTTATCACTATTTGATGATTTAAAATTGAAAGGCAAAGTATTCTTTTTAAACAAATTCAAAAAATATAAAACTAATAAATTCCTTTTGAAATAAACAATAAGTGATACTAAAATTGACATGTTTTCATCGTAATTTTATTTTGAATTGGGTGAAAGTAAGTAAAATTAAAAATGGAATTTTTGCAGGATTTATTTTGACATTAAGTATTTTCCTTATCATATTTTCTTACTTTATTTACTTAACAATACAATACGCAATAAACGGGATTGAACCTAAATATAAATCTCAAAGCATTGTAACTGATGATCTTATTCAGTTAGATTTAAGCAGTGATATGGTTGGCTTTAGGTTTGAATGCTAATTTAACAAAGACATAGCCCTTTTGGAGGCATAGCTAGGTATAAAAATGGTTAAAGATAGTGAGGCAGATGGCAATAATAGTGATTGCTAGATAGGATAATCTAACTTAATTGAAAATCAAATATTTATTCATCCAAAATCAGTATCTCCATCAGTTTTAGATTCACCTAAATACTTATCAAGCAAGATGGCAGAAAGCTTAGAAAAATACTGACATAAGTGATGTTGATCATAGAATTTTGTCATCAGTCATTACAATTAAATTAATTGATGATAACTAAAACATATTTTTTTGTAAAATAAAATTTATATTTATTTCCTTAATTAAATGAAGCTAGGGACTATGGCATTTGTTTTTTTAAAATTATTACTTAGAGTAGTCAAAAATGCATTTTAATTATAGTATGATAATTGATTAATGGAATAATAGTTGATAACTTTTACATATTAATTAATAAATGAAGAATTAATTGAATAGCGATAATCATTACATCAAAGCCTGTTTTTTTAGTTTCAGGAGTTAAATTTTCAAAAAACCCCTCCACATTATATCCTCATAAAATTATATAAGCAATCAATGAAGTAAATCTAATTATGTTTTATTTTAATAATAAATATATCAAGGCAGGTCTTAAGTTCTAAATAAAACCATCTCAATCGTTAGCACCATATTATTTTTATTAAATATTCTCCAATTTTATGTTATTATATTTTATCACCAAATTCAAATGAGTGTTATATTGTTATGATAATATAGAATACTTATTTATAGTTTTAAAAAGACTATTCAGAGTTAAATAGATTAACGTATATATATTTGCTATTTTTACTACTAGTGAGAAATGTATTAAAATCTATGGCTTATTACGAGGTTTAAAAAATAATGATTTATTTTTATTTAGATTAATTTAGCACAGTTACTTTAATGTTTAAAAACTCCTGATTTAGTAGAAGAACAAGTTTCTATAAAAAATAATAATAAAAAACTTTTAATTAGAAAAATTAAAAAAACAAAGCAAAAAGTGATGAGTATTACAAAAATTGATATGTTTTCCTCCTAGTTTTTTTTTAATTTCGGGAATTCTCAGCAAATTAAAAAAGGTACACTTATTGGAGCGCTGTTGACTATTGCTGTTATAGCCTCTATTATGACCTACTTTGCATATCTTACGATTTAATATTTTAACAATAAAATTGATCCAAAATATAAATCTTAAAACTTTATAACTGATGATCTAGTAGAAGTAGATCTAACCAGCGATTTAGTCGGTTTTCGATTTGAATACGACGTTAATAAGAATATTTTAGACTTAGAAGCCTAATAAAACTAAAAGTATGTGGTTTTTAAAGCTTTTTTTAATTACTAAAATAGCACATTTGCAAGCATGACTCCTATTGATATAGTAAATTGCACTAATCCATAACTTGAAGGCTATTTATGCATAGATTTTTAAAAGGTTTCCAATTTTACGCTAAATCTTAACACAAAATCAAACTATAAAACTGCTCTTTATGTTTTAACTTAGGGTTGCTTAGATATTAATGGAATCTAATAGACAACTGAATCTAATTGTGCTAGCTAAGATTAAATTGATAGCATTTTTAATGGTGAAAAAGCTACCGTGCGTACAAAATTACTTAGTGCTCAGTTTAACACAACTTCAAAACAAAAATAATCAAGCTATAGAAATAACTATATGTACACCTCAGCAGATTAAGCTATTTATGTTTAATATAAATTGCAAAAACAAATTACAACAGTTTAGTAAGGTTTTTTAATTCAATCAACAAGCACTTATGAATCTCCTTTTCAATATGAATAAATTTATTCAACCAGTCTTAGGAATTCCTCTACAATATAAGGAGGTATAATACTCCCATATTGCGAGTTTGTTATATCTATGGATGAAATTTTTTATCAAATCACTGTTCAATATCCAACTTATCCAGAAATTATGGCTTTGGTAAACAGTGCGCTAGCTTTTTTGATGACATTAGGATTCGTAGGTAGATACTTAGCTCAAAAACTCATAAAATAAGAATTTTTCTTACTTTTCCTGTAGAATATGTATCAAGACACCTATGAATAAATTATGCAAATTAATAATTTATTCTAAAAAAACGATGCAATTTATTTTCAAAAGATGTCTTTGAAAAAGAGTGTTAATGAAGAATTTTAAGTTTATTAGTATTCACCTAAAATAACCGTTCCTTACTTTAGAGCTAAAAATAATTCTCTTGCTAAAAAATTTTCATATAAAATAACTAAAGAAAATGTTTTTTAAACTTAAATTAACCAAAAAAGAGAATCTGAATAACAAAATTTATAAACAGAATAAGAAAAAATAGAATAGATGAATACAATTATGAATTAAAATGAAAAAAGCTCCTTTTTTGATAAAAAAATGATTGATATTCAGAAATTTAATTCGATAGATGCTCTTTAAAGCCCATACTCACCCACTTTATAAGCATCTCCTAAATAAAATTTTTTTGACTCTATAGATGAAAGTTCTTACTAACTAGGATATTAATAGTTAATAAACAATTTAAGTAAAAGCGGTCAAAACGAAAAGAAAATAAGGTTGACTATTGGATAAAGAAAATAGTAAAAATGTTAAAATTTAAAAACTGACTAAGTTAAAAAAAATAGTTAATCTGACAGTTCATAACTAAAATAAGAGATGATTGAAAATTTAAATAAAAAAGAGATTAATTCATATTACACAAAAAAATTAGAGGTAATTTAAAACTAAAAAGTGTGCAAAAACATTCAAGATATAATTTTTGGAAAAAGGTATGCTTTTCACTTTTTCACTTTTAATTTTCAACAAACTTAATTTCTCATAAACCCATCTTATTATCATCATAAAGATTTTGCAAGAAAAAGAAGGAATAGAATGGTCAGCAGTTAGATGAAACATCGAAGAAATTGATTGAATCCTAGGTTGAAAAAAGCTTAGACATATTGCAATTGTATCAAGATATTATCTTTTTGAAGAAAGCAGTAATGGTCATATTGAGTAAAGATCAATTAGCGACAATAAAACTTATTGGTTGTTCTCCATACTTTTTAAACAAAGAAATCAATTAGAAAACAAAACACCTTTCTCAGTCATGTATTAATTGATTAATTATTTATAATCTCAATATTAAACCTCTAAAAATATTTTGATAAAAAAGCCCAAATGAGAAAAAGAAACTATTTTGAGGAATAGTTTACTATATCTTTGTCATAAGATCTCTAGAAGAAGTACATCACTAAATTCCTAGAAAAGTGTTAAAACAGCAATGATTTAAGTGAAATAGACTATAGAATTCTATCATCAGTAATTAGAAATAAAATCAACTGATTGATTAATTAGTGTTTGAATTAATAAAAATTTTATTTCTACAAGGTTCATTTAAAAAATAGTTAGTTATTTATCCATTATTGATGATATCAATAATTTATCTTCTGGTTTTTTTATGACTATTTATTGTATTATATTTTGAGATCTATTTTTTTCATAGTCAATAGTAAGTCTCTAATATTTTTTTGACACCACTATTAAATGAAATTAAAAACCAATAAATAAATTATTATCAAATAAAATTTTTTTTAACTCTTGGAAATTTAAAATATTGGTAATCCATGTTTTAAAATATGATGAACTGGATAGCATTATATTTTAATATTTGGATTATGTTTAATTTAAAATAAAAAAATTGAAGTTAAAGTATTTATGAAAAAATATGTAAAGTCACTATTCATTAAAATTCATAAATTGAATTTAATAAAAAAATATATTATTTTTATATAATATTAAATTAGTAATACTAAATTTAAATGGGTAAATCAATTATGGTAAACAGTTAAATAAATAATATTCGTTTTAAAATAAAATATTAAAAGTGTTATCACAATTTTATTTATATACCAATACTCATTAATTTAATTAATTAGAAAAAAAAAGATCTGAGATTTTGCGAATTTTTTCACTTATTTTAAAATTTTGGAAAAAATGGTGAGAATTTAAAGGGGTGAGAATTAATGAGGATTCAATGTATTTAAATTTTTAAATATTCTTTAAATAAAGTTTTTAATAATGTATCCTAAATCCTAATTTTTTACCATTTTTTATGGAAAGGTAAAGTATTAATAATTCTTTAAAAAATACGGTTACAATTAATATTTTAACTTATGGGATAAATTTTTTATTATTTTAAAATTTATTGATTTCTATTATCTTTTATGTTTATTAAAAATTCATTCTTAAAAATACCATTCATGCTTATTTTATATATTTATAATAATAAGACGATAAATTATTTTTGATATTTATTTGATAGTATGTATCTAAAATAATTCATTCAAAAATGAATTTAAAAAGTATAATATATGGATGAAGGATAGTTTATTTAATTAGGTGATTATTTAATTAAGTAAGAATGCAATAGATGTTAACTTTTTAATTAAATTTAGAAAAGCATGAATGAACATAATCAATTTATAAAAAAAATAGGACAATTATATTTTTATCAAATAAAATCCAACCAATCAAATGCTATTAATTTTTATTAAGCATGATTGGCTTTAACTAGGCAGATGGAGATGATAATGATTATTTAGAAAGGATAAAATAACGAATAAATAACTTTCTTATAAATGATAAATACATAAGTACAAATCAGGCATTTGAATTAAATTTAGATATACCTAAATAATTTTCAATAATATCACAGAAATATTTTCTTAGTTTCAAAGCTAAGCCCAAGAAAATTAGTTAGATTACAAAAAAATATGCATCAAGTATTGGTTAAAAAAAATTTAATAAACAGTTAATAAGAAAGAGAGAGTTATTTCCTTTTAAAGAGAAGGTTTACACATTTTAAAGTAATTAAGTACTCGAAAATTGGATTTAAATGTAATTCCTTAATATTTACTAAGCAAGTTAAAAGTCATACATATTTCCAAAATTGCCAAAAATAAACAAAAAAACCTATTTTATATATTTCTAAGTAACTCTTAATCACTTTAATATGCAAATTCGCAATCAGAAAAATAATTTGTTTATTGAATAAAAATAGATAAAAACAAAAAAAATGTAATATATATTGTGAAAGAACTAATTGAGTACTAGGTAGAAAAGAGCTTAAATACTATTAAGATCCTTTATAATATCCTATTCCTGAAAAATTCAGAGACGATCTAACTCAAAAAAGACTAGCTAGTTACTATTTACTCTTAGGTTGTACCTCAATTAATAGAAAAATCAACAAGAAAAACTCTGAAAAGTCTTACACATATGTTTGTAATAAATAAATATAATATAATCAAATCGTATTCTAATTATAACTATAGAGGGAGTAAAAAGAATAAATTAATTTGAAGAATAATTTGTAATATCACAAAAATTCAAAACAAAATATATCTAAAAATTTTTAGATAATACACTTAAAAAATTGAATTAAGTTATTTCAACAAAAGAACCAGTATTGTACTCAATCAAAAGGAATCTAATTATTGAAAATTAATTTCAAATTTATGTTTGTTTTCTTAATGAAATCTAATTGTCTATTTAAAAAATTTTTCTAAAATTAAAAGCCAGAAATTTATTTTTAATTAGATTATTAAATTGATCAATAAGATTAAAGTACATTCTTTTTTAATTTATATTATTTAATGATTATTTTCAAAAAAAATTATAAATTTTTAAATCAGTATCTGTTTTTTTAATTTCATAATGCAAAAAAGATAATTTCATAATTATCCAACCATGCTTTTTTTGTTCATAAAAACTCTGATTCATGTGAAAGCTGGTCTAATTTTAAAATACAATAATCCCAAAATTCAGATGCGTAATAGCCTTTCCATAATCAATTTTTCATTCTGCTATTTCTGTTTATAAAATAAAAAATTTTGTTACAAAATAAAGTAAAAATCTATTTTATATTAAATAAAATTATTTTATTAAAATTAAAAAATAAAATTTTCTCAATAAACTTTCTATTTCTACTTTTTTAATATTTTTAAATACAAATATAAGTTTTATTTTAGCCATTTTAAATAAATGTAAATTGTAAAATTCTTAATAAAAGCAAAATTTGATAATTAATCCTATATTATTTGAATAAATGAAATTAATTCTTAAAGCTAGTAAGTTAGTAAATCAGCCAATATTTATTTAGAGATTATGTTTTTAAAATTTTTTGAAAAGCCTTTTCATAATAGTTAATCGTCAAAATAAAAATAGTGGTTGTTGCAATGTGAAATTATTAATTTTTTACTTATTATCATCTATAAGGAAAATGTTCACAGGACAGGACTTGTGATATAAAAATAAAGGTACTCATTCATTCACTGACAGAGGGAGGGATATGATTTCCAGAATTCAATAATCATAATTACGATTTCTATATATTCGTTAATCCTTTTAAATAAAACACAAATAGAGGCCCTTCCCCCCCCCCCCCCTAAAAATTATTAGTCTTATTTATAATTTCTGTTTTTCATATTTAAAATCCACAAAATGTTTGCTTAAGTTGTATGCTAAAATTAAATGATTTTTAATTAATCATTGTTTAATAGTATTTTCATATCTAGTTGAAGTAAACTTTATCAGCAATTTAGTATGTTTTAGACTTGAATACGACATCAATAAGAATATCTTAGATTGGCAAGCCTAAAAAAATAAAAAGTACATTTTCAAAGTTTTTTAATTACTAAAGTAGCACATTTGGTAGCACGATTCTTATTGATATAGTAAATTTCCCTAATCCATAATTTGAAGGTTATTCATGTGTATACCTTTCAAACGTTTCAAATTTTAAGCTTAATTTCAACACAAAATATAACTATAAGACTGCTTTATATGTTGTGACTTATTGCTGTTTAGATATTGATCTAATTAAAAAGAAAACATCTCTAGGATTAAATTAATGAAATAGTAATCATCATAGAGTTTATGTATGTACAAAGTTATTTAGTGTTCAGTTTAGCACTACTTCAAAATAAAAATAATCTAGATATAGATATAATTAATAGTATGTCTCACACAGAATCGATTTATGTTTAATATAAATTACAAAAGCAAATTATAACAGTTTAAGAAGACTTTTTTATTCAATCAAATCTTAAATCCCATTTTCAGTATGATTAAATTTATACAACTTCTACTAGGAACTCGCTAACAAAATAAAAAGTATTTCTTTTTTTCTCAGAATATATATTAAAATACCTACGAATAAATTATGCAGTTTAATAATTTACTTTAAAAAAACCAGTATATTTACTTTGAAAAGAGGTCCTTTAAAATGAATGTTAATGATTTATTCGAAGCTGAGTAGAATATGCAAAATATAAACAAACATTCCTACTTTTATAGCTAAAAATAATTTCTTCATAAATAATTTCTCTCCTATTTTTAATAGCTAAAGCTTTTTTTAGATTAAACTAACTCAAAAAAAAGAAAGTGATTAGCAATATTAATAAGATGAAAGCTAATTCTAATTTGCTTATTACTATATATAATAACTAAAAATAAAACATTGAAAATAAATCGTAAAAAAGTAAATAAATTCGAACATTCGAAAAAGAATTACATTTAAATGCTAAAATTTGAATTCTGATCAAATAAATTCTAGATTAGATGATTCGATATTAAAAAAAGAGATAATTGAAAAGTAGACATCAAACAAATCAATTTATAATTTACAAATTTTAGAAGGAATTTAAAAATAAAAATGGAGTAAAATCATATAAAATAACATTTTCAGAAAAATGTATGTGGTTTATGAATAGGAATTTTAATATTTAAATATTTAATAAATTTGATCTATCATTTATTTTATTTATCGTCATAGATTAAGGAAGAAAAATATGAGTAAAGATATCAGCAATTAATTAGATGAAACTTCAAAGAATTAGATTGAATAGTAAGTTGAGAAAAGCTTAGACATATTTTATTTGTTTTGAGATATTATCTGTTTTAGAAAAAGCAGTAATTGTCCTATTGAGCAATTAAAAATTAGCGACACTGCAACTAATTGGTTGTTCTCCATACTTTTTAAGCAAAGAAATCAATTAGAAAACCAAAGACCTTACATGTTCAAGTATTAACTATCCATAATTAAAATAGTAAACAATAATAGTATGGATAAAAAAAGAGCAAATGAGAGATAAAAACTAATTTGAAGAATAGTTTGTCATATATTTATAATAAGATCTTTTGAAGAATAAAATCAAAAAATTCTGCTAAAATTGTTAAAGTAGTAGAGACTTGAGTAAAGTTGATAGTAAAATTTCAATCGTCTGTTTTTAATAATTAAATAAACTGATTAATTAGCATTTATATGATCTAATTAACATAAAAAAATTTATTTCTTTTATTAAAAGATAATTAATTATTTATTTTCTTAGAATAACTCTCGTTTGTTTGTTTGTTTGTTTGATTACTGTGAGTATTTTTTTAAGATGATTTTATTATTTGTCAATGTATTTCAATTAAAATAATTATTTTTAATTTAATTTTATTAATTTTGATATTCAAATGCCTAAGTCTGTATAATAAATAATACTTATCAAAAAGTACTGTAGATATTCTTGAATTCACATTACATTTATGTTAATTTTTTTAATTCGGAGGAGAAAATTCAGCTTTTCTCTTTAGAATCAATTTAATAAGTGAATAGATTTATTAAGAACAATTAAGGTGCTTTTTTATTAATTAAATTTAAAAATTTATAGCACAATCTATTTAAAGTATATAATATAAGGTAAAATAAATTGATTTAATTTTTATTCAATAGTTAGATTAATTCATTTTGAATTTGTAATTTCCTTATTGATAATTGTAAAAACATGAAAATAAAAAATATTTTTCTTTTGAAAATTAATTAATATTTTCTAATTTTTTCATTTATTAATTTAGATAGTAAAAAATATAAAGAGTCAATTTTTTTATCACATATTTTTAAAAAACTAGAATCAATTAAATTTTTATAAAATAAAATCTAGCCAATCAAATGCTGTTAATTTGCAATTGTTATTGATCTTTAAAAATTGAAAATCAAAGTAATTTTTTTATATTTAATTTTATAAAAACAAATTCATAAAAAAGATAATTTAAATAAACAAAAAAATGAGTGTTACTAAAGCTGATATGTTTTCATCTTCCTTTTTTTTTAACTTGGGCCAGAGCAAGTAAACGAAAAAAGGAACTTTTGCAGGATTTTTTTTGACATTGAGTATTTTCATTGTTATATTTTCTTACTTTGTTTATTTAACATTCTTATACGCGACTAATCGAATTGACCCTAAATATAGATCTCAAACCTTTGTAACTGATGATCTTATTCAGCTTGATTTAAGCAGTGATATAGTTGGCTTCAGGTTTGAATACTTAGCTAACAAAGATGTATCTATTCTGGAGGCATAGCAAAATAAAAAATATATTGTCTATTAAGCCTACTTAAATTATCGAAGCCCATCATTTAGTATGATGAAGCGTATTGATGTAGTTAATTGCACAAGTCCTTAACTTGATGGATATTACTGTATTGACTATTCTTAAGTATCCAACTATACTTTCGAATTCAGCACTAATGAGAATATCTAAAGTTAAATATTTCTCTTGGCTTATGGTTGCTTGGATCTTGATCATGCTAAAACAACAATTCCTGATAACTGTGCCAGCTAAAAAGATATTGATGATATGGTCAATGGCGACTAGGCAGCTTTACGCATAAAATTATTATCTTAGTAATACAACACAACCTCAAAATAGATAGAGAAAAATTACAGAAATAATTTCATGTATTCTTACCCAGATTAAGCTCTTTGGACTTAATTTAAAGCTCAAACACAAACTACTTCAGTTAAGGAGGGTTTTTTGATTTAATCAGAAACCTCTTTTACATCCTTATTATCCTATGACTAAATTAATTCAAGTTTCCAAAGAAGTCAAGCTCTAAATCCTCATGGAGTTGGACCTTATTGTAAGTTTTCAATTTACTTAGATGAAGTCTACACATAGATCTAAATTTAATATCCAACTTATCCTGAGATATTAGCTTTGGTAAATAGTATACTTGCTCTCTTAATGACTCTAGGATACTTTGGTAGAGCTATTGCTTAGAATATAATAAAGCAAGAGTTTTTCCTTCTATTTTTGTAGAATATGTACTAGGACACTTATGAGTAAATAATGCAAATTAATTAGATATTTTAGAAGAAGGATGGAATATACTTTGAGAAAAAGAAATTAAAAAGAGAAATTGGAGAAGAGTATGAAGAATCAAATAACGTACAATCTATATTAGTTCCTACTTTTAAGACAAAATAAAATTCAACATAAAACAACCAATCATAAAATTAGTAAATTTTAAATAAGTACTTGAAAAATGAAAAAGGGTAAGATGAAATAATGGAGTATAAAGATTCTAGTAGAGGTATGAAGTCGATTGCTACTAATTAAACAGATGGCGATGATAATATTAACTACTTAGTAAAAGAGAATATGGGATAATCCAACTTTATTGAAAATGACAGATTAGTAAGTCCAAAATGTTTATCACCATTAGCTTTAGATTCTCCTAAATACATTTCAAGCAACATAGCTGAAAGCACAGTTTAAGTTGCAAAGCTAAACAATCCAAGAAAATCAATCAGATTATAAAGAAAAATAACTTTGGGCATTGGTTAAACAAAATATAAATCATAAAACCCACTACCATCTATTGTAGAAAGTTAATTTCCTGATAATGAAAAAGTTTTGTAATTTAAAAAAGAAGTGATGGAAAAAATGAATAAAAAGGAAATTAGCTAATATTTTACTAAGAAGTTAGAAGTTATGATGAATTCAAATGTTTCTAAAAATATACAGAAAATTATATTTGGAGCAAAGTAAATAAATACAGATAATTTAGATTTCTTATAAATTCTTAATTAAATTAATAAACAAATTCACAATTATTAAAACAATAAATAACTCATTAAAATTAATTAGGTTATGGAAAAAAAAAGAAGAAAAAAAGGAGCTAGAATTTGATATATCTGTGAAGTAATTAATAGAGTCCTAAGTTGAAAAGAGCTTGGATATTTTATAGCTGTATCAAGATATTATATTCCTTAAAAAGGCAGTCATGGTCTTGCTCAGCAAAGATTAGCTAGCAGCTATTTCACTTGTAGGTTGTTCACCTTACTTTTTAAGCAAAGAGATCAGTAAGAAAAACCTTAATGCCTCCTCAACATGTAATAATTTCAAAATGCTAATGATTTTTATTAAATTACACTCTTATTATAAATTTAGAGGAAATAAGGAGAAGAAATTATTTTGAAGAATAATTTGCCATAACGCTATCTCAAGAACTCAAAATAAAATATATTTAAAAGTTCTTAGATAAATGCACGAAAGATACTGAGTTAAACGATGTTGATTCTAGAATATTATCCTCAATCATTAGGAATCAAATGGAATGTTGATGAAAATTATCATAAATATTAGTTTTGTTTGTACTTTATAATTTATGTTCATTTTCTTTATTCAATTAATTTTTTTTACTTTTATCAATTTTAAGCTCAAAAATTTATTTTTAGTTAAACATGAGATTCGATTAATAGTAGAAGTTTATATTAACTGTTATTTAGTATATGAAAAAGAATGTTTTAGATCTAGAAGTCATTTTAAATAAAAATTATATTGTTTTCATGTTTTTTTTTAATTTTTAAAAATAATTCAGATGTTAGCTAGCTATGTAGCTAGTAGGGCTTCTCTAAATTTAGTAAATTAAACCAGCCCATAACTTAATGGAAATTTATCTGTAGATTTTCAAAAATTTTAATTTACACTAAATCTTAAGAAAAGAGATAATAATAAGATGGTTTTATAGGTTACGATTTATGGCCTCATAAAAAATAATAGTATCAAAAAGAATATCCTTTTATTTATTCTCATGAAGGATAGATTAATAAAACAGTTTATGCTAGAAGACTAATTAAATATAAGCAGCTTAATTAAATTTCTTTATAATAAAAGTTATTATTTAATAAATGAAATATAGGTATTTATTTTATATGTATTTTTGTTTTAACTTTTTAAATTAAATTTTATTTAAAATTAATAAATTTTTAGCCGTTGTTTTTTAATTTTTACTCTAAATTTATAAATATTTTTAGAAAATAAATTTTATAAATACATATATATATTTTTATATATACATAATCTTTCATTAAATTATGTTTATTTCTAATTATTATTTAAATCATCACTAATAAATAGCGATGATTATTTTTTAGAATTTCAAAGTGTTATATTTATGTTGTATTTGTTTTTAAAATGCTTTCGAAAATTAATAAAAATTCAGAACACTTTTTCTAATTAGTTTAATTAATATGCAATGATAGTATATAAAAATAATTTTAAAAGTGCACAAAAAAAAAATATATATAATTTTAACAAAATAAATTTTTTAAGTGAGTGAGTGAATTAATTTATTAAAAATGCTATTGAAATTAAGTTTTTTATTAATTCTTGAACAATAAAAAAGCATAATCAATTTTTTAAAATGTTGTAAAACAAATAAATTTAAATAAAAATCTATTGTTTGATTTCTTCATTTTTACTTTTAATTTTAAAGTCATTTAAGTTAATTATTCATTTCTACAGAAAACAAAATTATGTATTTTAAGTAATTTAACAAATTATTAGCATAACTATAGAGTAATTATCATAATTTTAATTTAAAATCATTTTCATTCATTAGTTCAAATAATGAATATTTTAACAATTTATTTTTCACTTGATAAATTTAATTAAAATATAGGAAATAATAAGAAAAGTATGATTTTTTAGTAAATTAAGTTTTTATCATAGTAAAATCCAGCCAACCAAATACGATTTATTCTTTATTGCAATTTGATGATATAAAAATTGAAAAACAAAGCAGTCTGTCTTTTTAAAGAAATTTCATTTAAAAAAATTCACAAAATATAAAACTAAATAAATTGTTTTTGGAAATTAACAATTAGTGTTACTAAAATTGACATGTTTTCATCTTAATTTTATTTTAAATTGGGTGAGAATAAGTAAATTAAAAGAGGAGCTTTTGCAGGATTTATTTTGACATTAAGTATTTTCCTTATTATATTTTCTTACTTTATTTACTTAACAATACAATACGCAATAAACGGGATAGACCCTAAATATAGATCTCAAACCTTTGTAACTGATGATCTTATTCAGTTAGATTTAAGCAGTGATATGGTTGGTTTCAGGTTTGAATACTAACTTAACAAAGATGTAGCCCTTCTGGAGTCTTAGTAAAATAAAAAGTATATTGTGTATTAGGCCTACTTAAATTATCAAAGCCCAACTTTTTCTATGATGAAGCGTATCGATATAGTGAATTGTACAAACCCTTAACTTGATGGATATTACTGTATTGACTATTCTTAAGTTTCCAACTATACTCTTGAATATAGCTCTAAAGGTAGTGTCAAAAGTTAAGTCTTTCTCTTAGCTTATGGTTGTTTGGATCTTGATCATGCTAAAAAAACAATTCCTGATAACTGTGCTAGTTAAAAAGATATTGATGATATGGTCAACGGCAAATAGGCAGCTTTACGCATAAAATTGCTATCATAGTAGTACAATACAACTTCATAAAAGGTTCAACAAATTTACAGAAATAATTTCATGTATTCTTATTCAAATTAAGCTCTTTGGACTGAATTTAAAGGTCAAAAATAAACCACTTCAGTGAAGGATGGTTTTTTAATTTAATCTGAATAATCTTTTTCTTCGCTATTATCCTATGACTAAATCAACTAAAGTTACCAAAGAAGTGAGGTTCTAAATCCTCATCATGGAATTGGACCTTATTGCAAATTCTCAATCTCCTTGGATGAAGTTTACTTTTAAATCTAAATTTAGTATCCGACTTATCCTGAAATATTAGCTATGCTGAATAACACTTTTGTAATTGTTGTAATTCTAGGATACTTTGGTAGAATTATCGCTTAGAAAGTAATAAAGTAAGAATTTTTCCTTCTATTCTTGTAAAATATGTACTAGGACACTTATGAACAAATAATGCAAATCAATTAGATATTTTAGAAGGAGGATGGAATATACTTTTAGAAAAATAAATTTAAAAAAGAGATTGGAAATAAATATGAAGAATTAAATAACTAACAATTAATAGATATTCCTTCTTTTGTGGTGGAATCAAAGTAAATATCAATATTACTTATAAATTTTTAAATAACTGAATGAAAAATGAAAATAGATATGATGAGGTGAAGGAATTTAAAGAGCCTAAAATAGGTCTAAAGAAGATTAGCGATATTGAGACAGATGGCAATAATAGTGATTACTTAGCAAAAGATAAGATAGGGTAATCAAACTTAATTGAAAATGAAAAATTTATTCATCCAAAATCTACATCTCCATCAGTTTTAGATTTACCTAAATACTTATCTAGCAAGATTACAGAAAGCTTAGCATAAGTTTCCAAGTTAAAACTTAAACAATTTGTGGATATTGATTAAATAAAATTGAATGAATAGTAAAATGAACTTTCATAAGTTATAAACAGCTAAATACTTGATAAAGAAAAGGCTTTACAATTTTAAAGAGAGTCGATTTAAAAATTGAACAAAAAAGAAATCAACAAATAGTTTAAAAAGAAATTAGAAGTTATGAAAAATTCTAAAGTTTCCAAAAATTTACAAAAAATCATATTTGGAACAAAGTAAATTTAATTAATTTCTTCTTAATTTTTAATTAAATAAATAAATAAATAGCAAATTTGATAAAATATATATTTGATTTTTGATAAAATTAATTAGGTTATGGTAAAAGAAACAATATACTAATTAGTAAGATTTTGATGTATCTGTGAAAGAATTAATTGAATCTCAGGTTGAAAAAAGCTTAGATATTTTATAGCTATATCAAGATATCTTATTCTTGAAAAAGGCAGTGATGATTTTGCTCAGTAAAGATTAACTTGCAGCTATTTCACTTGTAGGTTGCTCGCCTTACTTTTTAGGTAAGAAGAATCTTGATACCTCCAGCGCATGTAATTATTTTATAATACGAATAATTTAAATTAAATTTTTTCTATTAATAAATTTAGAAGAAGTAAGTAGAAGAAATCACTTTGAAGAATAATTCGCAATATCCTTATCAAATGAATTAAAAACAAAATATATCTAAAAGTTCTTAGATAAATGCACAAAAGATACTGAAATAAGTGATGTTGATTATAGAATATTGTCATCAGTCATTAGCCATTAAATTAATTGATTTTAACCAAAACATATTTTTTTTGTAAAATAAAATTTATATTTTTATTCTTAGTTTAATGAAGCTACTTAAAAATTATATCTTAAAATAAAAGCCAAAAATTTATTTAACTAAAGTGTTGCTAAATAGATTAATTACTTACTTATCAATTTATTTTTTAACAAATTTTTAAAATTCAAAAGAATATTTAATTATCTTTAAATTACCATACAAAAAAATAGGCAATTTTCATGTTAAATAAACTTCAAAAATAGATAAAGAGCATTTACAGGTATTAAATTCTGTAGAAAGTAAGAATTTAATTGCTGGATTTGCTTGCTATAAAGTACAATTCTCTATATTTTTATAATATCTATTTATTAATCAATAAACCTTTTATTATGCTTATATAATTATTCCAAGTTAAATTAAGACTAAAAAACCAAATAAATATAAATGTATATATATGATTATTATTTTAATGCTTGTTTTTGAGTAAAATATTTAAATACTCACCAATGAAGCCTTATTAAATTCCAAAAATTCATATTTATTTCTCAATAATAATTACAGAACATTAGTATTTATCTTAATCAAATAATGTGGATAGAAATTAAATATTTTTTTAATTACTGTCAAACCATAAATTAATTTATTAACTATTTTATCTTCTCATCAGATGCTTTAAATTTCTTTCTCATTTAATAGAAAGAATAAATAATTAATCTGATAAAATCTAAAATTTTAGAAATATTTTAAAAAAATTTTACCTATTTAATAATTTTTTTCTGAAAAATAGTTTTATAAAAGCAAAAATCTTTTTGAATAAAATGAATATTTACTTTTGAAATAAATCGAATTTAAAAGATCGAATTAAAGGAAATTGCGTAGTGAGAATGTGTTTATTTTATTTAAGATTATCAGATTTTACCAAATTGTTTGTTTTGATTAAAAATTTATTTGAAAATACGTATTAATATTTATCTTCCTTACAAAATTGAGAAAAAAAATATTTATTGAGAAATTTAAAATAAATTCAAAAGATATTCTAAAATTATATATAAGTGGTTATTTCTTATTTATTTTTATCTTTACCTGATTGTCTATCTGTCAATCAGTCTGTTTAATTTTAAGTCAGTCTGATAAAAGATTTATTTGATATTAAAGTATAATATAATGTTAATTTTAACATCTATAAAGAATATTTAGAAAATACTTTTTAAATCATAAATTAAACCTTAAAGAAAGAATAGATAGCCAAATGAAATCCTATTAAGCTGCTTTACTAATCTTTACCTTAATTTGTTTTGCTTATTCATAAAGCACTAACAAATCTTGCTCCAATAACTTTACTTAATAGACTTGTTAATCGCCTTGTGTTTTTACTCCTGATTAAAATTCTTTTGTTTGCCAATCTAAATGCTCTAGTTTGGACTAAAATAGCTGCTCTAGCTAATCTACTTGCTCTTATCAACCAGGGTATTGCTAGTTATCTATAAATAATTGCTCTTATATTTTAGGAAGTTCCTTAACTTAAGATTAGTGTTTAAGGTAGAATATAAATTGTGTATTTACTCCACCTGTAAAAGAAGATTGCACTGTATTGGATAATGTAAAAAATTCGTGTAATAGTAAGAATAATGATTATAATGGTTGCTAAGCAATAAAAAATAGCGCTTCAACTTAACAATGTACTTTTACAGATACAACTTAAAAATGTGAAGCTGTTTCAAATTACTAATGCAGCAGTACACCTTCTTGTGATTAAAATATGTGTGATTATACTGCTTGTGCCTAAAAGCCTGGAACAGATTGTTCTACTTATAAAACTTCAGATAATTGCAATGTAAGCAATAACTGTCTATGGAGTACAAAAGATAGCGTTTGTAATGATAACTGCACAAATTAAACTTCTACTGGTTGTCCTTCATCATGCATTAAAGATTAGTGCGTTTCTAATAGCACTAAATAGCTTAACTATTGTAAAGCCTTAAATACAGATTCAAAATGCGCAGCTGATTCTACTAGATGTAAAGTAACAAGTTTAGGTACTTGTGATCCTTCATCTACTCTTTGTTCTGTTACAAAATCATTAAAAGATAGTTGCCCTTCTGATTCTTGTAATTACATATCTCCAAAAGATCCTACTTGTACAAATCCTAAATGCAGTAAGAGCTATTCAGAGAACTGTGATCCATACTGTGCTGCTATTCCTCCTAGATGTATTTCTAATGGGCTGAGCACTTGTGGAACTCTCAAATCTTAAAGTGATTGCAATAATAGTGCCGCATTCTGCAGTTATAGCCAAAGTGGAACATGTGCAACTCTAGCTACTGGATCTAGCTCTAATTCCTATATTCTCTCCTTAGTTTTAGTATTTTAGTTATTAAATATCTTGTTCTGAATTGAGGATAAATATATTAATTAGCATGCTTATCTATTTGTTAGCTTGTATATGTACATTTTATTGTCAAATTTACAACTAAATTTTTAATTTTTCAATTTATTGTTTGATTTAGTTCTTGATTTTCATTCATTAATAAATGGAGTTAAAAATTCTATTGCTATAAAAAAAACATAATTTTTGTTTTATGAGAATCTTAAAAAAAGTTTTTTTGATAAAATATATCAAAGTAGAACAAGTTATTTATTCCCATAAAAAAAAGATATTTATTTATATAAAGAAACATGAAAATATATGTATAGGTATTAGACGCTATTCTCATTTTTATAAATAATTTTTAAAGATTACAAGATTTGTCTGCTTTGAATTATAAATATTTAAAAAAAAATAAATTGAAATAAAATATAAATATCAGAAATGGTAAGTAAGTAATAAATTAAGGTTTTGAGTGAGTTTCTCAAATTTAACAAAGTTTAACTTTTCTAATATAAAATAAATAGTTAATTTTTTTCTCAGAATTATTTAATCTAATAAATTTTACTCAATTCAAGATATTAATAAGTAAAAATGGATATGACTAAGGATTGACTGATAAATAAATAGTTCTATTTTTTAAATTATTTAGAAAAAATTTAATTTAGATTCTAAAATTAACTTCTAAATAAAACACATTGCTGATCTACTTATCTAAATAAGTATGTAAATTGTTTTATTTATTCCAAGTTAGAAAATTAATAGAGAAAAAAAATACTCTTTTTAGTTTGTATTTTGTTGAGAAGTTCTTTTTTTTACATGATCAAAATGATTTGAAAGCTAAATTAACATTTATGGGAATAAAAAATGATTCTTACAAAAATAAATAAGATGTTATTAAATAAAACGAACAAGTTGGTGTTTCAATTATTTACCATAAAAAAGAATTAGTATTCATAAGCATACTTTTTTACTTAGGTTTGAATATTAAATCTTAGTTTTGAATTTATATTTCAGAAAAAAGGCTTTGAGAAAGAAAATTTGATTGAGAAAGATTTTATTTTTTTTATTGAGAAAAACTTTTTTATTATTAATTTGTGAATTAGAAATTTTTTTTAGATTGAAATCAAATTAGTAATCAAATGTGTTTTATTTATATTTGAAATCTATTAGAAGGAGATAATTAATTTATACTTAAAATATTGATTAGAAGAAAAGTAATTTAATATTTTAAAAGTAGAAGAAGAAAAAGAAACAAAGATATTCTAATTTATTTATATACTAATTTTTAATTGGATAAATTTCTCAAATGAATAGCTTGTTAATAGTCACATTAACTTTTTTATTTGGTACTGCTCTTTCTCAAGCAACTCCTCAATCACTAGGTTTCTCTTGCGCTAACCACTTTAGTGCAAATAATTGTTTAAATCCTTGCATATTTACACCTGATCCTAACTCATTTGTATGTGTTTCTAGCTGTATGTCTTTAACAACTCCATAGGACTGTGCAAAATAACCAACTTGTACTTTTACTACTGGATTTTGTGAGCTAGTAGCAAATACATGCTCAAATATTTAAGGACCTACGATAACACAAGACTAATGTCAAGCATAAAATAGCGCATGTAAATATACCCCTTTTTAACCAGCTACATGTGCTGTTTTAGATGATGTAAAAAAGTCTTGTTCAAATAATTCAGATTATTATTCTTGTGTTAAGGACCCTAATTGCTAATTTGTTGATACTGAATAGAAATGCTCATTTTAATCAAAACCAGGTACTTGTGGTGATCCTAAAAATTGTGATCCAAAATATTGTAATCTTCCTAAATGCGTCACTGCTGGATTATAATGTGACGCAACTTTACCATAAGACAAATGTATTGGAAATTGTATTTTTAAAGGAGGAAAATGTATCGATCCATGCAATGATGTTTGCGATAAATCTAAATGTCAGCAAGGTGTAGACTGCTCAGTAAATACTGATATTGCAACTGCTACATGCTCTACTAACAAAACAGATAATGATTGTGTTAATAATTCAAATTGTTTAGTTTAATCTAAAGGAACATGCTAAGCAAAAGATAACTTATGCTTAGATGTAACTAATTGTAGTTAAACTCCAAAAGTATGCAAATACACTCCTCCTGTTAACCCAATCTGCTCAAACCCAGTTTGTAATTCATAAAATTATTAAACTTGTGATCCTGGATGTTAAAGTGTAGCTCCTTAATGTACTCCTAATGGTTTAAGCTTATGCTAAAGCAAATCAAATCCATAGGATTGTGCTAATAGTACATTTTGCTAATTTACATAAGGCGGTATTTGTGCTACTGCTGTTGCTAGTTCAAAAGAAATTATTGAATTTATTGTTTACTCTTTAATTTTATGTTTATTCTTATGAGTACTTTCATTTTAAGATATTAAAAATTTGTTTAACAATTAAAAATTTATTTATTTATTTTTTTCTTTTTTTATTTTAATTTCTTGGCTAGATAATTTATTATTTTAATTGTTTTAAATTTGTTTTTCAAATTTGATTAAGAAAAAAATAAAAATTATTACATTCTAATATAATTAATAACATCAAAATAAATGAATAAATATTTAAAAATAAATAAAACCTTTCCAATTTAATAAAAAAAACCATTTATAATTTACTCCTTTTTACAAAAAAGTATTCATTCAAGCATTTCTTAAATTATATCGATCAATTATAAATAAAACTTGTAGACATTTATCAATAGTTTGTAAAATAAATAAATAATGTAAAATCAAATCTAATTTCAAAACAAAAATATTTAATAAAATTATTTGATATTTTAAATTGAATACAATATGCTTTAGAAAAAAATATTTCCATAGCTGATAATATATTAAATGAACATTACGTACATAATGAAAATCAATAAATCTGTAATAATAATAATATCCTAATATAAATAAATATTGAATTAAAACAACTAGTTAAAATTTATTTATTAATTATTTTTTAAATTCTAATTATGAAAAAAACAAAAAATTAAAATTTTTTAATGACTTTTTTTAAAATGAATAATTTTTTGATTATTTCTATTAATTGAGCTGTTTAACATTAGTTATCAATTTTAGAAATATTTTATTATTTTTACTGTCTTTCATTGTAGTATTAGATATCAAACAGAAAGAATATTATTTATTGAAGTAAATTTATTGTAAAGTTATTTTATTTGTAAATAATTAGATAAACATAAAAACATCCAAAATATTTAATTTAACTGATTGGTTGAATAAAATAAATATACTATAGATTTATAATATCGATACAATTTGTTAAGTACTTATTAATTGATAATTTAAATATTTTAGTTTATTTTATTTAAGTCTAAAAAATTTGAAATGTGCAAAAATGCTTGCTCATTTTATATTTTAAAACGAAAAATAAAACAAAAATAAAAACACTTTTAGGAAATCCATAATTAAAGCTAGTATTAAAGTGATATAAAAATTGTATTTTTATATAAAATGAGGTAATAAAAGAATATTTCTAATTTAAAGAAGAATATTATAATATAAATATTCTAAAATTTAATTTAATTTTTTGAATAGAATACACTTAAATGAGATTAACAATTAAAGAAGAAAAAAAAATTTTTACTTTTTGACATTATATTTACACATCAACAAAGATTGTAGATCTATTAATATATTGATACATTCAAAAAAAAATAATTTATAAAATTACTTTAAACAAATGATCCTAACTTTTTTATTCAATCAAGAAAAAAAAGTAAGAAGTAATATTAAATTATTTGATATTTAGAAAAAATACTTTTAAAAAAGGTAATTAGAAATGATAATTATGTTGCCTTTAATTTTAATAAACCCTTATCTAAATAATAAAAAACCTAAAATGGCCTAGGAGAGAGGGGCCAAATAAATTATTAAATATAAAGAGGGGGAGAGGTAAAATAACAACTTTTAGTGTATTTAAATAAATTTAATTAAAACTAATAGTTTAAATATTATTTTTTATAGCTTATGTAAGAATGTACTGCAATAAAGAACCATCTTAGCTATTTCCTTTAAAAAAACAAGCTTTTACAAAAATTCACTATTGAAATGCAAAAAATATTTGTTCAGTTTAGGTAAAAAACTTAATAACAAGCATAAAGAAATAATTTAAATAGAATTTTTTTAAATATAAAGTTGGTATTTTTATTTGTAAGAACAGAAAGATAATATTTTGTCATTTTTTTAGATAAAGTGAAAATGATGATAAATAATAATGATAATTATTAACGTTTGTAAGATAAAGTCTAAATATGATTGAATAAATGATTTATAGTATTCGTTTCGGAATTCTGATTAATACGGAAGAAATAGAAAAGAGTTTTTGATTATTAAAGTAAATTAATATAAGATTTTAGTGCATCAAATACATTAACAAAAAAGGTAGTAGTGATTAACTAATTAAATCAAATAAATTTATAATATAAACTAATAAAATTTTATGGTATTTATCTAATTAAATTTTAATATATCTATATATAGTTTTTCTAGTAAACTTCTATCATACTTTCATTATCATTGATTTTAGCTTTAATTGAAATAAGATTATACGTCAGATTAAATCTTAGGGATAACTGTATCATCTTCTATTGTAGGAGGTATTCTATCGATTTATTTTCCGTCTACGATTTTTTTTAACGTATTTCTTAATATTTTGCCACTTCTTGTTTTGGGTAATTTTTCTACTACAATACAGTTTTTGAAAGAAGCAACAGGTCCGATTTCTTTTCTAATCAAGCTGACACATTCTTTTTCAAACACCTAGATGTCCACTCTTTATGAATCTTTAGGAACAACGAAGCCAAATGGTACTTCACCCTTAAAGTCGCAGTGCTTGGCAACTACTGCAGCTTCTACGATATTGTCATGCTTCAAGAGAGCTTCTTCCATAGATCCAGTAGACAATCTATGACCTGCAGTATTAATGACATCATCGATTCTAGCCATGACATTTAGGTAGCCATCTTCATCGAAATATCCACTATCTCCAGCCAAGTAGTAGCCAGGGGAATCATGAAGATACTTTTGTTCGAATACAGAGTCATTATTGTATAAAGTGAGCATGAATGAAGGAGGCATAGGAAGTTTAATACAAATTCTACCTAATTTATTAGGATTTTTAATTTCTTAATTGTGTTCATCTAAAATGTGAACATCAAATCCAGGGACAGGCTTACAAGCAGTACCAGGCTTAATGGGGAAGGTATGCAAGTTTTAGAAATTGCCAGAGATGACCCAACCTGTTTCAGTTTACCAATAGTTATCATTAATAAGACCAGGGACGTGCTTGTGAATCCATTCGTATGTGGGGACATCGCATCTTTCACCAGCTAAAGCAACATTAGTCAAAGAACTTAAATCAAACTTTTTAATCCAATCTCCATTCAAATCTTCTTTTCTAATGGCTCTCATTGCAGTGGGGGCTGTGTATAGACCTTTAACTCTGTACTTTTCTATGATTCTCCAATATTAACTTGCATCTGGAGTGCCTGTGGGCTTTCCTTCGTGAAGAATAGTTGTTGCTCCTCTTAAAAGGGGACCATAAACAATAAATTAATGGCCTACAACCCAACCAATATCACTACCTGAAAAGTAGACATCCCCTTTATGAATGTCGACTATATGCTTCATAGCCCATTGAGCAGCTACGCAAGTACCTGCAGTGTCTCTTACAATACCCTTGGGTTATCCAGTTGTACCAGAAGTATACAAAATGTAGAGAGGATGATCACCTTCAACAGGAACGCAATCAGCTTTTTAAGCTCTAGAAATCAATTCCTTGTAATCATAATCACGTCCAGGAACCATTGAGCATTTATTCTTTTCGTCTCTCTGGTAAACAAGAACCTTGGTGTTTTAGGCGCCAGCAATGTCTATGGCTTCATCAAGAATTTTTTTGTAGTTAATTACTTTGCCTGGTTCATAGCCAAATGATCCTCCTAGAATTAAGGCAGGTTCAGAATCCTTTATACGACTTGCTAATTCTTTAGCAGCAAAACCACCAAAAACTACTGAGTGAATTGCTCCTAATCTAGCACAAGCAAGCATACCAAAGACAGCTTCAGGAACCATTGGCATATAAATAACTACTCTATCGCCTTTTTTGACACCTAAATTTTAATAAACGCCAGCGAGTCTTGCAACATTATCTTAGAGTTCAGCCCAAGTGTAGGTTCTTTCAATCTTTTCGTAAGGGCTAATCCAGTGAAGGGCAGGTTTGTCGTGAAGCTACTTGACATGACGGTCAACAGCATTGTAGCACATATTTACTTGGGAGTCCTTGAACCAACGCCAAAAACCAGGATTGGGATTAGACTTATCGAGGATCACATCTGGTCTTTTGAACCAGTCAACAAAATGAGTTTGTTCTCTCCAGTAATCTTCGCGAGTTAAAGGATTAACAGATCTTTCAAAAGCAATCTAGTAAGGGTTCTTGGCGCTATTTAGCTAAGAGCTATATTTTTATAAAGAGAGAGTCATCCTTGAGTTTAAAAGAGTTCTCATTCTAAGAGCAGTGCTAAGTATCATTTTCGCTAAATTAAAGGCAATTAATAAGTATTTGTTCTATTAATTAAGTTCAACTTTACGTATTTTTTCTTCTATTTTTTTGCAAATTTGTGTTAATTAAAATTTATGAAATTAATTAATTGAGAAGGTTATATTTAAAAGCAAATAAATTAACTAATTTATCATGAATATTCATGTTTTTAAAAATTCAATTAGTTTGTAAATTGAACAAATTCTATCACTTAAATTAATGATAATGTGTTTTCTTGTATGAAACACTGAATAAGCTAAATTCTATCGAAAGAATTTTGCCTGAAAGTTAGTTATTGATTTATTTATCCTGTTAGTTATTTCAATTATAGATTTATCCTTCAATTTGTATTAGAGATTTTAAGCAGAAATTCAAGCTTTCATTTACAAAGAATTTTTATTATGTTTACACCAAATAAAATACCTCTTTTAAAAATATTTTTTCCTCCAAAAATAGAAAAAAAGGTTGAAATGTAGATTTTAAATTCAACTGTGATTATAATTTTTATAAATTATAAAACATGCCAGAATATATTGCGCTCATTTTAAAATCCATCATCATTAGGAGAAAATCGTTCAATATTAAGTGTAATTAAGTTTTTCAAAATCAAAAATAAAGGTTATATCATATATTGATATCTGTCGTCATCAGTATACACAGCATAACGATTAAATAACCATGTGTTCAATCTATTTTTATTACAAAAAAAATACAAATCTGAATTTTCAAACAATTAAAACACAGTTTTTTTATAATTGTAAAAGGAATTAAAACTCTATAATATTTCTAGTAAGTTATGAACTAAAATTTCGGTATGAATTGCATAACTTACTTAATAACTTTCTGATTAAAAAAGTATTTTTATATATAAAGATAATAAGAACAAATCAAATCAAAAAGACATTAAAATTCTATTAAAATTTCCTCCTTAAAGCGAAATAATGCAAAAAAAATCACATTTTAGATTTCATTTTAATACTCAAATCTTAATTTTCTTTTTAATTATAAAGCCTAACTTTGATAATTATAACAAAATGAATAATAATTTTTATTTTTTATGTAATTAAAAATATTTACAAAAGCTAATACAATATAAAGACATATTTATTTTTATCCTATTATATCCTGAATATTTTGATGAAAAACAAAACCATAATACTTGTTCCAATGTTTTTAGATGTAACAGAAAATTACTAAACAAATTATTTTTTAAATAATGAAAAGAAGAAAACTATTGAAATAAAATTAATCTTTTGCCAACTAGATTATTTTAGTTTATGTTACCACTAGCTTTAAGTAAATCTAATAATGTAGCTGGTTAGCTAAAGATTTTGTTAAAATATATTCAATATGAGTACTATAAATTTGATATAGATAAGAATAGTTATTAATAGAAATATCAGTTGATGGAATGAAAATTTAATTTTATAATAAACTATTTATTTTTATAATTCAAAAAAATGCATAATAAAAATAATTTGTTATTATTTTTTAAATTTAAAATAAAATTTACCTCACTGTTTAACTATTAATATTAAATTAAATAATTTTAAAATCCAAAAAAATTAATATAATCCACTCATTTATTTAATTTCCTTCCTCAAAAATTGTGTAAATTAATCAATCAAAATTATTATTTTGTTTTTAAAAGACTTATTAAGATAATATTTTTAAAAAATCAGTTGAAATTTTGTAAAATATTTTAAAAAAATTTATTCAATTAAAATTTTTATTAATATTTTAAAATGATTAAAATTACTACTTTTGCAATTGTGAAAAAATTTGAAAAATAAATATTTATTTACATATTTATTTATTTTCATTCTATTTTATTGATTAAATTAACTATTATCATATTTATTTAAAAAAGTATATTAAGTATTTAAATTTTTAAGTTAAAATAAAATGTATTTACATTTATAATCATTAATATGTAAATCTATTTCAATAAATTAATAAAGTTAGATATAGGAAATTTAGCAAAAATAAACTAAAAAGAAGATCACAACACAAAAAATATAAGAAAATTACTTTAAATTTTGAATTAATTGAATAATTTCAAGTAAAATTCTACTTCAAAAACCTAAAATAAAAAATAGTTTAAAACATTGTTATAGAAAAACACGGTGAGAATAAAAAGGAAGACAAAAATTTTAGTAAAAATAGTGCACAAAATGGAGCTGTGTTAACGAAAAATTACAATTGTTTCCTAAATATAATATACATAGTAGAAATATTAAAAGAGACAAATTTATCAAAAGTTAAAATTGTTAAAAATGAAAAAATAAAATAATATTAAATGATCATGAATATAAATATTCTTTTAGTATATAATATATATTCTTTATAATCCATCATAGGTATTTATTGAATTTAATTAATAAATACATAAACTAATAAATAAACAAATAAATATAAATATCTATATTCATATTTAAAATTTTTTTTTTTTAAATTAGGAATTAAAAAAATGATGATAAAATTTATTTAAAATTAATTTTCTCTACTTTTTAACTAAAATTTTAATACAAAATATTATAAAAATATAATTAATTACATTATTTTATTAATTTTTGTTTGGTTAAAATAAGTATTTATATTATAAAAAGTGAATACAAAGCTAATATTTATCAGCATTTAAAATAAATTCTTTGCAACATATTTTCATTTATTTTGAGGTTTAAATAAATTGATTAAGAAATTATTTAAAATAGAATATTCATTTTATTAAAAACTTATAAAATAATTTAAAGTATTTGAAATTTATTAAACTATCTATTTCTTTTTATTTATTCCAAAAATATTTTAGTACTTTTGGTGTCTTATTTTATTGATCATAAAATATAATTATAGTTATAAGGTTATAAGTAGATTAATTAATTTATAAAACCTTTAAAAAATACTATTTTAAAATATTACAATAAAAGTATGTATAAAAATAATTAGCATTTATTTGAAAATAATCTTATAAATTTAAAATAAAATTAAAAAAAATAATATTTTCAATTGTAGGTATTTGTTCAAGAATTAAAAATAGTAAGTTAATCATACATTTTAGAGCAAATCAATTATTTTATTTAGTTGATATTTTTTGTAAATAACAAAAATAAAATGTATAAAAATTAATTTTAAGAAATAAAAAAGTAAATTATTTTCATTAAAATAAACTTCTTTTCATTCATTTGAACTCCTATAAAAATATCAACAGATTTTCTTAATTCAATTAAAGATTTTAAAGCAAAAAAACCATAAATTACTTCTTTATTAATTTTGATTTTGTTTATTTTCGATAGCATATTTATCTAAGATGAAAAATTTTGCTAAATTTGAGATAAAAAATTATAAAATTATTAATTTAAATTGAAAATATTTTAATAATTTAAAATTCTTATTTAAATATTTAATAATTTTTTAATTTTATTATTATTAACTTTTATGATCAACAAGTAAGTAAATTTTAGATTTGAAGGCAAAATTAGAACGAAAACAAATAAATTTCTGATAAGGAAATGATAAAAGATATATCAAGTATAGCATGTAATTGAATGAAATTGAGAGATAATGTGATAAAAATATTAATTAGTTTATGATCAAATTATTTTGATTTTAATTGGCTCATTTCTTATGTATATATAAGTTATTAGATAGATACCATTAAGAATGTAAAATTAATGCATCCACACATAAAAAATTTGTTAGCAATCAATTAATTAATTAGAGGAAACTAAACTATACTTAAAAAATTTATAAAATTTTGCTTAATCATAAATAAGAAAGAAGTATATCAAATAAAATTAAGGATGCCTAACATGAAAACAAAAATATTTTTAGCTTTAGTTCTCTTTTCAGCTTAAGTTATATGTGATAGTATTGATTGCACCACATTAATTAAATAAGCAGATTGCCAAACTAATAGCAACAATTGTGTCTGGGTTGATGATTTTACAAAAAATATTTGCTCACAATCAATAGATTGCTCAAAAAACCCAGATTAATAAACATGTGAAGTCAACACTAAAGTGTGTAAATGGGATGGATACGACTAAGGTTGTAGAAATAATGTAGATCTTTGCGCTATCAATACCTCTAACTACAGTTGCAATACAGGGATAGGTTGTATTCAAGGTACATCCTCTTCATGCAAGACTGTTTTAATCAATACATGGGGTTGCGAAAAAAGCACCTATGAAAATTGCAATACTCCAGATAAACCATTCTGTACTCAATCATAACTATGTAGTTCTAATTTAAAAAAATGCCCATCAACTGTAAATACTCCAACTGCCGATTAAGATTGTTCAGGTCCTTGTTAATTAGCCAATATTACTTGCTAAAGCTCATGCATTGGTGTAAATAATTAAAATCTTTGTTAAGGTATAAAAGGCTGCTAATGGAGTAACAATTCTTGCTCAAGTGCTTAATCTTGCCCTAAAAATCCCAAAACTGTTGCTTAATGTACAGCTGTTGATAGTTGTTAAGTTGCTTAAACTACAATTACATGCTAAGGCCCTGCAAATGATGACTACTAATCTTATTGCTCAAAATTAGGTACTCAATGCACTGATGCTAATTATTGCTCTTTAAAAAATGTATGTATAAATGATGAAAACTTTTGCAAAAAGGATGGAAGCTGTGCTAAGGATCCTAATAGTCCTGCTCCTTATAAGTAATGTTTATTAGTGACTTCTAAGACATGTAGTTTTCCAAGTGATAAACTTAAGTGTGCCTCATTCAATAGTTAATAAGACTGCTAAAATGATAGTAATAATAAACTATGTCTTTGGTCTAATGGAAAGACATGCCAAAACTTAAAAAGTAATTCTGACTGCTAAATGCTTTATAGAAATTCAACGAGCTGCAATACCTTAAATTCAGCAGGATGCTCATTCTAGAGTGGAGGAACATGTGCCTCAAAAAATGCTGACTATTTATCTTCAAAAATATTGGCCTTCTTCACAAGCAATATTTTGTATTTTGCAGCTATTTTGCTTGCACTTATCTGAATAAACAAATATAAAAATTGGATAATGTATAATCAACATACTTTGGTATCATATTAGTTATCAATACATATACTTACATTTATATGAATTATTGGTTGATAAAATTCATTTACTAGCCAAAAAATGAATATTCAATTTATTTTATTTTTAATTCCACTATATTACATTTAAATACTCTATAAATTATTTTTTTTCAAATTTTAAATACTTCTTCAAATAATTAATCATTACATAAAATTAATTTTTATTAATTAAATAATTTGAATATTTGTTTAAATTCAATAAATTCATCATCTAAAAAAAATTATTTTTAAACAAATATTCATTTTTTATTTATTAAAGCAATTATTTATGATCAGAGACCCATAAAAATTGCTCATCTATTTTAAAAAAGTGATTTAATTTTAAAAAAATGAAAAATATTGCTTTTTACCGCTTAAACTGTTAAACTTTTCTTTTTTTTTTATCAGTAATTTTTTTAAATCAAATTCATTTTATATTTTAAATATTTAAATGAACTTTTTGTAACTTTTATAGAGAGTATTTGAGTTAAAAATAATCAATTCTAACATATAATCAGTAACTTTTTATGTCTATTTATGATATTTGATGTAGTTATCAATGTTTATCTTATCAAAGTGATAAACTCCTTTAGAAGTTTTTTTATTTTGCTATAAGTTAGTTAGATCACACTTAATTTATAAGGCTAAGTTGTTGTGTTTTCTTGGTGTTTCTTCAATATGGCCATCAATAAAGTTTCAAATTATTTCAAAGCATTTAAAATCTTTCTAAACAGTAAGGAACAAATTTGTTATTTTATTAATATAAAAAAGATATTCATTTATATTGCTTGAGATCAATAAAAGACTTTTATAATTTTTAGAAGATCTTAATCTATTCTACATATATGTACCAATAATATAAAATAAATTTCTTATTTCTAGAAAATGTATATATAAAAATTTAAAACCTACCAAAAGATATAATTTAGCCTTTATTTTATTTGTTTTCAGTAAGATTTGTTATTGTTTCTGAATAAATAATTTTAATTATTTGATATATCTATAAATTTAAGATATAACCCGAGAAGTAGACTCGAATTATCCGTACAGAATGCGCACTTATTTTAGAAAATTAATATTAATTATAAAAACATAACATTTATTTTTAAGTTTGATATCATATTTTATTTTAATTCATAAATAAATGACTTTAAAAAAATTAATCCTTTTAATTAAAATTTGCTATAAAATAAAAGGGAGTATTCTTGATTTATAAAAATTTTATTGATTATTTAATCAGCATTATACACTGAATAACTGAAAAAGTATATTTAATGGAAAAAAAATAGATACAATCTTAACTATATCAAAAATTTCAATTTAATCTTCCTCTAAATTTAAATACTAACTAATTTTTTGAGATGCTTTATTAAAATAAAAAGAAAAAAATCTATTTGATTAAAATAGATATAAATATTTATTTATTTTATTCATTGTAAAAAATATGTAAAGTATCTAAAAATAAAAATTTAAATATCTTTTTGTTTTATTTTTTGAAAGTTTGCTTGCTTAGGTTATGACCTGTTTGATATTATAAAAATTTATTATTAATCACAGTACTTTTGTAATTTAGTTTTGTGATTGCTTATCTCTATAAATGTGGATAATGAGAGAAATAAAAAATATTTAGAATAAAATTTAGATTTTATATAAAGTATTATATTTATGGATAACAGCATACCTATCTATCTTTTAATTTTTCTATTAATTATAGACCATTAATTTGTTAATCATTTCTAAAAAAAACAAAAATACTAGCATCTTTATTACATTTGAGAAATATTTCTTGATTTTGAATTTGTAGTTAATATTTTTATATTTTTATAGACAAGGAACATAGTGTAAATTCTCAAAAGGATATTATTAATTATTAAAAACACTATTGATTAGCTATTAAGTAAAAAAGTATGTTTAAAGAAAGAAAAAAAATGGAGAACATCAAATGAATTATGTAAAAATGTAATCTTCCTCTAGATTTAAATATCAACAAATTATGGAAATACTTTATTGAAGTAAATGTATTTAGTTTTATGATAATATAAAGTTATTTATTTTTTTATAAGTGCTATAAAAACTTAGAAATGAAGCTAAAAATAATAGTTTAAATATCTTTTTGTTAATTTTTTGAAAATATTGTTGTTTATTTGTGATCTGTTTGGTACTTAATATAATATTTATTATTGTAAATTGTATTTTTGTAATTTAATTTTGTGATGCTTATATCAACGAATATGAAGAATCACATTTAGGTAAAAAATTAAAAAATATTATGTTATGGATAACAGTATATTTATGAATTTATCAATTTCATTTTTAATTGTAAGCCACTAATTAGTTAGTCGTTTCTAAAAAAAAAGAAAAATACTACAATCTTAATTTACATTTCAGAAATAAATTACTTGATTTTGAATTAGTAGTATTTTTACGCATTTTATGAAAAGTATTACAATTTATCTTTTACAAAAGATACTAATTTATTTTTTTTAAACGAATGAATAGCTCTACCTTTGTAAGTAAGTAAGATAAGATCTAAAGTGAACAAAATGATGACAAAAACTTATTAATTAATTAATATGGTCTCAAATTTTTTCAATAGTACCAAAGTGTTATTGATGTATTGAATTTGAAAATTATTAAAGATAAGACATGTTAATATTTTGAATTGTCCTTCTTGAAAAAAATCTGTTTAAAAAGATCCTTAGTAAAAATTTAATTAATTTAGACATCAAAGCTTTATCAAAAATTTGTCAACAGAATTAATTAATATATTAATATAAATTAAATACTTTGTTTCTTTATTTTCTTTTAATTTAGCTACCAAAGGTCTCGCTATTTTTTTTTGAGTATTTAATTTTTAGCTTAATCTACTTAAAATCACTCATTTTTTAAAACCTTAAATTATCAATAAATTTGTTTACTTTAAAAATTTTTGATAGATAGCTGAAAAGTTATTTGTTTAAATAAATAACTCATTCAGTTTTTAAAAATTAAGTATTGAGATAGTGGGAATAATTTTTTGTTTAAAATAATTTATTGGTTTTTTATTCTTTTAATGTCTAAGAATCAGCTCACTGTAAGATTAAATTATAAAGCTTAGCTAATATCTATTTAATCAATAAAAAGCAAAATAGAAATTAATATTTTGGATAGTTGTATTCTTTAGAATTGGACTATTTTAACCAATACTTAACTATTTAAGATATTTTTTTTAAGTATAAATAATAGATTTATCACTAAAGATAAAATCTTAATATCAAACTTAAGTAAAATTATTATTAAATCTATTAATTTGATTTATGAAAACATGTTGGAAATAGTTAAAATGATAAATCCTTTTTAGGATAAAAATATTACTTGTATTATTTTCAATACTGATCTAACATTGCAATAATATGTAAATATGTTTTAACTTTACAAATATTGATTTACTAAAATATTTTTTAGTAAATGTAACAACATAATATTTATATAAAAGAATTAAAAAATATAGTTTTAAAATTAAGGCTGTTCTTTATATTTTTTTATTTGTAATCTGTGTTTGTTTACTTTGAAAATTGTCTAAATAATATATTGATCTCATACATTTTTATAAAATACTTTAAATTGAGGATTGATCTTGCAGTAAAATTTTTAATTTGGGGATAAAATATAAATTAATAAAATTTTTTATATCTAAATTATTAATTTTAAATAAAATTGTATTAATTTAATTTTTAGATATTTTAATTGTTTGATATGATAAATACTTCGTTTTTAATTTAAAATAATATTGCTTATAGTTATTCTCAACATAAGAGTGAAGATTAACAAGCATTAATAAAGCACACATTTCTAGCATGAATAATACTTTAATTGTTATTTTAGTTCTAAAATATATAAAATTTTTTATATGTTTTTATTGATTGAATGGAAATATTTATTTTCTAATTCTAGCAAATTAATTTTAGTTTTAGACTTTATTAGTGATATATGTTTTATATTTTGTTTTTCTAAAGGTGTTTTAGGATGCTTAACACATTAATAAAATTATAAATAAAAAAAACGAGGTAATTATTTAGTTTGAATTAAAAGTAAATAATTATATCAATTATTTTTTCAATGGGATAATGCTTAACACAATAAATTGCAATTACATAAATATTTCAAAATAATTAAATTAAGCATGTAAGTAATATTTGTTTGCTATTTAATTGATTTTCTTAAAAACAATTTACATGATAAAATACATCATTAAATTTATTATTTTGTTATTATTTTACATGTTTTTAATATCTATAGCTGAGATAAAAGTCAGATTTGCTTTTCATTTTGAGTTAATATTCTTCTTAAATATATTTAAGATTAAATATCTTTATATACGCTTTATTTCTAGCATAAGAGAATTTTATATAAAATAAATTTAATTCCTAATTTTCTCAATTAAATAGTGAAAAAACTTAATAGTAAATAAAAAATTTGACAAAATAATTTTTTTAAAATAAATTACTAGGAGGAAGTGAGTAAATTGGAATAATTAAAAATATTTAGAAGGAGTAAAGAAAGATATTTTTAATATTTTTGAATTTTTTTTGGTACTAATTTAATTAATGGATACTAAATCTTAATTACATTTTCTAAGGAAAAAAATAAGAGCAAACTCAAGAAAGTATTTATTTACAGAGGAATTTACAACACCAAAAAAAAATTTTAATTTTTTAAAAATTAAAAATTTGCTATATTTTTTATTCTAGTAGGATAGTAAAAAAATATTTTCTATAAAAATAGGATTAAAAGCCTTAAAATAGATTCGCTTTAACTATAGAAATATTGTTTGCTATCAAATTATAAATTTATTTTGATTTTATTTATAGTGACAATTTTAAAATGTATGATATAGTACTAATATTGATTCATGAGAAAAATAATTAAGCAAGCTAAGCAAGCACATGTATATTTTAAAGTTAAAATAATAGAGTTAGAATAAATTAGGAAAACCAAATAGCATTTATTTGATAAGCATTTTTATGGGACAATTTTAAGAAGTTGGTAGCGTTAATATAAAATTCAATAAATTTAACTTTGATTCAGAAATAAAAGCTTGAATAAATATTTATTAAGATCTTGGTCACACATGCAAGAAGATATTGAAATAGGATGTAATCATAATTAAGATTTAAGATATTTAGAATAGTAGTATTTTTATTTTAGCTTTTGATGTTACATTTAATTATTATTAACAGAAGAAGCATGTAAGAGGCTTACTTGTTTAATTTTTCAAATTATTTGTAGACATATTTCAAAATATATTTTCTAAATTAAAATTGTAAATACTTTTTATAAAAGTCTTCTTGCAAAAATAAATGAAAGAAAGATGGCAGAATCAAATAGTGTAATCAAATTTAAAACAAATATTTTCAAAATAAGCATAATATTCTTAACCACTGGCATACTTTCAGAAATCATCAAAATTTAAATGGTTTATACAAATATACATTTTATCATCTATTATTTTAGTATAATGAGGATCTTAATAGTCGTTTTTATCCAATGATTATAAGAATGCAAATTCATAAAAGACTTGCCCCTTAATTATAAAATCAATCAAAATTTTAATTAAAAACGTTATTCAAATTAAGGCAAACTCGTTTCCCACTGCCTCTTTAAAACACATAAACAAGGAATTTATATATAATTAATATTTTTCAAATTATTGATAATAGGAAAAAGGATATAAACACTGCCTTTTATAAAATGAGAAAAACAAAAACTCAATTTATTATCTTTGGTCTTCTACTTTCTGTTGCTCTCGCAGCATAGGCTCATAGAAGTAAAATAGCTTATTATACTAACTATTACAGAAGAAGAAGAATTAAACTTCTTTAACTAGCTTTTACGCATTTTATTTAAATGACAATTTATCATAATAAACAATAAAATGATCATAATTTTCAATAATGCTAATAAAATTTTTTTTTAAAATATATATCAAAACCATATTTCCGCAAAGGTGGCAAATATGCACCTTTTTTTTTGCTTAACTTATCCCTAAAAAAAATTGAAATTTTTAAAATAATTTTTGCAAAAATTTAGCTATTTGTTTTAGTTGATTATTCTTTCTTCTTTTGTTTCTACGTTTCTTAATTTATTAACTATGTATAATTTTCTAATTATTCAATATACTTACTTCTTCTTTATTTATTAATATTTTCATTATTAATAAAAATTTATCATAGACCTTAGAAGTAGCAAGTACTTTCCACATGCCAAGAAGCATAGATTAAGTGAAAAAATGATGAATAAAAATCCAAGTGTTAATCAAGCCTAGAAGTTTGTTTAAGTTAAGAATGCTGACTGGAACTATGATCCAAATGTTAATTAAACCAATTAAACATTTGTATAAACCAGTAGTGGTGATTGGTGGTTTGATCCCAATATTAATTCAACCAATTAAACATTCTTTGTATAAACAAGTAGTGGTGATTGGTGGTTTGATCCCAATATTAACTCAACCAATTAAACATTCTTTGTATAAACAAGTAGTGGTGATTGGTGGGATGATCCCAATATTAATTCAACCAATTAAACTTTCTTTGTATAAACTAGTAGTGGTGATTGGTGGTTTGATCCCAATATTAACTCAACCAATTAAACATTCTTTGTATAAACTAGTAGTGGTGATTGGTGGTTTGATCCCAATATTAACTCAACCAATTAAACTTTCTTTGTATAAACTAGTAGTGGTGATTGGTGGTTTGATCCCAATATTAACTCAACCAATTAAACTTTCTTTGTATAAACTAGTAGTGGTGATTGGTGGTTTGATCCCAATATTAACTCAACCAATTAAACTTTCTTTGTATAAACTAGTAGTGGTGATTGGTGGTTTGATCCCAATATTAACTCAACCAATTAAACTTTCTTTGTATAAACTAGTAGTGGTGATTGGTAGATTGATCCCAATGTTAATCAAGCATAGTTCGCTTAAGCTAAGAGTGGTGACTGGAATCATGATACAAACAGTGATTAAACATGGTTTGTAGAAACTGCAGCTGCATTTGACGATGAAGAATAGCCTGTACTTGCTATATAAAATTGAAACGGAAAAATTTGATTATTTGAAGAGCAAAGCAAAGAAGATAATCTATTATACAAAGCAGTAAATAGAAATGTTAGTCATTTAGATCTAAAATTTATAATTAAAATATATTGATAAGTATCAATATGCAATAAATTATATAATATGTTGACTTTGCTATTTTTAATTTGATTTATAGGGCGTTGATATCATCGTACATATCTCTTTCTAAACCTTTTTAATTTTTTTGTTTATAAATGAAATTATTTGCTAATTTTTAGTATTTATGTCTTTATTATTAATTGATTTTAATTTTAACTATTCATTTATTTGTTAGCCGTTTTTTTTTCTTCTTTCAACTTTTAAATGATTCTACACGTTTATATGTTTAACTAATTTTTCCTATTTAAATTATTTAAATTTTGGTTAATTCTATTATATTATGCTTTAATACATTAATCAAAATTCTAAAAATAATTTTATTTTAAAATTTATTAAAATTTAAAAAAAAAAAAATATTTTATTTATGCGCGAGAACTAATTTAGATAGCAAAAAATAAACATTTTTATTTCAAAGTAATTTTATTTAAAAAAAAAAATTATATTTTTAATTTTAATTATTTATCAATGAAATTAGATAAGCCAGCCATTTTGTAATGCTTTTAATAATAACCTTGCTTTATTTTTATTACTAAAATATAAAGCTATTTATTTGCTATTAGTATATTCATTTATTCATTATTTTTTAATTGCCTTTTATTCTTTGATATTTATATTTTTTTTCAATATCTATAATTGTAAAATTAATTTTATTTTTAATATACTATTCAGATTCATTAGCTTACAAGATTCTGGTAAATACAGTAATTATTTTTAAAATAATATTTGATCGACTTTTACTTGAAGACTTTAAATATGATTTTAACAATTTTCTTTTGTTATAAAGTAAATATTTGACTTAAAGTGGCTTATTCGTTTATAAAATTTAATTTAATTTTAAACTCATTAAATTATAATATAATATATTTTTTAACTATCTGAAATATTTAAAATTTTTTAAAGAAATTTCAATTACTAAATAAAAATTTTATCATAAAAATTGACAAATAAAAATTTATTATTTGCATAAAAGAGCTGATAATTGGTATATAAATTCTTGAATTTAATATCACTTACTAATTGTTTTATATTCAAAATATGAATAATTTTTATAAATAAATATTTTAAATATTTTATTATATTTAATTTTTTAACTAAAAAAAAAACAATATATTATATGAATATATAAAAAAGAAAAACTATTTATGGGGAATTTTATTGGAATCGTATTGTTACATTATTTATTAGGTAATATTACTCAAATAATTAATTCATTACGATCTTACTTAGTTTATGCATTTGACTTTAATTCTTTTATTATTATTAATTAAAATTAGCATATCATCCAAAATTAAAAGTAAATGTTATAAATAGGTGCTAATCTTGGTAAGAGTTACTTAGAAATATGATTTAATTTTATAGTTTACAAAAATAGGGAAGATCATGTCATGATCCAATAACAATAAGAAATATTTTAAAATGGAATATAGTTTAAATTTGTAAAACTAGGAATTGGATTTTACATTTTAATTTTACATCCTATTTTAAATTAATTGGATGTAAAAAAATTTTAATTATTCCTTACTTTAATATCTTACAGGAGGAGATTAGTTAATCGTAGACTAACTAGATCTGTCTAAATAAATACTAAGGGAATATTCATCTTTCAAACATATTAGTATGAAGTTCATTTATTTGATTCTTTTTTATTTCTTGTAAAATTATAAATTATTTGATGATTACAGTTCAATAAATCAGATCAATCAGCAAAATCATTAATAATGAATTAATATCTTAAAAATAATAGCAAGTAATAGTTAATTAAGTAGGATTTTTGCTTTTTCATTCATTGGTCTATTCAAATTAATCTGTGAATTTTAATAATTCTATGAAATTATTAATATTTTTAGAAAATTTGTGAAGAAGTGCTTAATTTTGTTAAAAAAGAATGATAAATTAATAAGTTAGATAGAGTTCTCAAAGAGCCTTTATAATTTAAATATCTCCTCGCGATGGGAGTCACTTTAACCCTCTATCCATTCCGGTGCCTGTTACTTACAATCTTTCGATGGCTAACCTTCCAACTTCATTGGATATTGAAAATCATGGAGGCAATAATAATAATAGTAATAATAATAGGGATGGGAATGTTTTCTTAATATAATTTCAAGGAAACAATACAAACTACAGACATGGTCTCTAATTTGTGCACAACTAGATCAGGAACAATTTGGAATTTTATAGGAACCAAAGCAGACAGATAACAATAAATTAATAAACATTTTTAGTGAAGCCTTATTATGAGAGAGATATGTTTTAGGATTAATCGAATAATATTATTTTGCAATAACTGCAAGATAATCATGGCGTTTACATTAATTAGCTTTAATTCGCAAGCTTGTTATCTCTAGGACAACAAATAAATGATAAAATAAATACTGATATCTCAACTCAAATATTTTTCATGATGATTTAGACTTTATGTATGATTCCTTCTATCTGCTACTTTAGCTTAGCAAATAATTTATTCTCACATAACATAGCTTCTGATATTTACGTTCTCTTAATAATGATCTCAAATTTGCTAATAATAATAAATAGATATTTTCTCTATGTAAAGCTAAAACTAGTTTATAATGAAATAGATTTTGAAAATTATAAAACACCTCAAGTAATCCTATTCTTAATACATCTTAGAGATTAAATAGGATTAAAAAGCATAAACACTCTTACTAGATAGTAAATATAAGATAGCATACAAAAGAGCTTTAATTCGTATATAGTACTGTCTTTGAATATCTTAAATATTATTCAATATGCTTTGTTATTTTTTAGCATTTATTTCTACATTCTCTCTGATTAGTACTCTGATAAAATTAGAAATGAGAGTTCCATAGCAGCTATCTTGGTGATGAGCTACACAAGTCTTATTATCTCTTTTTTATATACTGCTATATATGCATTTACTGTGTTCACAATAGGTATTACTTTAGCATGCTTTGGTATTATTTGCTTCGTTGGTTATATCATTTATTAAATATTTTACTATTTCTTTTTTGTTATTAACAAAATTGCTACTAAAATTTGTGGGGTCACTGATTATTTTGATAATAATAACCAAATAGCACCAACTTCAATCCACTCAAACTATTAATTTTATGCTGAGGCTTATGTAAAACGAAATACCAAATAAATTATTTACTCATCTGAGAAATGCAAAGATTCTCTCTGCTCTATTTGTCTTGAAGAATACGTAGAAGGCAAAACATAGCTCAAGTAAATGATTTGCTGTAAAAGTTCATTCCATATTCCTTGTATAGTAAATTGGTCATTAGAAAAAAAGACTTGTCCAAATTGTCGCTCAGAAGATGTTTTTGCAAAGAAGTAAAAAAGGAGAGCATAGTACTTTTCAAATTTAATAAATAATAATTAATAATCCATTCAATAGAATCCTTCATCCAATGGATTTTAAATTAATTAGCAACAACCTTAACCTTAACTATAAGTAGAAGAAAATCTTCAATAAATATAACCTAATGAATAATAACAAACATAAACTTTACAATAGCGCTAAGTTTAGCAGCCATAGTAACAGTAGCAGAGTGCTAGATAATAATAATAAAATAATAACTAAGAAATAAGAGAAGGTAATAGCTCTCAAAATAGGAATGATCTAGCCATTCAAGGTAGTTAATAGTTAAATAACTCTACTTAAACAATTTAGTTATCAAGGATAGAAAATCCTTAATGCAATTAATTAGGTTAATAATAGTAAATTGAGAGCTTAAAAAGCATCTAAGTTACTTAAATTTAAGCTTAAGAATTAAGAAATATTTAACCTTATAGCTAAATAGAGATTGATGATAATCATATACTTCATAATCATCGCAAAAGTGATTAAAATTTTATTACCTTAATCAATTTAGGGAGAGTAGAGAAGTAGGATTCTCATAGCATTGAAGAAATAAAGCATCAAGATGAATTGTAAAAATTTGATTCTTACAATTCAATAAAAATAGAAGATCAACAAGATAAAAAAACCAAAATAAAGTCTAAAAATGATGCAAATAGCTAAGCTTTTATTTAAATATCCAATTAAGAGATTGGATCTAAAACTCAGTTTATGAACCAGTAAATTGATTAATAAAGAAACGGATAGAATAAGCTCAGTTCTTTAGATTGCTTGGATAACTAATCAAATAATGAATGAGAATATGATAACATTTACAATACGAATAAACAATATATATGAAATCTAAATCAATTATAAATTAAACAAATAATAAATATTATATAAAAAATAAAAATACTTACTTATCTATCTAAATATTATAAAATAATTATGCTACTTATTTATTTACTTCTCACTTTGTCAAATATGAATTTTAAAAATTCCAATCAAATATTTCCAAAATATTTTTTTTATCATCAATAAAATTTCAAAATATTTTTTAAATAAAATAAATATTTATTTTATTCAATTATAAAAATGCAGATCGAACATAATTGATACTAAATAACTTATTACTGAATTAAATAAAATATAGACAGATATATTTGTTTATTTGTTTTTTATTGAAAATAATTCAACTTACTAAGAGATTAACAAAATAGAAAAATGTTTGTTTGATATTTTTATTCATGAATTATGTTAACAATTTATTAAAATTCTTATTAAGTTGGATAAAGATATCACTTAAATTGTTTATATATATATTTTTTTATTGATTTTTGGTATTTAATTACATATATTAGTGTATAGCTTTAGATAATTTAGTAGATAGATTGATAGAAAGAGTTAAAGTAGTTTTAAATCCAATTATTATTAATATAAAGGAGTATCTTTTAGACATTTAATAATAGTATCTGAAAGTCATCAGCCAAGCGATTTTATATTTCAAATAATATACAGAGGAGCAAACTGAATATGAGACTGAATTTAAATAGGAATATTTATTAAAAATTGAAGGAAAACAGCTAGAAGAGCGATAATTAGATAACCCGTTAAGATGAAATCAAGTTTTGCTAAATCATTCAAGGAAGTCTTGTAGGACAATAGCTTTTAAGTTCAAATTACGATATAATGCCTTTTTAATTAGGGCTTATACTGTGGAAGAACCTTCCTAATGAATTTTCTTCCGTATTAGATAACCTTTAAAATCTAATAGGATAGGGTAATCACCTATTTGACACGATAATTAAACAAAAGTCACACCATAACGAATTAGAAAATAATGTGAAATAATTTTTAGGCGCATTAACTAAGTATTTAAATGATTTTGATTTCGAGTCTTAATCATACCCTCTACTTAATGTCAAACTGAAAGCTATTGTTAAAAACCTAGAGATTAATATTCTCTCATTTCTTAATAGTTTTATAATGAAACTAAAAACAAATGAAAAAGTCAATTACAATTAATTCAGTACATTATGGATAAATCAGCTTATCCTGCATGATAACAAAAATAAACTCATCGACTTAATGGATATAAAGCTTTTAAAAGATAAACTTGTAAATTATTTTATTAATTGTTTATTTAAATTAATTATAAAATCCAAAATTCTTCTTCTTAAACTCTAAATATTTTGGAAAATCCAAAAACTTTGTAACGAAATTTTTAAAATAGGACAAAAAATAAATAATTCTATCTTTATTTGAATTGTTTTGTTTGTTATTTGCATTGCAAAAAAATGATTTTTAAAGTATTTAAAAAACAAATTAATTATAAGCAAGATTTATTTATTTTATTTTTAAAAAATCAGGTAGAAATTTTGAATCTTATAATTGAGGAGAATCAAAAACTTAAAAATTCAATGAGCAAAAGGGAATAGTATATGAATTTATTCAAAGAAAATCTTAATGAACTGTATTTAGTGATAGGTTTAGCTAACAAATTTTCTTAGTTCTTAAGTTTTAGTCTTTCTACTCCTGATAATCTTGTTAATATTTATGAATTTTGCTTCTAATTTATTACTGTTTGTTAAAAGTTTCAAGAGATTGAAAAGTTGCCATATGCAATTATATTCTATTTGAAATTAGTTAGATAAAGAAGGCAAAAAGCTTTTGATCAAGTGGTTAAAGAGCAATCAAGAAAGGTTTTCGAATCAACATTCAAGCTATTTGAAAATCACATTTAAAAATTTAATCCCTTCTAAATTTATAATTTTTGTGAGAATTTCTCAAAAATTCAATATTTAGGCTTTGAAAATTTAGAAAGCATAGATTTTTACGATATCTCAAGAAAAACCCACAAAGCTATAACTGCTTTATCATATAGCTATAAGCCCTCTGCAGAATAATTGGGTGCTCAATATATAACGAATTTGTAATATTTTTAACTAAAAATTATATTAATTAATTAAAATATTTGTAATTTAGGTTTTTCTATAGAAAGTTGAGATATATTGCTAAATCAATTGAATAAGTCGTAGTAAGAAGCTATAATTATGAAGAAATCAGCAGTTTATAATTTAATTCAAAGGCAACATTGATAGATAAAAGAAAATAAAGAATGATGAACATGCTCATTCAGTTCTAAGAAATAAGAAATTTAAATTAATCCAAGTCTTCTCTTTCAGAAGATCACAAATATGAGCTAATTTCTTTAGAGAATATTGTTATTTCTTTTTTCAAAACTTTTACAAACAATACTGAACAATAAATTTAAAGTAAATATTCAAAATTTTATTAAATCAAAAGAAAAATTTTATTCAAACATTTTTTTTGTTACAGATGGAGGTAGTTTTGAAGCTGAAACTTCAATAAACAACAGATTCACAAGCACGATAATATCTGATTTAATTCTACCAAAGTTTGATTTAAGTGGTTTCTTATCTTAAAAGTACATGAAAAACCAACACACTATCACCAAAAAACTATTTTAATTTCATTTAAAGTTAATTTAATATATTGGAGACTAGGATTAGCGAAAAAGGTAAATAAACTAAAGTTTTTTTCCCTTTTACATTATTAAAAATAAATATTATGAATAAAATAGAGCTTTAAATGACCTAAGTAGAGGCCTTCTTTTAGTTTTCTAAGAACATGAGTACAATGATATTATTATTAAAAAGATAGTAAACAAACTATCACTAAACCTCATACATTGCACTTATGAAGAAAAAATTACATTTTTCCTTGATTTGATTTAGAAATTTAATCAAAACTTTTTCTAAATCGAGAAGGATTATTCTGAAGATTCTCAAAATAAAAAGCAGTAAAAAAGAAATCACATTAAATAAACATTACAAATTCTTCCTCTTATCAGAGAATGTTTAAAAATCTTCCTTGACAGAAAGCAATTTACTCAAGTTACGAGTAATAGCAACTAGCTACAAACTGCTTCTGCAGCTATGACAGAATTTTGGATATTTATTGTACTAAACAAATCTATTATATACGAAAAAGACTACCTTAAAGAAAGTGATTTTGAAAACATTAATATGATAGCCTTACTATCACCAAACTTTTTAGAAGGTGAACAACTTTCTTTTGTTGCCAGTAAAATCATATAGCTCATAAATTAATCTAAAATTTATGTAAAAGATATTAAACAAAGGTACAAAGAATCTTTTAAATCAGGTAAATTACTAGAAACAACTAAAAATTTAAGTTAAAATAAAAATAATAAATTAAAGTTTATTTGTTGTTTTTAACTTAAAGGATCTAAACAGTAAATAAATGAAATGTTGCATTGCTTAATTTAGGAAGAAATTATGGCTAACAAAATTAAATTGTTAAAAACTCATATGTATTAGATATCTCAATTCTACAAGCCTTCTATTTATGAGAGTCTTTTCTTTTATTTAAGAGAAGTTGGATTGAATGCTAAAACATTTCATGTTATGGAACCTCTTGTAAAATAAATCAGTGAAGAGTAAATCAATTTATTTTCAAAATTACAATAAATTTTACATCTATTTTTCTAAATAAATAGTTATATGATTCTCTTTAGAAAAATTAAATTGACAAGCGTCAATGTAAAAGAGGAAATTCTTGCTAAGGATTTTTCTTATCTCTTAGAAGCAAGCTGTAGCGCTGATAACAATATAAGCGAATTTTCTTTACAAATGATTTAAGAGTACATTAAGTGGTTCCCTTAACTTGTATTTAACCCCAGTGTGCTTATGACATTTAGCGAATGTTTAACAGCACTCTACTAAAAATGCAGTTATGAATACGACTCTAAATCTTCTTTGTTGTAAGGAAAGCATCTTATTTACTCTATCAATCTACCTACTGATATTAAAAAAATGGGAGGTACTTTAGTCATTCTAATGAACCTTCTTTAAAAGTTAATGCTCAAAGGTCATTTTATTGACCACAATTTCCTCAAAGTCTTGATTCAACATATTGTAAAACAAGAAGGATCTATTTCAAGCAAAATTGACTTTGGATATAGGTTTTTAAAGTATGAAAGCATCAATTTCAGAGGTGACCGTAACCAAATTCTAGAAAACATCCTTGCTTGCAATCCTTTCCTATGGTTAATCAATTAGGAAGAATTCGAACAAAGAATAAAAAGCTGCAACTTAAACATGTTTGTAGTAGATCGTAATTTACTCGAACTAGAAAAGGTATACTTAAAAAAATTATTTATAAATTTTACTATTTTTGTTAAAAATCCTTTTTTTAAAATTTATTAAGTTTAAATTTTAAAAATTTATATTTTTGAAAACAAACAAGCGATTTTGAATATAAAATAATTTTTGAATTTATAATTAGAATATTTACTTATAATTTTAATATATTTATTAAGATTAAAAATAATCAACCTCCTGCCAATTTTAGAGTGATAATAGAGAATATTGAGAAGAGTATTCATAACGAAATAGAATTAGAATTTTAAATGGAAGACAAAGTAGAAGAGGAGAGAATTATAAAAGAAAATGTGAATTTATAAACAATCGTAGAACAGAGAATGAAAGAAATAGCTAATTACTGCTTTAATTTGAATATTATTGACACTATTTGTTCAAATAGCTTTAAATAAATTAAATTTATTCTTAAAAATCCTCTAGTAAAAGTTCGCTTACTTCCTTAAATATTTGAAATAATTGAAAAAAGTTCAAATTCATCTGAAATGAAAAGAGATCTTTAAGAAACTAAAGATCTCATAGCTAATGATATGAAGACTATGGTTGCTTCTTTCAGAACCGTTATGATGAAAAAACCTTAGTTAAAGAATATAATTCTAAGTCAACTTCTAGATATTTCTAGAATTTATCTTTCTCCTACACTTTTAAAGTATTTACTCTACCGTTTTATTCCTTTTATGCACTCTCTTTAATCCAGCTATTTTGATTCAACATTATTTTATACTCTTGGTGAGCTCCTTAGTTACATCGTTCATTAAATAAATAATCAAGGTAACTTATATTTTCCTTTTCTTTAAACCAATAAATAAACTCAATAAATAAATAAAAAAATGTGTAGGAAATCTTTACATTGAAGAGAGGGAGTCAAATGATGATATTTTTGAGGTTAGAAAGAATATTTATAAGGGTTTAGTTACATTTGAAGCAAAAGAATTTTTCTCTGAAGCTTACTAAACCTTAATTTAACAACAATAAAATAATGAATAATATTGGTTTTCATAACTTCCTAATATTATTTCGTTCTACTAAGTCAGAAAGAAATGCTTATTCAAGATGCATAGAATGCTTTTAGGATTTTTAAATGAGAATATGCAGGTGCATATCGCTAAATCTTTGAAGGCTTCTATTATTGCTAATATTCTTCACTTGAACTTCAAAATAGATAAATCTATGATTGAATTCGTCCCTCTTGAAAACATTTGCCTTTGTTTGAAAAGTTGGATTGAGCTTTTGCAACTTTAGAAAGAATTTTGTTAAAGGTTTGGTAGTCCTGATTAAAATAAATTGCAAAATTATTACTACAGAAGCTTAAAATTCGGTTTATATCACTTTGCTAGAAATCTGAATTGGTACGCAGACAAATCTGGAGGCTAAAAAATAAACAAAATTAAAGATAAAATGAAACTGCTTTTAAATGTTTGCAAGTATTTCTAAACTGACAAACTAAACGAAATATTTGAGTAGCCTTCATTAAAAATAAAGAAAAAATCTAAAAAAAGATACAGAGCCGCTAAAATTAAAATAGGTAAAATATAACAAACCACATATGATAAATATTTACTTATTTTTTCATATCAAAAGATAAAGGTGAGATGGATCAAAACTTCTTTATTAAAATATCCTAAAAAAGTACTTGGTACAAAGTAATCTTAAATAAATTGTATTTTAGATTTAAAATTTAAAAATATTATAAAAAAAGAAAATTGAAACAACAATAGGCTATGCCAATAGCAGTATCTTTTCTCTTAACCTTTATTATGACAAAGACAAAGAAAAAGAAAAGGAAATCCGTCCTTTTTATTTGAGAAAGGCTTTAATTAACTTATTAAGTGATGAAATAGATAAACTGAGAGCTAATTCTTTCTCTGAGTTTATTGATAAATATAATGTTATTAAGAACCCTTATTCACTAGCTGGAAAACAAATATCTAAAGACGACATAGTAGGAATTATGAAAGAGTTAATGAAGAAATCTCCTTAATTAGTACTTTATATCTTGAGAAAGCTCTCATTTGCAATAGAAAAACCTTAAGTAAAATTTAAAAATCAAATTAATTTAATATTTCTAAAAAAATTATTTCAGCTAAATAGTAATCAAAAATTTTAATAAATTGACCATCAATTAATATTTCATTTAATTTAATAAACTTTAATAAAAGTGCTTCTTAAATTTGATAATTATTATAAATATCAAATTTCCATAAATTAAAAATGATTTTAACAATTAAATTTATTGTTCTTTTTCTGCTTCAATCTCACCAAACATAACTTAAATAAAGAAATTTTTTTACAATATAATTCATACATAGTAAAAAATTTTACTAAATATAAATAATATAATTTATTTTTTTATTTATTTACATATTTTATCATCAAAACGATTTAATTAAAGAATTTTTTAATGGTTTATCTTTTGATAATTTGAATGCAAATACATAATTATATACTTAATAGTTCTTACTTATTTACATAGATTACTTACTCATTAATTTTTTTTAGAATTATTTACTTTAGCTGGCAAAATTTGTGAGATAAAATTATAAAGACCACTTAAATAGTAGTCATTTCTTAGAGCTATTTATTGAGTATATGAATTCAGATAAGGAACTTATGAAGGAGAATTTATATTGGAGATAACCTCATATATAAATTATGTTAAAATATATTTCCGAAGGCTATGAATCTTTCCCAGGGTTATAGCTTTTCTTTACAAAAACTATGAAGAAATTATAATCTGAACAACTAATTTTTTATCTTCCATAAATATATATTTCTTTAGGTAGCAAAGCTGGACCTATTATTCGCTAGTTCTTAATTGATTACAGCTAATTTTCTGTTTTGTTTGCTCATCAACTGATTTGGATGGCTAAAGTAGAGTCCAAAAATGATGAAGACAAAAAGAAGAAAAAGAAAATCCCTGAAAACTTAAAAATTATTGAGTAGATTTCAAAAAATTTAATTGACAAAATTCAAAGAAATATGGATAAAAATCAGTAAGAATTTTGGTTTAAGGTAAATTCCTTTTTTGAGTAAGTAACATCCATATCAGGTATGCTAAGACCCCAAATGCCTAAACCTGAAAAAAGGGCAATCATCAAAGAATAATTGTCTCTTATTGAAGTAACACAAGATATCTACATGCCAACAAACCCTCGTTATTAAATTGCATCTATTAATTTAGATTCAGGTAAATAAAATTCTAAAAAATATATTAATTAAATCATTTTACTTTGAAATTCTAGGTGCTCCTATGCAGAGTGCTGCTAAGTGTCCTATTTTAGTAACTTTTAACTGTAGAAAGTATGAAGGTCCTGATAAATATTTTAAAACTAAAGTTCTTGAAAAGAAGCATATTTATAAAAAAGCTATGATACAAAAATTCAGGGTAAAATAACAAAATTCTATTCTAAAATTCATTTTATTTTAAAAATTTGGCAAAATAAACAAATATTTCTAGAAAATTTCCTAAGTCAATAAAAATTGTATCAAAAAACAATTCTTAATTTTCGCCAAATATATAAAAAATATTTTATAATTTTATAAAAGAAATAGTTATTTTTCTTAGTAAAAATTATAAATTTATATTTAAATATAATTAAAATAAATAATAAAATTAAATAGGAAGTAGGAGTTAATCCTCTTTTATTTTCAGAAAGAATTGTATTGACTTGTGAGAACGATGATCTTGATTTCGAATTTAAAGTTGATGAAGATGATCAGTAAGCCCAAGCAACAATAAATAACTTAAACTCTCCTTTGAGAATAAAACCTTTTCCTAAATCAATGAACGCAAGCCTTTTGAGCAGCCATGCAAACAACAATAACGGCATGCATATAGCAGATTTTATTACTGATATTCAAGATATTAAAGATCAAATTGAGGAACCTCCTGTTCCTCCTATTTTGAAGCAAGCTTCATCAAATTTATACAAAGAATAGAACAAGAAATTTTAAACTCAATTTAAATTTACCTTCCATAGAGATGAAGATAAGCTTGGTGTTTTGAGAGATAAGCCTGGAGAACAATATCTTCAATTAGATGTAGAGAAATAAGATGCAATAATAGAAGATGAAGAAGCTGTTAATGTTGTCTCTATCATGAAGCAGTCAACAGATTAAATTAACCGTCGTCCTCCTGAACAGGTTAGCTGTATTTTTAAGGTATTTGATGATGTTAGATAAGACTAACTAGCTTTATAGATTATAACATTATTCTAAGGTATATTCTAAAAGGCTAACCTAGAATTATACGTTTTCCCTTATAAAACTATCTCGAATAGAACTGGTAATAACTTGGACATTGGTGGTATCATAGAAGTAGTTAAAAATTCTATCTCTAGAGATTAGTTAGGTAAAACAAACCAGTGTTCTCTTTATGATTATTTCATTAACAAATTTGGACAGGAAGACTCAGCAAACTTTTAAGTTGCAAGAGAGAACTTTATTAAGAGCTAAGCAGCATACAGTGTTATATCATACATATTACAAATAAAGGATAGACACAACGGAAACATTTTAATAAATGACAAAGGTCATATTATTCACATCGATTTTGGTTTTATTTTTGATATTTCACCTGCCAACAACCTTCGTTTCGAAAGCGCTAATTTTAAATTAACTAAAGAGATGATCCAGATTATGGGTGGTTCTAAAGATAGTGAGGCTTTCTAATATTATGTAAATTTAACTATCAAAGGATTCTTGACAATGCGTAACTACTTCGAACATATTTACAATACTATAAGATTGATGGTAGCTAGTTCACTCCCTTGCTTCTTGAAAAACTCAATGAAAAATTTGGTAAGCAGGTTTGTTCTTGATAAAAATGACATTGAAGCAGCTAAATATATGAGAAACATAATATACGATGCTTATGATAAGTTTACAACAAGATGGTATGACGATATCCAATATTTATAAAATAAAATTTATAGGTGATTTCAATAAAATTAGATTAATTATTCATTCATTCATACTTCTTAAATCCTTGTAAAATGTTCTATTTTATTTGTATTATTTACTTATCATCCTTTTTAAAATATAAAATTTAAATCACTTTACAATATTTTAACAATTACTAATTATTTCTTAACATTTTTATTGACTTAATAAATAAATTTTTAATTTCATAAATCTAAAAAAAACAATATTAATATTATTTATTTATGAATATACTAATTTCATATTTTTTTTTACAAATATTTTAATCCAATAAAATTATAAATTTTTCAAAAACTTGAATAATAATTTATGAAGCCAACATGCTTAATAGGCTTAATCAGTCAGATACGATGTTTAATTAATTAATAAATTAAATTGATGAATAAATACTTTAATTAACAATTGCAATAATTTTGAAAATATTTTAATACACAAATAATTTTTTTATAATAATTATTTTACTTAAAAATAAATAATATAATAATGTTTTCATATTGTATTTTATTTGATTGAAAGAAATAAAATTGAAATGAATAAATAAATTAATCATATTTTAATTACAATTATTTTTGTTAAAAAGAATAAATACAGACAGTTTAATAAATAGAATATTTTAATATAAGTTATATCATTTATTTTTCTTGCCTTTTTTACCAAATTTCTTCATGAAATCTTTAAATAATATAATTTATTATTAATTTAAAACTAAATTCAAATTTTATTTTATTACCTTTTTTAAATTCTTAAAACTCTTCTTCATGATCATTTTCGAAATGATCACATGCATCTTCTTCAACCATGTCTTCATCACATAACTTACATTGAATCTTGTCTCCTTTTTTATTTAATTTTTTTATAAAAATCATTTTTTTAAATTTTAATTATTTTACCTTTAAGCATTTTAATATTTTAAGCAGTAAATTCATACATAGCCATCATTTCTGTGTTGCTTTAACCACCAAATTCTAATCCCATCATCATAGAAAAAGGATCCATCATTCCAAACTACATGAAATCGCTCATTTTTATTTCATCGGAAGAAGGCTTCACTTTCTTCTTTGGCTTTTTTTCCTATCCTTCCCCTTCTTTTTTCTCTTTTTATTCACCTTCTTTTTATTCACCTTCCTTTTACTCATCTTTTTTATCATCTTATTAGTCTTCATCTTCTTCATCACTGTAATCTTCATCTTCATCTTCTTCATCTGTCCATTCGTTTTCTTCATCATCTTTGTTCTTTTTCTTGTTAGATTCATCTTCAGAGTCAGTTTCCCACTCTTTTGATCAAAAAACTCCCATTTAAAAACATAATACTTAAAATTAAAAATACCTTCATCTTCAGGCTTTTTTTATTATTTTGTAGTAGCACCAGTATTAAATTTCTACATTTTAAAATATTATTGATGCTTTACTTAAACTTAATATTATTTGTTTATTTTACAATTGTAAAGAAATTAGAGAAAGGATCTTAATTGTTTTGTCTTCTTTTTCCATATTTCTTCTTTTGACCTCTACCACGATGTGTAAAGTTGTTAAATTCTGTGAAGAACATCTAAATTTATTTTAAAACACCTTAAACTTCTGAATATATGAAAATCTTTGATAAGCATTTAATTTTATATTTGAATTATCAATGTTGAATTTATAATTTTATACATCTCCCATCATTGCTGACATAAAGTGACCAAAATCATTTACTTCAAATTCCTACATAAACTAATCATAATCAAATCCTATTTCATCTTCATCAATAGTTCCATATTTGTCATAAGTAGCTCTTTTATCAGGATCACTTAAAACTATCAAAGAATTAAAATAAAAATTATAATTATATTAATATTGGCATTTTATCTAAAAAGCATTATGTAAAAATCAAAGGGCCTATTGCAAAGATTTACCTGTATATGCTTCAGAAATTTCTTAAAATTTCAGCTTAGCTTCTTCTGGTTTATCCCTGTTTTTATCTGGATGGTATTTCTTTTATAATTAAAATTATAAATTTAAGCTTAAATATGTGCAATTGATGTCAAACTAAATACTAATGCAAACTTTTTATAAGCTGCTTTGATTTCTTCATATGTACAGTCTTTGTTCAACTCTAAAACTTCATAAAAACACTACTTTTTTGTGGCCATTTTAAATTTATTTTAATATCTTGTATCACTAAATTGTATTTAATAGTTCTTAGCTGAAATATTTATTTTATCTTTTTAAAAAATTAGATTATTTTTGATTTTTTGGTAAATAATTAAATAGAATTAATTTTGATTAGTAAGCAAACAAAATCTTGGAGTTTAGCTACATTCACTATTTAGTTTAACTTTCTATTTTATTCTCTACTCAGCGATTTTAATTCAAACATTCTTTGTATTTATAACGTTAAATACATATTACATAAGATACCAAAATTTGTATATTTAAAATTTACAAAACAATATTAAAAACTAAATTTTGATAACTTGGCTATGAAGTCTATTATTATTAGATGTATTTAGTGGAAAATAAGCTCAAAAAATTTACACATAATCTAATACCTTTAATTTTAATTTATACTAAAAGATATTTATGATTGAATTTAATAATAATAAAATTTTGTAAAAGAATTTTAATTTATTATTTAATAAATTATTCATTTTTAAAATAAATTATGATATTTTTTTACTTTTTTTACAGATTAATATTAATAATTGTTTAAATTAAAAGTTTTGTTAACAAAATTATAATTTTTAACTTAAAGTTGAATTTAATGAATGAGTTAAGATTGTTAATAAATATTTATACTTATTTTAGTTTATTGCTAAAAGAATCATTCCATCATATCTATGAAAGAAATGGAACTCTTTATTAAATAATCCTTCTTATAAGCTTATAAACTACAATAGAAAAAATTAACTTTATTAGAAAATAATTTACAGACCCATCTCAATATTTAACTAATGAAGGCAAAATAAATTTTATAATTTAAAGATTATATTTTCATTAAAGCCTCTTCGAGTTTGGAAGGATTTTGTGAGAATTAATAAAAATTATACCATATATTCTTAAAGTTAAATCCTCAAAACATTTAATTATAAATAAAAAAAAAATTTTAATTTAAATATTTTTTATGATGTTAAATTAAATTTATTTTTTATTAAAATCTTTTAAAGACAATAGTTAATTATTTTATATTATTTAATTTAATTTAATATAATATAATATATTATATTATATAATAATAATCTCAAATTTCCATTCATCATTTAATTTTATATAAATAAAATTGTTTAAAATAGAATTAATGTAGCACAAATGCAAAAATAAGCAAGTAAATTTTTGTTTAGATAAATTTCATTAATAAAATGAATGTATTAATTAATTAATAATTGATTTATTTTCTAAAACATAATTAATTTTTTATTGATTATTATCATTTATTTATTATTATCAACAAAAGAAACTGAAACTTTAGTAAAAATTTAATATTTATAGGTAATAAATAATTTAGCTAAATGGATTCTTAAGTATCTGAAACACCTAGAAGTGGGCGTCATCCTGATGATACCCATTAAAAACCAGGAAATTAGGGAAATAATAAAAACGATTAGCCAATAAACAGGGGTTAAAGGTAAATTGATGATTTGATAATTGCATAATTAATTATATTCTAAAAATGATCAAACATGTTTATTAAAAGAATTGAGCATGTTCCAGGATCTGAAATTCAAATAAGTCCTAAATTTACAGCAGGTAAAGATCATGTTAAAGATTTTATTTCATCTTTAAATGTAAATATTGGATGGACGCTTTACTAATTTTTGAATTTCAAATAATAGGAGAACCAAATACGAAGATTTTTTCTGTGAAATTCAATTATGAAGACAAATATATAGCATGCGGTAATTCTTTTGAATATATTTTAGATTTAACAAGCTTATTTAAGCATAATAAAGCCTGCTCTTTTTACTATTATTTGAATTCTTATGTTTTTTAAATTATAGCCTGTGAAAATGGAACAATTAGAGTATATAACACAAGAAATGGCGCTTTAACCACAACATTTTCTTCATCTCGTCCTAACATTCCTTTCAGTTATGTTAGATGGAGACCTCCTGGTCATTCTTTTAAAACTAAGAATGTTTTTGTCACTTTAAATTCAGAAGGTGAAATATAGCACTTCCATTTAGCTTCTGGTAAGTATTTAAGAATACGCTTTAAAAATTAACAAAAAAGTTTCTTCATCAAAATATAACAATTTTTAGAGGATTATTAATATTTAATACCACAAAATAATTAATATCATTTAATCTTAATTTTCTAAAAATACATAATTAATAAATAAAAGGAAAATTGCTCTCAACTATTAAGCATGACTCTTTCGATCCCTAGCTTTTTTGCCTTGATTATAACTTAGATACAACTAAATTCTCAGTTTGTGGAAGTGAGCCAATAGTAAATAAATATCAATTTTAATTTATAAAGATAATTAATCTATGAATTTAGATTAAAGTATACGATGAAGAGACAAGAAAACTTGACGTTAAGTTAGGTGGTGAATAAACTTTCCCTCCTGGACACAGCTCTCGTGTTTATTGTGTTAAATATGATAAAGAAGATCCTAATGTAATTTATACTGGTGGTTGGGATTACAGAGTAATTATTTGGGATTTAAGAGAAAATAAACCAAAAAAGAATGGTAAATAGAATAATTCAATTAATGAAAAATCATGTTTTTTTATGAATGCTTAGGTATTTATGGTCCTTTAATTTGCGGTGATGGTATTGATTTATATGGCTAGTATATATTGACAAGTTCTTGGACTAACTCAAATCAATTATAAATTTGGGATAGACGTAATTATAAACTAGTTAGCGATATAGATTGGGATGGAACTCTTAAAACAACTTTTGATCCAGTCTTCCTTTATTCTGGTTAATTCTCTAAAGCTGATGGCACTTTGATATTAGCAGGAGGTTCAAATACAAACGAAGTTAAACTGTTTGATAGAGAAAATTAAAATAAGGCATTTTGTTGTATAACAGAATTATCAAGAGAAGTAAACACTGTTGATTTTGGTAATGAGGGAGAAATGTTTGCTTTCTCTGGTGGTGATGGTCTTCTTCGTGTTTTCCAAATGAATATAAAAGCTTGATTAAAAATTTAGTTATTATAAAATTAATAAAAGTTATCTAAATCGTCAATTTATCAATCAAAAAATTATTTTTAAATATTATTTTTATAAAAATATTTATTTTAAAAAATTATAAAAATAAATTTTTTCTAAAGAAAGAATTATTGAATTTTTTAAATTGATTTAAAATTTTATTTATCAAAATTATTAAAATTTAATTCAAAATGTAAACTTTTATTTAATTATTTATTCAAAAATCAAGCAAATTATTTTATTTTTTTATTTCATAAAGCAAAATTTAACTAGATGCTTATAGATTTGTAAAAAATTAATAAATAATAAAAAATAGTTTTTATAATTAATTTGCAACTAGGATTTGATACAACAAGATTGTTTTAAATTCTAACAATTTGTTTATTGCATTTAATTATTTAATTAATTAATTCAAATTTACTTAAAAAAAATATTTTTTTTTATAACTTTTTTTACGAGATAAATAATGTCTGATATATTCTGAAAAATTTCTTTGAAATTTTCTATATTCAGAACACAGAAAATAAGATTTATGAAAATTGATATCAATACTTTTGTTTGATACTGTTTTTAGGAATATTGAGAATAATCAATTAAATTATTTATTGATATATTTTAGTTTTTAATACAATTATTTATGAAAAATTTATAAACTATATTAATGGAGAGTAGAAAATATTAGTGACAGACATATAACGAAAAAATTACAATTATTTATTTAAAAGTATATAACAAAGTTTGGTTTTATTATTTATTCTTTCTTGACATTTAGTTTTTGAATTAGTTTTAATATTTTCCTTTTTAGAGGAGAGAAAATATAATATTATATTCAAAGTTTCACTCAAGCTCATCAAGATAATTAGTTTCAGGTTCAGCATTTTATTTTTGTTGTTCTTGATTTCTTTATTCAGAAATTTACATTTTTTAAAGGGGAATTTCTAACGATTGGTTAGAAGAAGGCTAATAGTTACTTTCAGATCTAGAATCGTTCATTTATTCTTCACTTTCAGATGGAAGAATTTTATCACGAATGTCATGCTAAACTGATGCATTGCTGCTTTAAGAATCTCTCCTTTTACTTGCAATACTAGATTAGTCAGTTGCTGTGTTATATGTTGGAAGACTTTCTGAATTTTGTTGAGTTGTTGAGGTGTTTAAAGATTTTCTTTCTTCCTCTGAAACATCTTCTAAATCTGGAGGATTGTCAACATTTCTTTCTTCCTATGAGTTAGAATTATCATCTTGCTAAGCTTAAGCATTGCGTTCTCTTTCTTCTCTAGCTTCTTATCTATAACGCTCAATCATTTCTCCAAAAGCTCTGTGATTTCTCAAATGCTCTTCTTCCTACTCTTGCTTATATTTCTTACGTTCTTCACGTTCAAGTTCCAAACCTCCTTTTGCAAATGCTTCTGCAAAACGACGTTCTTCTGGGAAAACTGGACGGTCATCAAGATACTTTAAATTAGGAAGCTTCACAATGAGAGTTTTACGATAATTTGATATTTTTTTGCAAACTTCATTATTTTAAAGATATAAAACACTTAAATTAGGCATTTTAACTAAGATTTCGTCAACTATTGCTTCGTCTGTCAAACGATTATCACTAACATCTAATACACTAATTGTGGGTACTTCAAGTAAGCCCTTAAGAGCGTCTACACTATCTCCATCCTGACCTAAAGAGTTACGCTTTATTTGTAAAGTTCCTAAATTTTTCAAGCAGCCAAGATTTTCAATCTTTTTAATGCAGTTATCTGATAAATTAAGATTAGCTATTTAAGTACAGTGATCAAGGTTTTCAATTTTCTTAATCAAATTTTCCTATAAATACAAACTACGTAAGTTGACTAGAGTATCAAGGCCTTCTATCTTAGTGAATCCATTACCTTCCAAATAAATAACCTTCAATCCAGTGAACTCTTCTAAATTTTCAATTTTTGGAAAACCCTTATAGTGCAAATACAATTAATCGTTCAAATAAGGAGTGGAGTAGTAAAAGCGGAAATCACTCTTCAAAAGTTTCTTTAAGAATTCTTTTGATAATCTTTTTTCACCGTTATTCTCAGTCATTTTATTTAAATGCTATATGTTACTAATATTTTTAATTTTTTTTCTGCTTGTTTGAAAATGCTTGCTTTGAGTTTTCTTTCTGCTTTAAAATTACAACTTATTTAATTAATTTTTGCAAATTTAATAACTTTTTAAAATTTTAATTTAATTCATTCATTTTTAAAATACGAGTTTGGGTTTGTTATCATTTATAAATTAAAAAACATTCAATCAAAGGATTTAAATATGATAACTTACTTATTTATGATTTGATATTATCCAAAGCATTAAATAAATAAAAATTGTATAATTCTAAAAAAAAAATAAATAAATAAATCAGATAATTAATTTAAATAGTTTCATCATAATAACACTTATTAGATAATTAAAATCAAATACTTTTCTTTAATATATTTTTTTTTAATTTTAATTTAAAATAATTAATTGAAGCCAAAAATTAAATAGTAATTAATTTATTTTATCAATTTAAATCTATAATTAGATATTAAATAGCATTTAAAATAAAATAAAAATATATATAAGTTAATTTCCTAAATAAAAATAATATAAATTAATCTTTTAATTGGATTGATATCTTATATATTTATGAACATAAAACCTAGTTGTTTCCTAATTTTTAATAATGATTTAGCTAATATCTTGAGAAGTCACTATTACACCTATTAGGAAGTTAAAAATTATTGGAAAGCAAATAAATAAAATTAGACAATAATTCATATATTTATTAAAATATAATTTTCTTCATAAAAACTTTTTAAATTATCAATATTTTTTATCAAAAATAATTAGTTTTGTATTTTTGCAAAGCATATCAAAATTTTTCATTTAAAAAAAGTTACTTTTAGTATATTTTATAACTAATTAAAAATCCATTAAATAAAAAACTTCAATGCTTTTTAAATTAATACTATATTTTTGTTCAGGTTAAGAATTTGGTTAGATTATAATGCCCAAAAAAATAATTTTATCTGATAAGAGATGTGTTAACTAATGTATTGTATATATATTTAAATAATGTAATTTTTTAATTCAAAACAAAAAAATTTTTTTTATTAGAAATAGTATTTTTAATATCATTTATTTAAATATTAATTATTTTTTTGTTTAAAAGGTAAATTAAAAATATATATTTTCAAGGAGAAAAAGGATTTTAATTAAAAAGGATTGTTTTAATTAAACATTTTTTTTTAATAATTAGAGTATCAATTTATTATTTTTTATAAGAATGTTCTAAGAAAATCAATTACTTGCTTAAATAAATAAAATTAAAATGAATTTATTTAAAATTAAAAACAAAAAAAAATAGTTAGTAATTTTTATAACTGCATTTAGAATATTAAATAAAATTATACATAATTAAACTGAGTAATCTTATTAAAACTAAAATTTAAGCTTGGTTTCAATCCAATTTTAGTAAGTTATTTAAATTAACTTCTATTCAAACAAAAAAAGATTTTATGTAACATGTAAATTTTGCTAGTGATTTATTTTTACATTACAAAAAATGAAGTGTGATTGATCATATTTCTTAAATGAATGGCTTAGGCAGATAAAAATTATAAAGTCAATTTATTTAGAATGTTTAAATATAATAATTATTACTGTTTAGATTAAATCTTGTCTATTATTAACAGTGCTTAATTTGATTGGCTTATAAAAAAATTAAAATTTAGATTAAATCAATTTTTATATAATAAGCTAAGCAGTGTTGATTTTTTATAAGCTAATTAGATCTTTATTCTCTTTAATTTATAATACTATTTTGGAAGATAAGAAGGATACAATGAGTTTGAATAACAGCGCTATACAGAATTCTAATGTAGAAAACTTGTAAAATAGCAATTCTCTTGATCAAAGTAAATAATTATGTGATAATTTAACTGAAGATCAGATTTAAAGATTAAATGGAGAGAAGCTTATAGAAGTAATTAATAATTCTACTTTTGAAATATTGCTAATTCAAATAACAAAATTCAAATAATTATATAACTAAAATAATGTTTTATAAAGGCAGGAATAGCAGTACTGAATAAAATTCCAACAAAAAGAGCCAAATCAGATATTGAAATTTTAATAAGGTTGCTCTTATTTTAAAAAGCACACAAAATTTATATTATATTTTAAATATGCAATAAATATAGATTGACTGAAGAAGTGCAATTTTTTAAAAATCACTTTGGTCAGAATCATCACTCAATGCTTCAAGAGTATTCAGAGCATTTTGGTTATCAAAAATGTAGCAGAGGAGATATAGTCTTTAAATAAGGTGAGTAATATTCTTCAAAATCTAAAAATATTTTCATAGCTAGCTCATATATTAGCATTTAAGAAGGAGAATGAATGAATATAATTTTTATATATTGTACAAAAATTATTTTAATTTTATAAATAATTTTCAAATTATTTCAAGATTTTACTATTTATAAAATTATTTTATATTAAAATTTTAATTCGTTTCATTTAAAATTAAATACAAAAGGTGATTAAGGTGATAAATTCTACTTAATATTAAGAGGATAAGTTAAAGTCCTTGTTTCTGTAAAAAGGTAGTTGTAATAGAATCCTTAAGAAAAAGCAGATAAAAATAAAAAGGTAAAAAATGAAAAAGAAGAATAGCTCGAAATTAAAGTTCTTAAATCCGGAGAAACTTTTGGAGAGCTTGCAATTATTGATTCGAAACCAAGAGGAGCTACAATTGTTTGTATGGAAGATTGCGATTTTATTGTATTTGAAAAGATTTCTTTCATTAAAATTTTAAGTAAATTTTATAAAATTAATTTTAAAGATTTTATTGATAATCACTTTTACAATTAATAAATAGAGGATTAAGAAACTGAAAAATTAAGAAATGAAATTAATTAACTAACTAAGATTTATCTCTTTAAAGATTTTTCCTTAAATCTTTTGAAAAATTTATATCTCCTGTTCTCAGTAAATAGCTATCAAAGAGGTGATGTAATATACAGAGAAGGGGATGAATCTGATAAATTATACATCATAAGGGAAGGTGAATTCAAAGTAAATAAATAAATTTTTTCTTTTTTTTTTTATTTGTTGTTTTTAGTATTAGTTGTAGTAATATAGAATTAATTAATTTCTCATCAATATTTTTAAAGTAATAATCTAAATAATATTATAAGTTAAATCTACCAAGCATAAAATTAAAGATTTTCTCAAAATTTTTATACTAAAATAGCTAAAATATTGAGGTAAAATTAAAGTAAAACGGTTATTTGAAAAATTAAAGAATTAATAATAATTTAGCAACTTGTCATAATATGTGAAAGAATACTTACCTGTTCAAAAATTTATTAGAATTATAAAAAATAAATAATAAAATAGAAAAATAAATACAAAACAAATGTTTTACAAAGTTAATATTTGATAAATTTTAATCATTTATTTTTTAAATTAAAAGAAATTTAAATTTAATAATTTAATTAACAAAAATATTTTTTAAAAATAATAGGTTTCTAAAAAATTTGAATACAATCTAGATGAAGCGAAAATCAATAAGCTGAATAACAATGAAAAAATGAGTAAAGTTAAGATTTTAGATGTAAAATTTTATTTATCATTTTAGGATTTTAATTTATTTTTAAATAAAATAACTTAGATTGGACTAATTGGAAAGTTTTAGTCTCTAGGTGAAGAAGAGTTTTTTGTAGGAATTTAGAGAGAGGTAACAGTAACTTGTGTTTCGAAAGATGCTGTGATTATGGCTATTAATAAAAAGGACTTACTCAAAAAGATGAGTTATGACTAAAATAGTGTTCGTCTTATGCAGAGCAGAGCTAAGGACAAATTTGATTTTAGATAATCTAAGCTAAAACAGTTATAAGAAAAGTTCTAGGAAGATGAAGAGTCTGTTGTGCTTAAGAACTATAAAAGGAATATTTTGAAAATCAGTAAAAAGATAGAAGAAGTCATAGATTCTAATGATATAAATTAGTTTAGCATTAATAGCTAATTTTGTGTTGAAAAGACTACTTTGTCTAAGAAATAGCAACAAGAAAATTTTGTAATCCCAGATTAAAACACTATTCGATCAAACGATTAAAGCTTTGAATCACAAGAAGCTGATGTTAACTAGAATAATATCAGTAAAATAGGAACTCCGAGATCTTAAAGGTAAGGAAATTACACACCTGGAAGAGATTCGCTGTTTAAACTAAATTCTCCTAAATAGAATTAAACTCTGAATAATAGCTAATTGTTTCGCTAAAACAGCTTGAATAGCAGTCATATTAAAAGTCATGATAACTCTGCCTTTTTATATAAAAATTCTCCTAAACAATCAGAAAGTAATTAAGACGCTTAATTTGCTAATTTTTCTCAGTTCCTATAAAACATGGATGATAGCTCTTCCTCTAAATAATTTAATTATCCTGTGCCAAATTTGTTGCAAAATTTGCAAAGATCTCAATAAAAAAACTCAATATTTTTCAAATAAGGAGGTAACAAATAAAAACCTAAAAAGAAAATTTTGTTGAGGATCAATGAAAAACTAAAGGATTGTACATTAGATGACATTAAAAAGTAGTAATAAACTAGTTTTAATCAAGAAAACACAGTAAATTAGCTGATTAATTTTAATGTCCAAAAAATGGCTGAAGAAAATAGAATTCAAATAAGTTCTTCTGAGATTTAGACAAGCAGAAGTAGTAGTTCAAATTCTGAATAAGTTTCTGAACAAAAGCAGAGTATTAAGTCAATTTAAAAAAATAACAACATAAATTCTGAATTAGATGGATTTAACTTTTTAGGAATATAGAACTTAAAGCACTCTTAATCAACGAGGAATCACAATTCTAAATAAATAAATTTCCCTGGTTAAGAAAGCAAAGTTAATAATAACTGCTTTGCAGTTAAATCTTAGGGCAATATTTTAAATTATAGTATGACGTAAAGTTAGTAATCTGCTTTGAATAATTTTCAATAATAATAAGAAATAGATCAGAGTTACGATTAAAATTTAGATTAACAAGATGTAAGTCGTAAGATATCAATATGCAATAATGACTCAAAAGCATCGAAAAATGATTCATATTTATCAGACGAAAACAGCAAAACTCCTTCAAAGATAGTTGTTTCATAAAATCTTAAGATTCAAAATTAAAAAAAAGTAAATAACAGCAATAATATAATTATTTATCAAGAGAAGACTAGAAACTCAATATTGACTGATAAATGTAGAGATTTTCTAAACATGGATAATAAAATTATTTAAGATAAAGCTAAGGCAAAATCAGTTATGAAAAATCCATTTCTCTACATAGATGAATTTCCATTGCCTAAAAATGTCTCAACAAATTTAGAGGACTAAGATGTTGATCGCTTGATATAAGAAAAAATTATTAATTAAGTAGTTAAAGGAAATAATGCAAAAAGAAATAGTTTCTTTATGCAGCCTTTGCTTTAATAGTAAATCTAATAAAAGGCGTTTCATATAAATGATGAAAAAAAAATCAACGAGTATGAGGAATTTTAATATACACCATCCAATTAGTAAGCAAGCTAAAGATTATTCAAAAACCAAGAAGAAAGTTTTCAAGCATTCTATAATTAATCAAAAGAGATCCCTGCTTAAGACAATCCTCCTGACCAGAAAAAAAACTAAACTCCTTTAGAAACAAATAGAAGTTTATAGTTATTAGCTTAAACATAACAATCTCCTTCATCAAAATTAAGATCAAACAAATATTCATACTCTATTAGACCATTAGTATTCTAAACTAATATATTTCATTAAGATACATCTGAATTAATTAGACCTTTATCATCTTAGATTGGAAGTTCTAAGAACAAAACCTCACATAAAAAAGCCAATACATAATTAGATTAATCATTGACTAAAAGCAATACAGCTCGTCCGTTATCATCTGTTGTATAATCTTCTAATGATAAAATAGTTAGTAGAAAACATAAAAACTCTATCAGCGGATAATTAAAAACAATAAATTTCGATGACCTTTCTTAATCTCCCATTTTAAATCATTTTAGACAACTTTCTTCTGGTAGAACGTTTGTGTTAGAAAAACAAAACTCATAACAGCCCTTTAAATAAGAATTAAATTAAAAAATAGAGGAATTAATTGAAAAAAAAAAATAAGTACAAAACTAGCAGGCATAAACAAACTTTGTGTAAGTTTAAATTTAAAGACCAAAAACCTCTTAAACAGTATTTAAACATGACTTTAAAGCAATACCCTGTTAATAAGTAAACAACTAAGTTTACCACGTTTATAATTGCAAAGGAAAAAATGATGGAAAATGTTTATGCAAAAGCAATCACCTTAATTTACTTCCATTAAAATTTAGAACAGATTTAATCATGCAAAATCAAAAAGCAATAAAAAAAAATTGTTTCTCTGTTAGAATGTAAGGGAAAATATACTAAAATGCTGTTTGAAAAAAACAAAGAATTTCATAATTTATCTGATAATAAATTAATAAATATTAAAAATTTATAAGAAAATATTAATTTTTGCACAAATAAGTTTATCAATTTTATCTTTTGAAAATTCTTTTTTACTAATACAACCAAAAAACTTAAATGATTAAAATTAAATTTTCTATAAAAAATGTTTTCAACTTTATATTTTACTTAGATTAAATTAATTTTAATAAAAATAAATAAAATTAATATTATTAAAAATTTTTTAAATTCAAACTTTAATTTAAAACATGTTTTAATATTTAAAAAATATGAAGTTATTAGTAAAATTTATTAAGAAAATAATATTTAAAACTTTTTATTAATAAAATCTAATATCAAATATTAAATTAAAATGATTTCGAACAAAAATATATATTTTATAAAAAATTTTCATAAAGTTATTTTTAAGCAATTTATTAATAGATTGCTATTTAAACTATTTCAGGAGCTTACTTCTTTTTGATGACGATCACAGAAATCTCTAATTCTAGGAAGTAGCTTTTCATATATTTCTTAAGTGGCACATGTCATCATTCTAAATCCATGAATGTTTCCATTAAAAGCACTTAAATTAAGAATCCAAACATTCTCTTCTGTAAGTAAAGCTTGAAGAAAGTCTAGGTCTTTTTAAAAGCCTTTGAATTATTCTAGATTTATGATTACTGCTATGTAAAAAGTTCCTTATGCTTTTATTGGTGTCAACCCTGGTATGTTAGCAAATTCTTTGTATAAATAATTATAATTATCTTCAAACAGTCCCATAAAATTTTTAGTATAATTGGGAGTTAGTGTGTCCAAAAGTTTGGGTAATGCACTTTGCATGAATGAGCAAGGACCTTCAAAGTAGTCTGTTAATGGCACAGCAGCATTTCTTATTAATCTCAACCTATCTGCCTTATCAAAGAAGATCATCCAAGAAATACTCCAGCCAGGAACTAAGAATGTTTTTTCTACTCCTCCTAACACAATTACAGGAACTTACTCTGTGGCCATATGCCCAAAAGAAATGAATTCGTAATTAAGGAAAGACTCATTCCAATAAACTTCATCACTAATGATAAAAATCTTATTTTTTTGACAAAATTCAAATATTTTTTCCATATGATCTCTTGAAAAAATGGACCCACAAGGATTAGATGGATTTACAATCCATAAGAAACGTGTTTTTCCATCTACTAATGTTTGCAAATATTCTAAATCTATTTCAAAGCTTTTTTCTGATATCAGCTTGTAAGGTCTTATCTCTACTCCCATTGACTAATTATTTTAAAATATTTGCATAGTAAATACTTGATATATAGTTTTTTAATTATTAAAATTTATTTACAGGAGCAGTCAAATGATAAAATGGATAACCAGGCTCTGGAACTAGAATATTTTCACCAGGATTGGTGATAGAGTAAAGAACATTTAGCAAACCCATGTTAGCTCCATGAGTTAAGATCACGTTACTTGCAGATAATTGCATGTTAGGTCCTTAAAAATGCTTAGCAACTGCACATCTAGCTTCAAAAGTACCTTCAGATTGACTAGGTAAGGAATGATTATTAGGATTCATAATTGCCTACTTAATAATTTCATAGCCCTAATTTGACATCTTAAGATCAACATGCCCATAGTAAGTAGGATCTCCACTTAAAAAATATAATTTTTCTTTCTAATGTTACTTAGGAACAACAAATTTTGTAATTAAGTCTTAAAAAAGACCTGAATTGAGAGAAAAAGAAGAAGCTTTTATCATTTTATTATTATCAATCAATCAAATATCTATTGAAATAATTATTGTGAAATTTCTTAATTATTATTACGTTTTTAGTATTATGAATATTCTGATGATTGATTTATTTATTTGATTTGTTAGATTTTTTCTGAATTAAAGAAACCTTATTTATAACAATACTTTAATATTTTCAAATCAATTTTTGTTAGCAAACTAGCAAATTAATTTACTTCAAATAAGGAAGTAAGCATATCTTTTAAACTTGTTATTATTAATTCCTTCCTTTTCATTTTGTTTTATTATAATATAATTTGTAAGATTCCTTCTTTGAATTACTCTGTTGCAACATTAAATATTTTAGATGTGCTTTCTATAATAATAATTAAGCATTTATATCTCTTGTTTATTTATAATGACGCATAAAAAGGTGTAAGTAAGTAAGCAAAGCAGATATTTTAAATTAAAATATAAAATATGTTTAATTAAATTATTTTTTAAATAATTAATTGAATTATTAAATTTTAATATCTCAAAAAGTAATTAATTTTTCATCATTTAAATAAACTATTTCATAAAATAAAATTAAAATGTATAAATATTTCTTATTAGAGTTATTTCTTTCTTAATTTTTCAAATAATAAAAAAAATGATGAATTTTATTAATTTAAATAACTATATTGCCTTTCATAATAGCTCCTCTTTGATAACAATAATTTTTTTAAAAAAATATTAATAAAGAATTTATAAACTTTTAACAAAAAAATCAATCAATAAAATAATCAATAATGGTAATTAAAGTATATTTTTAATTTTAAACATATTTATAAGTAAGAAATTGAAAGGTTATTTATCATTTTTCGTTATAATTAATCAAATTATTTCATTGGTAACAGATTTACTAAAATAATTTTCTTACAAATTTTTTCAAGTAAAGCATAAAAAAAATATGGATTTAAGTGAAAGTTCTTATTGCTTTTCTTTTTAATTGATTAAGATAGATTAATAGAAATTTTGTTCTAAATTAATATTAAAAGCTAGTATTAGATAGAGTAGTTTGATTAATATCAAAATCTTTATATTCACAATTATAAAAAAAAAAGAAAATTACTTCAAAATTTATGTAAGGATATTAAATAACTTTTTATAAAAATTTTTAGTAAAAAAATAATAAAAGATATTCTTCTAAAATTTAAATTATACATAAATTTAACGAATTAAATTGTTTATTTTCTTATTGCTTTTCTTTTTAATTAATTAAGATAGAACAATAGAAACTTTGTCCTAAATTAATATTACAAACAAGTATTACATTCACAAAGATAGACAAATTTGATTAATATCAAAATCTTTATTTTCACAATTATAAAAAAAAATAAATAAAAAAAATTACTTCAATGATTTTGTATGAATATTAAATAACCTTTTATAATTTTTAGTAAAAAAATATCAAATTAATTCTTCTAAAATTTAAATTATTCATCAAGTTAACGAATTAAATTGTTTTTATTAGAAAAACTTTTCAAAAGATAAACAAAAGTTAGTGTATTAGCTTTTATTAGATTTTGATTGTTCAGAGTTTAGATTAATAATACATAGATTTATTATTTTTATTAAAAAATTAATGCATGTATATTGAAGAAATAGTGTATTATAGATAAACAGATTGTTAATATTTTCAGCGTTTAATAAATTATAATTTTTAGCCAATAATTATAATATTGCTAGGATATTTATTAGGTTTGTTAATTAATAGAGTTGGATAAATACAGTTTAGAAAAACAAATTATAGAGACTCTAAATTAAAGATCAAAGCCCATTTAGCTAAATATGTATAACATCCCTGGGCGAGTATAAAAGTCTATTTTTTTAGAAGAAATTGACGAATCAGTAGAAAATGATTAATTTGGATGTAGAATAGCATAAACTGCAGACAGTGATTATTCTAAATTTATAATAGATGGCAAACAATTTTCATTCAAAGGAGAAGCTTACTTTAAGTTATTAATTTAAAACTCTACTGGTAGGGAGATAGTAAAAGCAGCGTTTTCAGTGGAATAATTTGCAGTCTTTTTAGGGTTTTTAAAGGCGATGGCTAAATAAAAGAGCCAGGTTTCTAAAGAGTTTTTGGAAATTCCTTAATCAGTATTTAACATTGAAAATGTTTAAAAGGTGTTTAAGATTATATAGGAAACAAAAATTCATCAATAGATGGATTTTTTACAGAAATTTTTAATTAAATGGAAGAAAGAATACTAAGATTATTATATTAAAGTCACGAACAACTAAAAAAGTGTAACTATTACTACAGTAAAGGATAAAATGGAGAATATTGAATAAAAAATCAAAAAATTGCCTCGTAATGAAAACAATATTCACCAAATATATATTGGCTTAGAAAAAAATAAAGACTTTTTAGAGAATGAGAACAATTAAACAAAGATAAGAAACATTATTTAAAATCAATTTCGCTACTAACTTAAGGAACTAATTGGTAAAGGAGGTAATAATATAATATTCCATATTTCTTTTAATAAGTTTTTGATGAATAAATGCAATAGTTTTTTTTTCAGATTTCTCATTGCTTGAATCAATTTTTGAATAAAGCTCGTTTAATTTTGAAATAGATATATTAAATAGAATGTAAAGAAAATATGAGATATTTGATAAATAAATACTGGTTACGATTAAAAAAAACAAGCAAACAAATAATAGAAAAATATAAATTTAGCAAAGTAAAAATAAAATAATAAAATTATTCTTATACAATTGATTTTGATTGAAAGTAGTGGAGATAATATTAGATGTATTTTAAGCTTTTTCAATCATATATAATCTATCTTTTCGTTAAGATATTTCTAACCTAAAATAATTTTGAAATTTAATATAAAAATTGGTTAAACTAAGCTAATTTATTGTTTATTCAGAAATTATATTGCCAATAAAACAAATAATTATAAAATAAATTAAATGTAGAAAAGAAAAATATTATATTTACTCTACTTTCAGTGAATTATTTAATTATAATTTGTAAAATATTAAAATTTGTTAAATTTTCATAAATATTAGCATATGGATTGGTGTATGCAATTGACTTGGACCATAATTAGAACTAGGCAATAAAAATTCAAATAAACTAAAGTAGTAATGCAGCTGAATTTAAGAAATGTGAAGAGCTTTAAAACTATGCTCTATAGTCTTTGGATGGTGATATTTTGCATTTCTTCAAATGCTTCCAAATATAAGACAGCTATTCAAAAGAAGTAAGAATATTTATTATATGTTTAAATATATAAAACTACACGTAATAAATTTAGAGGCTTACCTTAAAATATTATAGCTTAAAAAGAATAAATTAATTTTGATTTTATCAGAAAATAGTAAAAACAAAAAAAAGCACAGTTTATTTTGTCTAGAAGTTTTTATGGGTATAGGGATTACAGACATAGTTTTGTGATTAATTTACATTTCTAATAAATTAAATAGATTTTTATTAATCTTACTGTTCTTTTCTAATATAAACTGTTGAAGGATTTAAAATAACATTTTTAATTTTAAAATTCTTAATAATAAAATTTTTTTACAAAAATTGATTACTAATTTTTAATTTTTTAATAAAAATATATTATTTAGATATTAGATTTCTTTATCATGGAAAGGGGTGAAAAGAATCTAAAATAATTGACTCAATAAGCTAATATAAAAAATAACATGAATGGATAGAATGAATTTCATCATTACTGGAATAAGTAAGAAATAAGAAATTTATTTATGGGAATCATGAGAAATGTGTCGTTCCTGCACTCATATAACTATTACCACCGAGACATTAAGTATGACAATATAATTAAAAAAAGATAAACGTACTATTTGATTGACTTTAATGTTTCTGAAAAAATTGAATAAGTTCTTCCTCTTGCAGTCAAGCTAGAAAAAGCTAAAGGTAGTTAGTTAGCATGCACATTTCTTTAACAAATTAAACAATCAACAATAGAATTTATGCTTTATATTAAAAATCTAAATTATTAAATTTTACAGTTTATAATTGATAATTTTAAAATTCATCTAGACTTTGAATTGGATTATTTTTTTAATTAATAGAACAATTTTACTATATATTTTAATAGATAAGGCTACTTTGCGTAAATAAGATGTTCTTTCAGGTACACCGGGTTACCTAACTCCTCAATGGGATATGAAATACCAAGAAATTAAAGCTCAAAAGAAAGATCCAAATAAAAAATTTAATAAAAATGAATGGATGGGCATCCATGATCCTTTTAAAGTAAATTATCAAAACTCATTAAGGAACTAGAATAATTTAATTATGATTAATTTGAAAAAAAGAGCGATATCTACAGTATGGGAGTTGTTTTCCTTTAATTTTTAAATAATGTTAAAGTTGCTTAGTATGATGGCTTTGAGAAATTCAATCCTTCAAAAGACCAAAAACTTGCATATCCTTTAGCAAGTTAAGTAAGTAATATACTCTTGTAAAAGGAAGATATAAAAGTCAATTAATATTTTACATAAACTCACTAATTTCTTATGAACGACTAAATTTATGAAGTTGAAAACCTACTTGTAGCTATGCTTGAATCTAAAGAAACAGACAGAATATCAACTCTTAAACTTTCTTTAATTTGTTAACTTTACTTTATTGTGATTAACAACTTTATCAACCTCTATTCTGAATATTTTCCTCCAGAAGAATATCCTAAAATTAGTGAGTCTCTTATCAAACCTGGCGCAGTGATTGAGTAAAAAGATAGAGAACTAAAGACTATTAGTAATATTTATTTAGTAAGAAATACTTTTTATATTTTTTTTAAAGTATATAAGTTTAAAAACTAAGAATATAAAGGCCACTATCTCTGCAAAGTAAATGAAAAAAATTAAAAAGAATTTATCCGCCAAGGTTATGGAGAACTTTATGAAGTAGATCCAAGCAACCCAAATTTAAAGCAGCTCATCTACAATGGTACTTGGGATAAAGATCTTCCTCATGGCGAAGGAAAATATAACTTCTTTTAAGGAAATTACTCTTATATAGGGGAGTTTTATTATGGTGTTTTTTATGGATAAGGTAAAAAATGAATTTTTTAACAATAATTTATTGAATATTAAAATATTTTTTTATAAAAAGGTACAATTTACTATAATAATCCTGTAGGCGATGCTGTTTTAATGAAAGATGCTATTAAAAATAGCACTTTAAACAATTCTCAATATTTGAATAATAACCTTATTAATAACATTTAAAACAATAATTAGGGTTAAAATAATAACGCAAGTAGTCATCAAAGCCAAAATACTTTAGGTTTATCAGCAGTTATGGTAAAGTCGCTATTTAATTATGGAGTAAACAATAAATTACATTAATAATAACAATAAACATTCTCTCCTTATGTTATTTACTCTGGGATTTTCTACAATTTTATTCTTAAAGACTGGCTTGTTGCATCAGGAAACATCCAAGAAGAAAACTGTAAATATTAAATAAGACTAAACGCAAACAGAAACGAGCAACCCATCTACGTTACAATCCTAAATTAAGGAAAAATGAGAATTATCGAAATGACAATTAAATCTTTTAAAGAATATGGATAGTACATCTTCATTTTTCAAAACTAAAAATTTGATTAATATGAATTAAACCTAATTTAAGATGATTGTGCAAACTCATACTCAGAAGGTCTAATCTATGGAACCTTTAACAATGTCAATATATTTTTTGAGAATATCAAGAACAAGCCATCATTTACAATTAAAGAGTATTTATTTTTCTTATAAAAAAATTTTTAAATCCTAAAAGATTTTTAATTCTTTTAATTGTTCTCCTCTTTAATATTTTTAACATTCAATTGATAAACATTTAAATAAAGAAAATTTCAATATAAAATTAATTTAATATTTTTAAATTATTATTATAGTTACATAGAGTTGATAAAATTTGTAAAAAGAGTCGACCAAATTAATTTTGACTTTGTGAAAAGAGAAGAATAAGACAACGTAAATTTTATAAGTGAATTGTTAAAAGATGAGATAGTAAAACAAGCTATTAGAGAATGCAAAGTAATGAAAAGAGTTAAATAAATAGAACTTTAAAATGTAAAAGAAATCATAAAAGAATTTCCCTTTTTGCAAGAATTAGATTTAAGCGGATTTGAAGATGGGCAAATTGTTGAAGTTGGTCACGCTATACAATAATCGCAATAATAAAATAGGAATGTTAACGTAAATTCCCTTGTAATTAACGATTATCAACCAGATAACTTATAATCCTTATTTGATTCTGATTACTTCGGATGCATTACTTAGCTTGACTTTAGCAACAGTCCTCTACTTAGTCATTAATGCTTAATTAAACTATTTAAACTAAAAGGAACAAGGAATTTAAAAAAATTAAATATTGAATACTGTAGTTAGATAAAAGATAAATTTTTTGAAGAGTGGAATGCACTTAACAAAATGAAAAATTCAAGCTAAAAAGGATCTTTTGATAGTAAAATCTCATCCTATGGTTATTTAAATTCAGCAAATTAATGTTAAAATCTTGAAAGCTTAAATATAAGTGGATTAAAACTCGATAATCCATAAACATTATAAAACTTTTTATTAAAGTGTGCTCATTTGTAAAGTTTATAAGAGTTAATTATGTCTGATGTAGATTGTCTTAGTGATATTTTGCTAAAAGCGGCCTTTAAAAACAGTAAAATTTTCAATAAAAATTTGCAAAGAGTGTCTATTTAATTTAACCGACAATTCAACAAGTTTAACTAAGAATTAAGTTATAAAGCTTTTAAATATCTTTCTTCTCCAAAACTAGAAAAAATTCAATATATAAATTTGTCAGATTGTGACTTATTCAACAAAGAAAAGTATAATCCTTCATACTTCAGAAAGCTTAAAATTCCTAAAAATATTAATTTTCTCGATCTAAGTAACTGTGGTGAAATGAATCAAGTCTGTTTGGATTTTTTGGCAGGCCTTCAAAACAACAACTATATTATAGACCAGTATAAGTTTTCCTTAGATTAAATTAATAGTAGTTTTTGCACTTACTTCCAAAGAAAATAAATAATATGTAATTAATTTATCTACTTTAACAAAATATTTTTATATTAAAATCAATTCGAAAAATTATTTTTCATTTATAAAGATTAAGAAACAATTTTAAATTTGATTGAGTAATTTTTTCTTAACTATCAATTTATAATTTATTATGTAAAGTTGATAGGAAAAAATTAATCTAAAATTTAAAAAATCATTTATATTAAAAATAAAACAATTTACAAATATTTTATTTTCATAAAAAATAATTAATAAAAAATTTAATAGAATGAGTGATCATAAATATTATTTTTATTGATTTTATTAATTATATTAATTAAATAAATACATGACTCATCATTCCTCATGCACATACACTTAATCATTTTTAAAATCCACTCTCTTATTAGAATTAAATATTATTCATAGAAAATTTTGCAAAATAAATTAAAATTTTTTTTAATTATTAGAATACCTAAATTCTATTGTAATTTATTATGATCCTTCACAGAAATATAATAATCTTGAGAAAGATTTCTTCTTGACTCTTCTCAATTAAGGGAAGAAAATATTTTTTGAAACAGAGATGATAGATCGTATAGAATAAGAATTGTTGACTATTTTAGAATAATTCTAAGGTAGTGAAAATAATAATAGTTAAATATACATCAATGATCAACTAATACCAATACAAAAGTATAGAATAAAGAACTCAAAAATATTTAACGAAATATAATTATTAGGTAAAATAATTTAAAATTTTCTTATTATATAATGTAATTAAACTTATTAGATATACCACTCAAGATCGAAGTTAAAGGAAGCATTTCTAAGCTTATTCGTCATGAAAAGTTTTAAGAGAAGACAGAATTAAATCTCTCACATATGGTAAATGTAGGAACTGAAATAATAGATAGCTTGGTGATTTCTGATTATTGTAGTAATTTGAGGATAGTTGATCTATCAAATTCTATTATTACTGATTAAGATATTTCTTTATTTTGTAACAATGGCTAATTTTAAATTTAAAATCTTATCTTTGATAACTGCTTTTACATTACTGAGAAGGGAATAAATTAAATTCTTACTGCAAAAAATAATTTATCATTATTGACTCTTCAGATGAAAGGAGTTTACAGAAATTTAGGATCTATTTAACTCTATGATGTCAATGAAAGAAAAATTTAACTGATTCTTGATAGAGTTTAAATCACATATTCTAAAAGCTAGAGTGAAGCTTTTAAGTATTGCGAAGTTATTTAAAATTACTTAAAAACTCATAGCAAATACTTTGAGAAGATGAGAATTCAAGTCCTTCATCACAAAATATTAAAAATTTTTAATTCAGTTTAGATAAATTATCCAAATGTGAACACTTTACAAATTAATTTCTTAAGTGAGCCTATTGCTTCTTGTAAATTGGAGCAAAAGCAAAAATCAGTTGACCTAATTATTTAATTAATTTCTAAACTTATCAGAATACACCATTTAGTTCTTACCTTCGATCAAGAATTTGTTACTTTTCTAATTGGGTAGCAGTAAATCAACTTTTTATTATTAAAAATTCTAAAGCAAAAATATCTTTGTTAAATATTTTTCAAATAAATATACAATTAAAAAAAATAGAACAAAAAGTGATATGATTAACAGATAGTAGACATGGGTGCAAAGACTCAGCTAAGAAATTGAGAGATTATCTTGCATACGAAGTATTCATCTAAAATAAGAGTGGACTTAAAACTGCACAAATTAAATTCTTTCTGAAGATTAAATTGAAAATTTCTATTTATTCTTATTCTAATCTATGAAAGAGTTCAAAACAACTAAACTAAGCTTCAAGCTAAACATGTAAATTAAACTAAATCTATTATTAAAATATCTTAAATTCTAAAAAAAATTAAAATTTTTTAATTTATTCTTAAATTATATTTAACTTCAACATTAATTTTTATATTAAAATCAGGTCTTAGTATATGTGGAATTTATTAAAAAAGTAGAAATTAACTGATTAATGTGTTTAGAAAGTATGTAACTCTCTGGATAAATTTAAGAATTTGGAATGCTTAACCTTACATTTAGCAGCGTATTCAATTTAAATATAAACTTACAATCAATGTTTTATAATAAAATTTATTTTTAAATATTTATTAGATGGGGACACTAAAATAATAATATCACTAATGCTTCAATTTATAACATAGTTTCGCTTATTAAATCTAGATAAAATTTCAAAAAAATCAACTTAAATTTAGCTTAGTAAATTTACTTATTTTAAAAAGAATAAATTTCAATAATTTTTGTGAAATTAATTAGCTGGGCCTCTAAAAACTTAAACATTGATATAAAATATCTGCAAGTCCTGTTTATTGCTATATAGTTGCAAAAAAATTTAACTAATCTTTAACTTAATCTAGCAGGGTAAACAGCTATTTATTTATTTAAATTGAGTTACAATTTTTGTTTAATCAAATATATTAAAATAAAAGATGGGGCTAAAATATTAAAGTGAACAACAATACAGTCAAAGAAATATTTTCTAATATAACTACACTCTCTGCTATAACATCTTTTAACTTAAATGCCTCTGACTGGAGTGATTTAAGCTACCTTAGCCAAATAGAAATATTAGATTTTACTGAAAGAAGCTTTTAAAACTTGTCTGACTTAAGCTTAAATCTTTCAAAGTATGATATTCATTTTTCTTCAAATTTTTAATGAATTAATTAATTAATTTTTTGATAGTTGGAGCTCTACAGAAATATGTATCAACAGTAATGTCATTGAAAAAATATGCTAACTTTTGAAGAACAAAAAAGAGTTGAGATCACTCTCTTTAGATTTGTCTGCCTCTATGTAAATATTCTAATAAACTAAAAATTAAATAATCATGAATTATTTAATATATAGATATGGAAACAATACTCAAATAAATGCAACTGATTTAAAGCTATTCGCAGATTGTATTGAATAATTAATTCTTTTAGATAACCTTGAGTTGATATTGAATGGGTATTTAACAAATAAATTATTTATATTTTAGTAAAAAATTTTTATCAATTATTAAAGTTGGTCTGATGAAATAAATATATCAGCAGTTACACAATTAACGCAAGCAATTACTTCGCTGAGTAGTTTAAGAAAGATCCACCTTTCTTTATAAAAGTATTAACACAAGCTAACAAAAACCTGATGTTATTTTTTTATTTTGGTATTATATCAATAGTTGGCCATAATTTAATGAAGGAATCAGTAAAGGGTTGCAGAGCATTGAAGGTTTCAACTAATAGGGCTAACAGCTAACCTAGAGATTAAAAGAAAGAGAACTTTCTTTTTTCCTTAAAAGTAATTGTCATTTTCAAAAATATGTTTTTTTAATTTTTTAAATGAAATTAAAGCATCTTAAGATCAAATGGAAGGAGATGAAAATGACCTAAAAAAGCTTATAAGAAACATTTAACAGTTAGTTACCTTACCTGAAAAAAAATTCAATTTTCAAGGGTAAAAAATTAAAAAGAAAATATTTAATTCATTTTTATCTATTTAAAAAGGTGGGGAACGATTCATGATAACATTTCCAAACTTATTGAGAATACATAGATTGAAACCCTATATATGCCTAGCTATTAAACAACTGAAAAAACAACAAAGTCACTAAAATGACTTTATTTTGAACTAAAAAAATTGTTAAAAAACATTAAAATAAATTAAATCTAAAATTATTTATTTAAAAATAGATTAAAAATTTCAAAATTTAAGAATATCTCTTAAACTGTAAATAAAAAAATTATAAAGTAAAATAAAATATTATTTCTTAGTTAATAAAAAATATGTAATAAATTCCTTGTTCATTTTTCGAATCAGCTGTGTCAAAAAATATAATATTAAAATTCTTTTTTTATTAATAATTATAAAATAAAATTTTATTTATTGCCATCAAAATAATTTTAATTTAATAAATATAAACAATTGACATTTTTTTACTCATCCTATAAAAATTAATTTTAGTTATTAGTTGCATAAATATTTTAATATATTTAAATAAATTATTTATATAATTAAATGAGATTTTAGTAAATATTAAAGAATATTTTCAATTAAAACTTTAAATAGTAAAAATAAATTTTATTGATTTTTGATTACATTTTAAAATTAAAAAGCATATAAATAGATTTTAACTAAATTTAATCTGAAAAGAAATTTAGTTAATTATAAAATAAGAGATAAACTATGATTTATAGTTCTCAATAATTTTATTAAATTAATTAATTGAGCATTATTCAAAATTATGAAGATATGAATAGATTTTTAGTTTATATTTTTTATTTTGCTCTTTCAATCAAGAGTGAATAAGTCAAACATAATAAACTAAGGCATCATTGTCATATATGGTTTAATGTTTTTGTTAAAGCTTAATATCTAAAAGATGACAGCTTTCATGCTTGAAAGAGACTTATGAAAATCTACACTTAGTTTTTCAAATAGCAACTCAGAAAATTCAGTGAATAAAAATGATCTTTCATATCTCTAAAAATATATTTAAATCAATTCAATAACTCTAATTGAATTAATGTGTTGATAATTTATTTTGTGGATGTATTATTCCTCAGAAAAGAGCTTAAATAAACTGCAATTACAGCATTATCTGCTTAGGTTGCTTGTTTGAACAATGTCATATTTTATTGTTTTCTGCTTTTTTAATTAGTAAGAAATACTTTTTTATAAAGTATAATATGGACATTTTCTGTCAACTGTATTATCTAGAAAGAGCTCATAATTTTCATTTGGAATTTCTTAATCTATGATATACTTTTAATTGTTACAATTGATAGAATAGCGGAGGGCACTAAATATATAGTATTTGTTAACTTTTTTATTGCTATTATAAATATATCTTGAAGCATTGAGAACATCAGCTGGATAATACAATATAAAGTATTTATTTCTAAAAATATCTATGTATATTTTTTTAAGGCCAAACAGAAGGAAGGCAGAGTTGAAGATTATAGTAAGTAGAACCAGAGTTTTAAGAATAAAATTTTTAATTGAATCTTACTAAATATCAGGGAGAAGGTTGTTTGTATCCACACTTATCATGATTATAAAGAAAATTAATGATTAGCTTATATAACTAAGTGTGTTGTATAAGAAATAATAATAGAAATCTTTTTATTCTTTTACTAATTTATTGTATTATAATTGAAAATTTGACAAAATACCATCGAAAACACCTAAAATCTTCAGAATCAAATTCAACTTTTCTTTTGGCATATACACAGATATTATTACTACTTGTAAAGTGATAATTGGAATTTGATAATAGTCTAAATTAAGGCCTTAGGTTCCATACATTAGTCTCATAGTTTTGAGAGAGAGATGATAAGATGTGTGAGTTAAAAAGCAATGAACAGCCCCTTTTAATCTTAATTTATTCCTACAAAAGCTCAGCTAGTAGAGGAGAGATCCAGTTATTGTGATGGTTACTTAAACAATAAACAAGTTATAAGCTAAATATGAGCTGATATTTTCGTAATCAAAATTGTGAAGAGCATTTAACAAAGTTAGAGGAAAAATACTTACTATCACCTTAGCATTTAAGCTAGTGTTCAGCTGCTCATCGTAATATTTTTTTGTGAAGAGATATTTTAGTAAATAAAAATCAATTAATACAGTCATGATGTAAGTTTTTAAATTCTAATTTTAATCGCGATGTGCTAAAAACAACTTATCGAGGCAAAATGCAGAAAGGAATATGAGTAAATATCTCACTTCTCCTAGTTGAAAAGCCCAGTAAGCAGTGTATAAATTCATTATGGCAAAAAGCGGATTAATCAGCAGAAATAAATTTTGTGCAATCATTTATTGTTTTATGTTTTTTTCAATGCTAATTTTCCAAAGTATATTTAATTAATCAATAAATATTTTTTTTCTATTTGAATGAAATTTTAAAAGTAGTAATTATTTGCCACTAACAAAAGTCTAACCTAATGTTTAACCTGCTCGTATCAATTAGATTTTTTTATATAAATTCATATATGGTTTTGATATGAATTCTTAAACCAGCTTATAGTTTTTAAACGTCATCCAATATTGGTTTACTCTTAGAATTTTTAAAATATTTAAATGATTATTATTGATGAATTTAATAAAGTTTTCAAGAAATTTCTATCTACTCATAATTTAATTACATTTGAATAAAACACCTACATTAGCCATACTAGGAAATTAAGAATTAAGCTAAATATTAGAAACTCACTATGTTCCTATTACTTTTTATGCTACCTAAAAATGGATAATAAAATCTTGTAATTTCTCAAATATTTAGGACATTCCTCCAAAAACAAAACCTATAATAACTTAGTAACTTATTGTTTAAGTAAAATATTTATTTAAGGATGGGATTAAGTGTTTTAGAATTTGTAGCTTCTCAACCAATAGGTGAAAGATGGTTTCATATATATAGATTTATAAATATTTGTATATTTCTAAAATGTTGATTATTATTAAGGCTGAAATCAGTTTATTAATTCTTTTTTATATAAATTTTTAATCTTTGGTTAACATTTTATAGTGAGAGGGGATGTGGATATGAATATATGAGAATTTACAATATATTAAATTAATTCAAAAAATATAGGTGTTTAACAATGTTACTTTATTTATTTCAAAATAATAGATATAATATGCAAAATATATGAATAAAGTAATATAGGTAGGTGAGTAGTTATGGTATAAAATAGTATAAATAATTCTTGAAAACTTATTTTTTCTAAAAATTTAACGATTTTCTTAGTGTTTATATCAACTGTAAATAATTTTTTTGTACTATTGAAATATAAATAGTATTAGATAAATATTAATTTAAAAATACTTAAAAGCCATAAAAATAATATAAATTAAATAAAAAAACATAATTATTATTATTATAACTTATTAATTGGAATAAGCTTTTTTAGGAAATCGAGACAAACCTGATATTATTATATATTTTTATTTAGCACAATGATTTATTCTCTTGAAGTTTTTTTTGTAAAAAATTAATTTAAAAAAATTGTTATAATATCTAAATTAAAATTAATTGAATATTTTGTAGAATCCTTGAAATTAGGAAAAAATAAGAGAATATTTCTTTCATTTTTTCTTTAAATTAACATTGCTAAATACTATTGATTGACTACGAGAAGATAAAGGTAAAGGATCTTAGAAAAAGAGGCTCTTTGATTTATTTCTAAAAGCTGTCTTACTTGGAGTTTTAATAAAGCTTTATCTAACTTAAATTGTGTTTGATTTAATGACTTTTTACCTTATTTTTTTACTGAATTTCTCAATAAATTCATCTTTATTTTTGGACAAGTGAAACGTAATTCTAAGTTTTTTCCAGTATTTTAGACTTTTTCTAGTCAAGTTTTCGTTTGGTATATTAAATTTAAGTCTGATAGTTTTAAAGAAAGGTAATCTGACCAAATAGATTCTATTGGCTACATATTTAAATATCGGTATTTTGAGTAAAACATTCTCAACACAAAAGAAGAATAATTTGCCCAAAAACAATCCATTTAAAAGGTATACTAAAATCCATACAACTTGAGATACTATCTAGTTATTTTGATAGTTAGCATAGAGAAGAATATAAAATGTAAATATGATAGTATTCAATGAAGTCACTTCGATTTAGTTAAAAAACTATTAATTATAGGGTTGAATTCTAAGAGATAACTCTTTAAATATTGAAAGATAGGCAACAATAATAAATCCTTGCACATATACACTAGTGCTAAACATTTTAATTGTAAAAATTGTTGAAACTCTAATAAAGAGCTTAACCAATTCCCAATAATAAGCCTCTTGTTTATATTCCTATATTTTTATTAATTTATTTATATCATTTTTTAAAATAAAAATTTATTTACTTAAAATAGGTATCCATATTGATAGTTGATTTTAAATAGAAGAGAATGTAGATTCTTTCTTAATTAATTCATTTTAATAAAAAGGATAGCTGGAATTATAAAGTTAACTATAACAAAAATAGGAGCTATCAACCTTAATGTATATTTTATGTGATTTTAGTCCCAGCACAACTAGTTAAAGTCTAATTAAATATATGATTTAGTACCTATTTATCTGCATGATAAAGCAGAAATAGTTATATCATTGATAGAGGGAAAGTAAAAAATGTAAATAATCAGAAAAGTCAAATATCCATGTTGGGTTGAAATATAACTTCTTTTTGGATATAACAAAAAAACTATTTATATTGCTATAAATAAAGTTAAAGGCTAGACCATAGTCCACAGTACTCTTATCACATATATTGGTACATCACGCTTTTCAAATTAAGGTGCAAAACAATCTAGGTTATACTTGAAAACAGCAGATGGATTACCTCCTGCATATTCAAAATACTAAGAAAATGAAGGTGTTTCTAGTTATAATTACCTAATTAGCATAAGGAATTACAAATAACTTGTGAGCTGTTTAAAAAATGTAACAGTGACTGTGGAAATAGCATTTCTAGAAACAATTGTATTAAATACAATTTTTACATACCTTACTAAAATTTTCTACTGACAAATGATTACTTATTTTTAAATTTATGTCATAAGGTAACCAAAAATAATACCAGCTAAAACGATATAGAATATCATATTGAGTGCGTTGATTGATTAAGAGCATTTAGCACAATCTCCTTTTGTATTAATTGCTGTATATTTTGTATCCCAAACTTTCTAATAATTATCGCAAAGAGAACAAATAGGACCAACATGCCCCTCTAAGCAACCAAATTTGTTATTGCTATCTTCTGGAACACAAAAAGCCCCTCCTGAATCACATTCAATAACTTAATCAGTTTCATTATTTGCTCTCCAATATCCATTCTATAAGTTCAGTTAATTACTTTAGCAGCTTACAGTTCCCTATGGACAAACTTAACACTAATGAGTTGAATTTTTCATAGGATCAAGAATACTGTAATATCCTTTTAAAAATATAATATAAAATTTATTTTCATGTTTAAAATTTTTCAATATAATTTTTTTATTTAATTTTAATGTATAATTTTTTGAGAATAATATTCATATCCATGCAATTGGTATAAAATTATTTTAAATCATTTTAGTTTTAATTATGAAAAAAATGAATTCATTCAAAAAAAAATCTTCTATTAATTATGAAAAAGCATAATTTTATCATAATTTAATCTATAAAATTTAAAGTAATTTTTTATGAAGTTATTAAAATTGAGAAAAAAGCAAAGCTAAATTATGAAAGTTACCTTATGGACACTAAAAGCATATGATGTGATTATCAATACTTCTTTATTCTTCACCTATTAGACATGGACGGAAAATAGCTTTTATTGTAGCATTTATAATAAGATTTTAAACATTTTGTTCTATACTGCTTGTAAACATTTATATTTTGCTATCAGATTATATTGAAAAAGTACTATTCTTATTTGGTAAATAAATCATTTATACTTCAAAAATAAAGGCTTTTTTTTCATAGTTATATTGTTATGTTAGTATACCAGAAAGATCTATATTGTTACTTTTGATGACAAGTTGATATTATTAATATTAGCTAAGGATAGAGCTTTCTAAATTAGTTTAATTTTAAAATGGAAAGTTAATTACTTCATTTTCTTCATCCACAAATTAAATTTCTATAGGTTTAAGTGGCTAACTACCACTTTAAATATCTTAAACGACTAATTCTTAGTTAAGTTACCCCTTCATTATAAGTTTAGTTGGGTAAGAACCTAAGTCCTACCCATATAAAAAAGCTTTGTTGTTCTAAAATGTGTTTTAATAACTTAGAAATCTGACCTATCTTGATACATTTAATAAAACTTTGGGTCTCAAAAGTGTATATCTTAGAGCTCCTCCAATTTAAGCACTGTTATTTTCAAATAAATTCTAAAGGAAGAGTAAAATATCTGAGTTCTCTAAGTAAATGGCACCACCCGAGCCTAGTAAAGCTTAATTACCAGTGAACTAATTACTTAAAATACTTTAAAATATTGAATTTTGTGCATAAAGAGCTCCACCTGATCCAGATTAGCATGAGCAATCAATAAAAAAGTTATTGTTAAGCTAGACACTGTTCGGAGTGTGAAGGATTACTATTGCTCCACCGTTTTACAAAGACTTTAAGTTTAAGAATGAGTTTTGATTTAGTTAAATTTAATTACACTCAGTGAAATTAGCTGCTGCTCCACTGCCGATTGTTTTCAAATTTAAAAATTTGGAGAAACTAATATCAATAAATGTTACTTACTGCACTGTTATCAAACTATCTTAGAAATTTTAAATGTTTTCAATGTCTAAAACTTTTAAGTTTATTTGTAATAAATTTGAAGCAAAAATAGGTGAACTGATTTAATTTCCAATGTTAATAGTCTTAATTGTTGCATTATTTATTTCTAATTAATATAAATAGTTTATTTAAATTATTCTGTTGATAATTGTGTTATTATAAAATGTCATATTTGTAAGAAATAGGCTTGTTAGCTTTAATTAATTTGCATCTGTTAATTAAGATTATTGGCCTATAAGAGTTGAGAGGATTTTATTGTTATCTAAGTTTGTCTGTTCATACTTTAACAAACTTACTTTATCTGTGTTTGTTATTGATATATTTGTGATATTAGTTTTATATGTGTCTAGAATTTAGAGTAGAATCAGTTTTTTATCTTAATAATGTTTTGAATTTTTAACTTAAAAATCATTTATTGTAAGGACCTGAATATTTTCTAGGTTCATAAAGTAATAATTAACTTAAGCTATTGTAGTTGATGGATCTTATGCGCTAAAAGTTAACTAAGTGAAATGTATATCAATCTAAATTTAGTTAAGATTGATCGAGCTTAGAGTGACAGTCTAGAATTCTTAGAGATTCAACAAAAATATATTAAAATGCAATAATGTATTTAAATTATTTAGCTCTAAAGTATAATTACAATTATTAAGTACAAGATTGTTTAAAGTAAATATTCTTTGATTATTATAGTTCATATTAATTCTGTTATTGAAGAGTATGTAGTTTTTAAATTTCACACTATTTACTAATAAATTCTGCAAGTTTAATTTGAATTAAGGATTACTGTTATCAACACTAAAAATTTCATTTACTTTATTATCCATAAAAGTGCAATTGAAAATTGAGACTTACATGTTAAGCAGCTAGCTAACTGACGTTAGTAATATAAAATTAGAGTTTTAAAAAAGAGAACTTTAGATATCTAACTAATTTAAAGATATTGATGAAGTAAAGTTATTAGATGTCTGTTACAAGTAGAGCAAGCTGTTATATTGTTAGCCAGTTAATTGTTAGTCTGTAACATTTTGCAGTTTTACTGAGTTTAAAGATAGCTGATTTACATATTGCATGGTTATCATACTATTAAATGTATTTGATTACAAAAATAAATTGTTCATAATGAGATTGTTTATCTATAACTAGATAGAGGATGAAATAATCATAAATGGTGAGCTATTTTGCTATAATGAGCAATTTTATATCTAAAATGTATCTATTTATATGATGTTTGAAGCTGTTATAGTAAAAATAGGATTACTTATTTAGCTGATAACAGAATCCTAAATATAAAAATTCTGTATGTTTATAGAATCTTGAGCAATAAAGTTAAGTTGCATGCTTGTAGATGGATTATTATCGTTAAGACCACTGATAAAGAGATTCCTAATTTTTATATCAAATGCAGATGTAAAGTTGAGAATTAAAGAGTTTGTTTAAATTGTCAGCTTTAGATAGTCCAAAACTATGTAGTTGCAGTTAAAATTTACATTTAAATTCAAGCTTTAAGGAAATAAAAGCTCTAAATTTTTGAATATGCAAGCACCTTAATTGTTGCTAAAAGTATTATTGATGTTCAGATTTGGGAGAACCTAAACCTTTGTGAAAGGAGTAACATAGCCTACAAATGAAACAACTGCTCTATTATCTAAATAGAAATCAGATGCCTTCATTAAATTAAAAGACGAGTTGTCATAAAACCTAAAATGAGAGTTTTAGATACTGATACCTTGAGATTTTGTAACTTAATAATCTGATCTTTATAAATTTAAAAGAGTATACATGTTGTATGTAAAAGGGTATATTGGTATTACTTAATCACATAAATTATTTCCTATTTAATTGAGGTTTAAATTTAGTGAAAAATAATATTTGTATGAGTAACCTTCAAAAACTACATTGTAAACATTAGATAAGGAATTATCGAGATACACATTTGTTAATTTATATGAAGGTAACTGTTGACTAGTTTTCGCAACTTAAATAATTCCAACTTATAACAAATATATCGTAACTTTATCAACAGATTATATTACCAGAACTGATGGATTTTAAAGAGAGTTTATTTATTTGATATCCTTAACTGATTTTAAGGTTCTAATAATGTTAACATACTTAAGTTCTCTTAAACTATAAATGACAATTGAATTTTTACTTACAAAAAATAAGTACATGCTATCTGACAATATTCTTTCTGCATAAGTTGGCAGGACAATACTCATCCAAACTAGATTTTTATAATCATATATAGCAACTCCACTATATCTAGATGAATGTATAAAAATCCTCTTAAAATTCAAGTCAAAGAAAGCCATCACATTCTACTTTTTTGGAAAGTTCATTGGAATAGTAGTCATTGAGCTTTGTGCTGATTATTAACCTAATGAAATCAAGTAAATATTTTCATTAAAAACAAGACCAACTAGTTTGTTAGAGTCTGAGATAATTTAATGAGATATCAAACCAGTAACAGAATCAGTAATAGTTTATTATTTAACCACTTACTAATTTTAAAATAAATTTACAGTAAGTGTAGAAAAATTAAAAATCAGTAAAGATTGATCACCAAAAATGTGTAAAAGCTCTTCGTTAGGACTTAGCTAGTATAGATTTTACAAGTTTTAAACTTAATTACCTTATTTTATATTTATACTCAGTAATTTGATAATTCTGCTTTATGTTTGGAATACGGTATATGGTGATTAACTATTACTAGAAACTATTTAATTAACTTTTCTAATATCTTCGTCAAGAATTTAAGTAGAAATTTGTTTTAAGCTTGAATCAGGCTATAATTAATAACTAATTTGCAATCCATCATAAACAATTATTAAATAGTATGTCGCAGGATCTATATTGCTCTAATAGTAAATGAGCATATTGATGTTACATACTGATTTATTATTAAAAGCAATATAATCTGCTAACTATCCATTTACATAAGATTTTATACTACATTCAAATTTATTGATGAGGATTACACTTAATTGATTTAATTTGTAAATTTAAGGTTCAAAATTAAAAGGAAGAGATTTACTATAATCTTATAAAATACTAACATAATCAATCAAGAAAAATTCGTTAAAGCTACTACCTACTATCATATTGTAGTTATTGTCTAAAGAAATCTTTGTTTATGGATCTACCTATCTAGTGTAAAATATTTGTTATTTTTTTGCATCGAAGATTTAAAATGTGTTATTTGCTCTCAAAAAAACAAGTGCATTCTATTCGTCATAAGCCAAAGACCTACTAATTTGTATACTTGGTTACTTTTTTAAAAAATTATATTAAATATTTGGATATTTTCACTTTTAGTATGTAATTTTAAGAAATAATATCATATTGCTAATTAAAATAAAATTTTCTTTTATTCTTTTAATATTAAATTATTTAATAAAATCAATTTTATATTTTAGTAAATTAAAAATAAAAATAAAAAAATTCAAATAATATTTATTTTATTTACTGTATTCCTGTATTAAAGGCTAAATACATGATTGCCCAAATTAAACATTAACAGATGACCTTTATCAGTTGCTACAAAAAGATAAAGATTTGTTTAATCTATAATGATGTTAGATACTTGATTTACTGCATAGGAAGATAAGCTATAACCGTCTCTATATAAATTCTATCTATAAAGCTATAATTAATTTAACATAGATGTGTATATAGCAAAAGAGTCTAGTATTGGTAAAAACGAAACCTTTTAGTTATTTAAATATATTAATGACTGCTTTAAAATTTTATTTTTAATATTACAACAAGAGTGGTGTCTTTCAAGCATTAAGGAATTTGAGAAAGTTAAATGAAAGTTTTTGAAAAAGTAGTTGATTGCCAAAGAATATTACAAAAAGACTTTTAATAAACTACTATATAATCGTTTTAAGAAAAATAATACATTCCTAAAATTATATCAGTAAATTGAACTGTAGTTATTTAATTACTTGTTGCATCATAAAAAATAACATTTTATCTATAGTAACTCACTATAGAATTCATTTTAAAGCTATAGAAAATTCCTCTTGGTTATATAGTACTATCATCGTAGTTAAGATATTGACAAACAATCTTGCTTTAAAAATCCTTTTTAGTTTTTTAAATTATGTTAATAATAAAATTTCACATTTAATTTCTATTTTTTTTAATAATAAATAAAATAGAATAAATTTGATATAATTTTTAAATACTATCAACCATCACCCACCTATGATGATGATCATAAATTTTTGACATATTTTCTAAAAATAAATTTAAGTATTGTATTTTAAATTTTTTAAATAAAATGCAAAATATTTTGTTTTTGATAAAACTTTAATGAAGAGAAAAATCATTAAAATATTTTTTAAATCCACTAAAATTTAAAAATAAATTTTACCTTTAGGCTAAGTTGAATGATAGTTGAATTAATAAAAGCATACAATCTTAGATGATAAGTATCAATTTAATATGAAGTCATCTAATAGTTAAATTAGTATATATTACTACTCTGTTTTGTTAATTAATAAATTTATTTAATATTAATATATTTGTTACTTTAATTAATATTTACATAAGAATTAGATGTGAGGTTGAATATTAAAATACTTTATGGAAGGATTATAAATATATTGCTATTATTATCATATATGCAATCATAAATTTTATCAAATGATGGATTGAGCGAGGTAAAATAATTATAAGAAGCTACTTAATCTAAGTTTAGATTATAGTCTCTCACTGTAACTTAGGTTGAAGATATATAAATACCTTTATTTAAGACAGGAATAAAATTGAAATATACTATCGTGCTATCTGGTATAGCATTTTTGTAATAGAAAATGATTGAACTAGAATAATTAGAAGCTAACTATATGTTTTAAGATGTACCCAAATATGCTGGAATATTGTTATTAAAAGTTAGTTATTATATAAATGAATAAAGACCCTAACCACTTGCTAGATATTGGTTAAATACAATTTTATTAAAAGAAATAGAATATGTTGATATCAATCCTGTATCATATAGCTATACATAATCTCCTTAAAATGTGACAATTTAGGAAGTAGCACTTATTTTTGAAAATGCTTGCTGATAATCTGTAGTATTCTTTACCATGTTAAATAACATAACATTAGATACACTGAAGATAACACAATAATTTCCATTCCATGAAATTTAACTTTAAACGCTTGATGGACTTGATGCTGAGCCAATTTAAATTTTCTATCAAAATTAAAGTTTTATGATATATTTATTTTATAAAATAAGAAAATAAAATAATAAATTGATACTTTTTTATAAAATTTAATAAGATCTCCAAACTCAAATGAAACACTATATGATGATGTTCCTTATTGGATGTATTCAATAGTATAAAACTAGAAATCTTTAGATATTATTATTTGATTACTACTTGGGAAATTTATAGTTGCAATAATACTGTTTGTTGAGACATTTATTTTATACATATTCTAATTAGCGATTAAATAGAAGATACTGTTACTATCTTATAAGTATCCTTAAATGTATCCAGATAAATTTTATAAGTTTGAGTAAGCATTTTCCTTAATGTTATAAATTATTTTTTTTTGTTTAAAATAAAAGATAGAAAATAGAATTTTACTTAAGCTCCTAAGTAATTATATGATATCAATTTATAAGAACCTGCTGTTCCAGAGATAATTAAGAGCTTTTAACTTTGAGTTGACACAAAAGAATATAAAATATTGTTTGTTTGGGTAACTTAGAAAGTAAAGTTTAGCTGTTAGCCTAAAAGAAAAAAAGTTATGAGTTTAGTTATTAAATAAATAAGTAAGTTACTTACTTTGAGTTTGAATTGGTGATACAAAAAAGCTGGAATAACAAACAGAGCTTTTATTACATCCTGTTATAATTACAGAAATATTTTTTGAAGAATAAAATGCTTAGGGGGCACTAATATTTGTTATTGAAGAAATAATATTTGAACTAGTTCCACTCAATAATTGCTTGTAGGTTGTAGATAATGTAAGTTTATCAACGAAAATAACTTGAAGCTAATTAGAAGAAACTATACCACCTAATATAACAGTTGTAGAGTTAAAATTAAGAACATTATAGTAAACATCTCTTGCTATAGTTAAATCTAAATCCCAGACTTTCATTATTCCTGATACTGATCCTTACAGAGCTTAGCTATTTCCTTGGCTTGAATAAATAAAAGCATATCCAGCTTATTTAAATTCTATCCATTAATTAAAATTTGACAGCTAAATAATTTAAGTACCAGTAATATAAGGCTATGTATATAAAACTTCAGGTTGGTTTATTAATGAAACGGTGCTTTTTGCTAATTCTGTTGGAGAATTAGTACTAAAAGTAAATAACTATAACAAGTTATTACTCTTTTGTATAAGAAATTCAAATTAAGTATCTGTTTTATAGTTGATCTACAAAGAATTTATTGTATCTGTGTTCGTTTTTATTTATTTTAGCAAGAAAAGTTGTTGATTGCTATTAAATTTGTATAAGAATAGCAATTAACTCTAAACGATAATTATGTGATCTTATAGGAATTAGAGTTAGCTATATGCATTAGTAAATGAGGAAAGTACCTAGGTAGAATAGGTATCTAGGATTAACTACTTTAAATTTATATTATATACCTGTAGTATGCTACCTACACATTCAGCGAACATCTTTTATAAATAAATACAAAAAATTTAAAAGAAAATAATTATTTTTAATTTTAGAAAGAATTTGATAAAGCAAAAAGAATTAGAGAGAAAATAAATTTTTTTAAAATTGGTGAATTTATATACTTTTTATCCTATTGAAACTAGCTGCAAAATACTGTTTGGTAATGTTTAAACATTATAATAAGTATAAGTAGTATTGCTATTTATATAAACGAATTAGTAAGTATTTCCATTATAGGCGATCAGCGTTCTAACATCTGTGGTCATTTAAGTTAAATAACAGTTAACAGCAGGATTTGAAAGAGTATCTATTCTGTACTTATTGCCTGTTTGATCTATAAAAAAGCAACCATAGCTACTACCATAGGCTAAGGGGGCTATGTATTAAATGAATACTTTTGGATAGACATACAAGTCAAAAACTTCTTCAAAGCCAAGCTTGTAATCAATGTAATATGTATTTTTCTAATACTGTTAGGAGTTTTGATAACTAGGTAAAAACTAATATGAAAATTCAAAGACCTGAGTTTCATCATGCAAAACGCAGACAAAATAAACGAAATTTTAATTGCTTACAGTCATACTTACGCTTGAAGAAGTAGGTCCAAGCATATAAAATTACCTAAAGTCATTTAGTCTTAATTACACTATTTAATACACAGGAGTAGTAAAGCATGTAATAAATAGATTTAGCTAGTCATTCTAAGACAAAAAGCTACAAAAATTAAATGTCTTTATTAAATTAAAAAAGAGTTAATTAATTAATGAGAGTATTTTAAATTACATTTTAAATTTATTAATTATTTAATTTTTAGTATATCACAGTATCTAATCTGGGATAGTTTCTAACGTAAATTTCTCCAGATTGTGTGACGCTAATTATCAAGTCTAATGGTATTTTAATAAAAACAATGTATTATTAATAGGAAGTATAAAAAAACTTTAAAAAAGCAGAGAGAATTAAGTTACTTAAAAATAATATAAAAATCATGCTTTAAATAATATATATATATATAGTACCTTTGTTTATTGAAAAAAGATGAGAAATATACTGAGAAGATGGAGGATTACTTTGATCTAAATTTTCATATACCCTGACTGAATTACAAATTTCAATTTACTGACAGTTCATAGTCTGAAAGTCCTCATAATAGTAAATTTAATTAGGGCAATAATCTTCACATGTATTTGCTAGAGTACCAAACTAATTATTACTACCGCAATTCGATATACATGACTTAGTTTAAATTTAACAAATTTTATATAATTAATTTGAAACCTTACAAATAAGAAAATACACTATTGACAGGGTTAAAAGTTTATCCAGGTATACAGCTTAGGCATCCATTGGGACTACATTATTAGCACTAGCGCGGATAGCATATATCGCATTCATATAACGCTTCAGCTTATGAGTATCCTGAAGGACATTAATTGTAACAACTTCCCAAATCAGTATAAAATGCGTACTAATCTGAGCACTTTGATGGTGTTTAAGAAGTGCTTGCACCATTTAAATACCCTTACGAGCAATCCTCATAAGGTTTTTAGCATGAACTACAGGTCAAATCTGGGGCTTAACATTAACCAGCTTGCTAAACGCATTAGTTTTTAATAAAAGGTTGAAAGCAAATAAAAATCAAAAATTAAAGTAAAATCATCTATTTTCTTATCATTAATCAATTTTTTACAAATTAATCAATTCCAAAAGTATTAAAGACCTATTTTCTATTTTAACTTATTTGATTTATCAATGATAATTAGAAAGTTAATAGAAATGTAAAAATCACATAACGAGGTCTAAATCAAACTAATGTTTTTTAATTCAATAATAAGCAATATAAATTTATTTGTACAAATGTAAATCAAAAAACCTTGTCTTAAAAGGACCAAATATTATATTTTTAGGCAATTAAATATTTTAATTAGGGCTTAAATTAAAGTCAACTACTGGTTTACTTTAATTTTTTTAAATTTAGTTAAACAAGGTGGTCTTTTCTTTGATATATTAAATTTCCAAAATTGGATTATTTGAAAATCAAAATATAGCTAATCTTGTATGATTTTATCTTACTCACCCTCCCTTCTATTTTTTATTTAATTAAGTAATTTCTAAATTAATAAAGTGTGAGTATTAATTGTTACAAATCTAAGAATTACTCCCCTAATCTAATAAACTGTAAGATTTTAATCTAACCTTATTTAAGAAAACGCTTATCTTGCAAATAGTTATTAATTCTTTAATTTATAAAATACTACTTGTAATTAATTAATAATTCTTTTCTCAAAATAAACCAAAGAAATTATATAAGTAATTCATATAAACTGAGAAAGTATTGTTAAATTATTAACAAAATATGTTTCATGCATTTGTTTATATAATACATACTATACGTGTTTTAAAATGGCTATCATTCATTAATAAAATATTATAATACTAAGTAATTTCATATAAATACCTATTCATATAAAATTTTACCTAAATTTTACAATTTAATAATAAATATTTTAACTAAAATGTAATTCTTAAATTATTATTATTTCTACAAAGTTTAGATAGTATGTTGAATTTAATTACTTATTAAAAATAATATTTAATAATATAAAGGTTGGTCAAAAAATTGAAGCTTTAAGTTATGGTAAAATGAACTTTAATTTATATTTTTGAAAATTTCAAATAAATACTACATCCTTTAAGTTATCTAACCTATTTTATATTTTGTTTGCGTTTTACTAATTATTTATCAAGTCTTTTGATTCGCAACATTTTTTGTAAGGCTTCAAAGAACCACAATGGCATTTTTAATTTCTCCCTAATTTAATTAATTTTGACTATCCTTCTATTTTATTATTTGAAACATCTTCTTATAATTAAATTGAAGCAAGTTACCAAACCAAATCTTTAATTTTTTTTTCTTCTTTTCTTTTCATATTTTCTTAATTTATGTTTTCATTTTATTCTAAAGGTTTTTCTTAAGAATTATCAGCATTATAGTTTTCTTGATTTTCATTTTGTTCAATATCATCCCCATCGCCAACATCTATTTATTCTTCTGAATTATCTTAAACTTATTACTTCTTAGATTTATGAGTTTTTTCTCGCTTTTGGTTTTAAGTCTGTCTTTCAGCTTTTTTCTATTTTTCTTTTTCTTTTTTTAACTTAGCAATTTCTATTTTAGATTGCTTACTTTTTTTTGTTTCATTTTTATGTATATCTTTATTTTCTTATTATATCTAATCAGTATTTTCATCATTTTCTTCTGACTAATTATCTTAAATTTCAATACATTCCTTTACATCATCTTTATTCATTTCTTTTTCTAATAATTTAAATATTTCATTTTTTATGGGCTAGGCAGGAATACTTTACTCGTCATCTCCGATATTTCTAATTGAGCTATAATGCTCTGCTATATCTTCTTCAGAGTGGTATGCTAAATGAATAGTTTTCTTTTATATCCCTTTAATAGCCTGGCCTTTAATAACTAAGTAAGGCTTTCCTTTTAAATGGATGATAAAATTATGCCCTAGTGCAGCCGAAAGAGCTTAAATTTCCAAATTTCCACCCCATACTCCTAATTAAGACATTTCATGTAGGTATTAGTCAAATTCTATATCATAGACAAAATTTTTAAAGAATTCTTCTTATTTTTTGAGTTAATTAACTGCAATTTTCCTATAATACATATGCATATTTTCATCACCTTCCAACTAGTCTGCAACTGAACGAAACAGACAGTTTCCATCTCCTTAAACGTCCTTTATATACAAATTATACTTTGACACTTCATCATTAAATTCCTTCAAATGCTTAGAAAATTCATCAGAGTCTTGCCAATTCTTTTATTTATGTCTTTTTTCTTTCCTTTTATTTTAACGGCCTTTTTAATCTTCTATTTCCTCCTCTTTATGCTTATCTTTTTTAGATTTATTTTTTTCTTTATTATCATTTTTTTTTGCACCCATTTATTCTACTAATCTGTATTTATAATATCAATCTTTTTTAAGCTTAATTTGCATAAATTTTATTCAATACAAGCTAAATATTTATAAATTGTATCCCAACCAATATTTTATCAATTTTAAATATTTCAAAAAAATTTATCTATTATATTTTTCACTATAATTTAAAAGAATTTAATAGTAGAAAGAATTTTTTTATTCAAAGAATAATTATAAAAGGTATGCTTTTGATTAACATATTCTATTTTATCATCTTTAGTAGATATTAATTTAAAAGAATTAATACAAAAATATTATCAAAAACTAATAGGAAATTTAATTCAATTTATATATTTAAAAAAATATTAAAAACTTTTATATTAATAAATTATTTGAATTTTTTATAAATATTTTATTGAGTAAAAATTATTTTATCTTTTATAAATATTGTCAAATTACTATTTATTATTTGAAAAAAATAATTTTATTAATACAATTTAAAATTGATTTAGTAATAGCAATACAAATAATACTTAATATTTTATTTATTTTTTTTCATATAATTATTTTAAACATAATTTAAAAAATTACTTTAAAATAATAGAAAAACTTGTTAAATAAAATATTTTAACAGAAACTCAATAAAAAATGTATTTATTTTAAAAATAATATATTTAATAGAATATTAAATAAATATTTTAAAAGCAAAATTTTATTAAAAAGATAAATTTATTAAAAACTATTTCAAGAATGAACAATTATTTTTTTTTTGATTATAATTTTCATTCAAATTAAATGATTTAATTAATTCCTACTTACTTTGATTTTTACTTTGAAATTTTAGCTCTTTTTTTTTATAGCTTAGAAGATATATTTAAAAATATGAACGTTGGATATATAGATTGATGTATTTAATTTATTTAATGAGCGGATAAATTGTTGCGCCTTTTAAGAATAAAACCGCGTAATTCTAAATAAATTTAAGCTCTAAATAATCTTAAATAGAAAAATTGTGGGCATTAATATGCATATTTTATTAATATTTTTATATGCAGACTTGAAAATATCTTTTCTAAGAAATATTTAATTTAAAAAAAATTAAAAAAATATCAATATAAACAACTTGCAAAAAAACTAAATAAGCAAGGACTTTAAAATAAAAGCAAAAAATTAAAAAAACATACTGATTTAGTAGCTTGAAACATATAAAAATAATAAACTATTCATAAAATGGCTGGAAGAAGACGTAGAGATATGATTCCTGAAAATGTAGCTGACAACGAGTAATTCTTTTGCCTTTTTTTAAAGACTTTCATTAAATGATTAATTATTAATTTTTTAAATTTAGTTCAGCTAGCGTTTCTCAAGAAGAGGCTATAGAAGAAAATTAAATTGTAGAAGAAGATGACAAATCTTTATCTGATGAAGGCGATGGTGATGATTTGCTTGAAAATATTGAAGATGATTACAAAGCTGTTCCAGAATTGGATTAATACGAAATAGATGGTTTAAATGATGAAGATGACTTTGATGATATTGATGCAGAACAAAGAAGATTAGCTGAAGAAGAAATTGATGAAAGAAACTATCAAAAGTAAGCACAAAAAATAACTATAAAACAGGATAAAAATTATTATTTGAAAACGTAGATATGCCAACAAAAGAAGAATTCCAACTGCCTTAAGAGAGTTTGATTTAGGAGAAGAAGACGAAGAAGACTTAAATGTTCAACTTCAAAGAAGAAGATAATTTTATGAAGCTCATAATCTTTATGAATCTGAAGATGATGAACAAATGGAAGAGGAAGAAGAAAATAAAGATGAAAGAGAATATGATAAGTATCTTGATAGAGAATAAGCTAGAGGTAAACTTGCAGTTTGGATTAAGGAAGAGAGCACTGTGCGTTATATTCGTAAGACTTTCAGAAAGTTCCTCAATAAATTCAAAGATGGTTCAAGTAAATAAATATTTAATTTATTTTGATTTACTCCAAGAAGCACTATCAAAATTAAAGCATAAGATTTAGTGAGCAAAGATTAAAAAATGTTTAAAAATAAAAAATCTTTCATAAAATATAAAAAATAATATTATTTTTCTGCAAATTTAGTTAGATATAATAAATAATATTAAGGTGTTTGTAATGGAAAAAAATAAAGTTTAGAGAAAATTTTGAATAATCAAAAAATTTGATATTAGCAAATAGATATTATTATTTTGATAAATAAATAAATAAAAAGTTAATTTAATTAGCACATAATTGAATAAATATTAAATATAAATAGATCAACTAGTTTACAAACAAAGAATTCAAGAAATGTGCTCTAAGAACAAAGGAAGTTTGGAAGTCGACTTTAATCACATTAATTCTAAGCATGAAACTATAGCCATGTGGATTGTTACAGAACCAGTAATTATTTTACCATATTTGAATGATGTTGCTATGGAAACAGTCAAGAAACTTTATCCTGATTACGAAGATATTCAACCTGAAATATTTGTTAGAATTGAAAATTACACAATCTTAGATCATATCAGAAAGCTTCGTCATAAAGATCTTGGTTAATTGATTTAAGTTAGAGCAGTTGTTACTTAGCGCTCTGCTATTTTCTCTTAATTGAAGAAGGTTTATTATGTCTGTCGCTGTGGTGATAGAAAAGGACCTATCTACTTATCATCAATAGAAAATCACAATCTTGGTACTTGTCCTGTTTGCTAGTCTAAGGGACCTTTCATTTTGGATACTGAATATACTATCTATAGAAATTACTAAAGACTCACTATTTAAGAACCACCTGGTAGCGTTCCTCCTGGTAGAGTTCCTAGATAAAAAGAAGTCATCGTTTTAGGAGATAACATTGATGTTGCTCGTCCTGGTGATGAAATTGATGTTACTGGTATTTTCGTTCATAGATATGACTATGCTTTAAATGTTAAGCACGGTTTCCCTGTTTTTTCAACTATGATAGAAGCTAATTATATTAAGCGTGTAAGAGAAGGTGATTAATCTTCCTTACCTCCTTAATTCATTGATGAAATTAATAAGCTCTCTAAGAGAAGCAATTTATCTAAATTAATTTGCAATTCCATAGCTCCTTCTATTTATGAACATGATCATGTTAAAATGGCTCTTGCTCTTGCTATGTTCGGAGGTGAACACAAAGACATTTAAGGAAAACACAAAATCAGAGGTGATATCAACGTTCTCCTTCTTGGTGATCCTGGGTAATTTTTAGTTTTGTTTCAAATATTTTATCAAAAATATGAATTTATTTTCTTATCAATTATTTTTGTAATAATAGTGTTGCCAAATCTCAATTCTTAAAGAGTGTAGAAAAAACTTTCCATAGATGCGTTTATACTACTGGTAAAGGTGCATCTGCTGTCGGTTTAACTGCATCTGTAAAGAAAGATAGCTAAACAAAAGAATGGACTCTTTAAGGTGGTGCTTTGGTTCTTGCTGATAAGGGTATTTGCTTAATTGATGAGTTTGATAAAATGAATGATCACGATAGAACTTCCATTCACGAAGCTATGGAACAATAAAGTATTTCTATTTCAAAGGTAGGTATTGTAGCAAATCTTCAAGCTAGATGTTCAGTTATTGCTGCTGCAAACCCAGTCAAAGGTAGATATGATTCATCAGCATCTTTTATGGATAACGTTAATCTTACTGATCCTATCTTATCCCGTTTTGATATCCTTTGCGTTATTAAAGATGAAGTAAACAAAGATCTTGATTATAAGCTTGCTGGTTTCGTACTCAACAGTCACATAAAGAATCACCCAATAAGCCATAAAGAGAAAAAGCATAATCCTGAACTTTACAGCGAACGTCTTTCTAAATCTCTTATTGAAGAATCTTAGAAGTAAATAGGTGAAATTATTCCTAATGAAACTTTAAGAAACTACATTATGTATGCTCGTTAAAAAATACATCCTAAGTTAGCTGACATTAAAAAAGAAAAAATTAAAAAATTCTATTCTGACTTACGTTAATAATCAACTATTTCTGGAGGTATGACTATTGCAGTCAGACATATTGAATCAATTATTAGAATGGCAGAAGGTAATATTTTTATTTTCAATTTTATTATTTTAGCTAAAAAAATTTTTATTAAAAGCCCATGCTAAAATGCATCTCAGAGAAGTCGTTAGAGATGAAGATATAGATGTTGCTATTAACGTTATGCTTGAAAGTTTTATTTAATCATAAAAGTACTCCGTAGCTAAAACAATACGCGATAACTTTAAAGTTTATTTAACAAAAGCTTCTGATAATAATAAATATCTATTTAATTTACTAAATAAGCTTTAAAAGGAAAGTGTAAATAATTATTAAATTAATAAAATTATTTTTCAAATCTTATTTTATCTCTTTAATAGAAAAAAGTTTTATAAAATGTTGCAGATGATAAGAAAGATAAAAAGCAAATTGAATAGACAAATATACCAGTTTATCACTTTGAATTTTAGGCTAAAGACTATAAAATTGAAAAGTTCGAGTAAGATTTTTTATTTTACAGATTATTCAAACGTTTGCCTAATATTTTTATTTTTTAAAAAATAGCGATTTCTATAGAAGTGAATTATTCAATAGATACTACATTAAGCAAGGAAACTAAATTATACCTAAAAACGATTTTTGAGATATAAATTAATTTAAATTTGAAAGTTGAGCAATCCTATGCAAAATATTTTAGAAAACTAATTCTTCATAACTTATCTAAAAATTTTAAATAATTAATTTTTAGGAAGATAAAAATATTAATCAACAAAAATTAAAATAAAAAATTAAATAAATAAATTCTGAAACTGCTTTAAATTTAAAAATAAATTAATAACTAACACAACACATTAATATATTAAAATATAAATAAATCCTTTAAACTTCATATTTTATTTATATATAAACCATTTATGAAATATTACTTACTAAAAATGTATAAAAATATTCTAAAACATAAATTTAGCTTATAAAATTAATAATTTTCGACCAAAAATTATTTGTCTTTCATTAACCTAAGTATCTGAAATAATAAATAAATAATTTTAATATACTGCAAATTTTGATTAATAAAAGCTGTCAATACTTTATGTTTTTTACCTTAGATTTAGTATTTTGATATTTTGGGATATTTTTTTTAGGTTTAATTTATTTTATAAAATTAATAATTGTACATTAAATATAAATTAGTGTGTCACAAATGATCTACATTTTCATATTTAAATGAACTTGAGATCAATAGATTAAGAAATTAAAAAAATTAATTTAAAATAAAAACCATCAAATAAATAATCAATTCTTTTAATCAAACAAAATAAAAAAATATAAATTAGTCTAAAATTATATTACATAAAACCTCATTTTTAATATCTAATTTTATTTTATGAATTTGTAGAAGATAATCTATCTAAATTATTTGATTCAAATATTTAAGGAAATTCTTCCATTTCATAATCTATTTTCTTAATTTTAGAACATGTTAAGAATGGATTTTAATTATTTTTTCTTGAAGTCCTATAAGATTTTTCCTACTCAAATTTCGATTAGAAATTCGTTAGTTTAAACTCCATTTCTACTAATTTATCTTATTATGTAAATAATTATTAATTAATTAACTAATACAATTGTCTTATGAAAAAACAATAATTATATTTACCTATTTTATTTTAAGTAATTAAAATATTTTAGCTTTAGTTCTCACTAATCTTACTGCTAAGAGGTGACATAGATAATTAGCTAGCACTTTATTAAGGAGAAAGATAATGCTTTTTAATTTACGACTTTTCAGTCTATTCAAATTCTTAATTATTTTATTTTTCTTATTAAGCTACTATTTATTTTCCTATTTATTTTTAATTAGTTTTAAAGAAAGATTTAAAAAATATGTTTACTTTATTCAGTATTTAGCTGCTATGACAAAAGTAATTCATACCTTTTGATCTAACTTAATTTAGTATATTTAATTAAGGCTATTTAAATTTTTTTTTTCAATTCAGGTTTTATAAACTTTACTGTTTTTTCCTTTCCTTATTATTTATCATTTTCGCTTGTATTTTTTAAAGATATTTTATTTTTGACCCATGAGCAAATTTTTGAAAAATATTATTTATAACCTTCTAAAACTTTCATTAAAATCACCAAATTGAAATAAAAGTTAATTATAATAACTGTGATTAATGAAATAATTATTAAATAATTATATTCATTTCCATTAATAAATACACAAAGAAATATTGTCAAAGCACATACTTTAGTAGATAAACTGTCTATTTAATTGTATTAACTTTCTTCATAAGGTTAATATTTATTTGCTAAAATTCCATATGCAGTTATTATTAATGTGACAATACAACCTTTAACAAGGGTGTATTAATAATAAAAGTTAAGCACAATTATTATTGATATTTTTTATGCTATTTTGATAAACTCCCAATAAAAAACATTGTTTTTATACTCTCTATACAAGAAACCAAATCTCATGTTAATAGATAAATTATCAAGCTTTACCTTATTTTTAAGAATGTAAATTAACAATAAAAGAGGAAGTATTAGAACCCATAAAATTAAAAAAGGTAGCACAAAGCTTATACTATAAAATTTATAACTCTTTGTATTGCATTCATAAGTGGTGTTATTTAGTATATATAATGTGTCTCCTATTTGCCTACATGAAAGCAGACTGATCATTTAAGATACTAAATCAGGTTAGAGATATAGAAATAAAAATATTGAACCGGTGTAAAACTAGTATAATTTAAAGCGTCTAGATTTTTCAACTAAATATTACTTAATTTTCAAGGATATTACAAACACTATCAAAATAATTAGAGGTGTTGTTAAAGAAAATATCAATTTTAAGTATATTAATGGAATATGTGTATTTATTTCTTTAAGTAGGCACTCTAAAAAGTCAGTTGAAGTTTTTATAGGATTTCCTAAATATGAGGAAATGTCTACCAACCCTATTAATAAAGTTAAAATATTTAATACTTAATTTAAAAATTTGATGATTAAAAAAAAAATAATTTACTTGAATTAATATTTAAATTGAAAGTTGAAACAGAGCTAATTATTTAGAAATAGTTAGTGAGTATTTTTATATAATTTTTAGATGGCTGATTTACCTCATTTTATTTTTAATTACTTATCCTACTTATTTGAATTCTTCCTTTATCAAAAGATAACATATTTTGTTTTTAGGATTATTTCTATTTATATCTAATACTTTTAATCAAAGTACCTTATAAGAATAAATTCTATTCGCTTTTGACTGTAAGATAGATAGATACGAGTATCCATATATATGTAAGAACTAATTTAAATAAATTTTTAGTCTAATCTTCACATAGTCCACATTAAAAATTGTTAGTTCTAGTATAACTTTACTCCCAGAATTCACCATGAATCTTAAAATTAATAAAGTAATTTAATACAAAAAAAAATTTCAATTTGATTACATCGCACTCTTCACATAGAGGACCTATGTTTCCAGTAACACAGATGTTATTTCCAAAAGATTTTTCTGTGTTCTTTACACAATTCTGCAATCTATTGTAACATTAAATTATTTCTATGCTATACTCTTCCTTTCTCCAAAACCCATTCTGAAGTTAAACAGTACCATTTTGGCAATCTCCACCCTATGGACAAGAGTAACATCCCTAAAAATCTAATGAATACTTACCTTCTTCACAAGTTTAACATTCTTTGTAGTTATTGTACTAATTAAAAATCTCTCCATAAACACAATTCCTAAAGTTTACATAGACTTCAAAGGTATAATTATTTTCAAACTTTAATGTGTAATTATTATAGACTTTTATGGAATCTGAGACGAATTCGATAACTGAATCAGATGATGGAATACCAACCAATTCAAGTTAATCGAAAATAAAAATATTTTGAATAGGATCCAAATTTGATAGTGTATTACCTCTAAAATAATATTGAGAATAATTTTGTGTTTTTTAACTTATTTGTATTTTAGCTGTTAGTTGCTATCCCTCTGTAAATGTTATAGGTTTAAAACTAGTATCCCTCAATTAAAATATAAATTTAGGGAATTTATCTCCACTTTTAAATTTATTTAGAGATATTTTTTATGGATAATCTTTCGAAAAATTATAATAATTGACTAGGTGCAGCTCTGTAGGATAAGAAAACTGGTTATCTCCGTAGTGTTATCCTTAATTAAATTAAATTTGACTTTAATAGATTTGAGGATTAATTCCTTAGTTGTAAATGCCACCACCGATAAAAGCTTTATTTTTTTAAATAATTGTTTTGTTAACAATAAAAACTTATTATGCAGAATTCATATCTTCAGTTTCAATATAAAATGCACCACCATAACCATTAACAGCTAAATTGTCTTCAAATTTAGATTCATGTATAATTATTTTAAAAATCTGTATATCATAATAAAAATAATGTTTTTTTGTAAAAAAATAATTAAATTTAAATACATCGTTTTATTATGCTTTTAAATAAATTGCTCCACCACTATAAGTAGCTATATTACTTGTAAAATTTGAATTTAATATTAGATTATTAGTTTGAGTTATCCCTTAAATTAAAATAGCTCCTCCATTTAATACCTTAAGTTTAAATTTATTAAAAAAATTAGCAAATATGAAAAAAAACAAATTATCTAAAATTATTAAGAATTAACTTTAAATTCTTACTTAAGAAGATCTAAAGCAAGTATTTTGAATATTGAAAGCAGTGTAAGTTAAATATAAGCTTGAGCCTTAACAATTTAAACAAATAATTTCATTAAAATATGAATTATCGTTAATAGTTATGCTTGATGTGTTTAATTTTATCAAAGAGTTACTATTAATTTATTACTTTATATTTTACTATTAAAGATTTCTATGTTCTACAACCAAAGATAAATTGCTGAAATGAGCCTGGCTCATTATAACTTAGCTCAAAGTTGCATCAATCAAGCTTGGCATAAAAAAAGATTAAGATATTTAAATTTTTTGTATTGAAATATTTGAGTTTATTGATTTTATTAAAAGAGGTTATGTTGATTGGTATGATGAATATAAATTACTAAAGTTTGTGTTATTTATAGTTATATTTGATTTCTCTGCATAAATTAATGTGGAAGTTTATAAATTTTAAGTTAAAACTTTTTTATTGAATTAAGTAGGATAATTTTAAGTTTTTTAATTGTATGCTTTTAAACCTTATACATTAACTTATGATTAATTGACACTTAAAAATATAGAATCAGTGTTTCCTAAAATATTTGTTAAGATGATAGCTGTTAAATTTATACTTAAAGATGCTTCTATTTGTACCTATGCTTGATTACTAAAAAAATATTATTAATAAAAACTAAAGTTATTTTTAAAATTAAAAATTACAAAACTGAAATAGCTTTTGATCCTGCATTTAAAGAATATATGTCTGTAAAATTACATTTATTTATTAATAATTTAATGTTTGAATTTTAAGTATGTATGAGGAAAGCTCCTCCATCTTAACTTGAATATCCTTAAGAAAATGAAGAATTGGATAATATAATATTGATCTCATTTATTTATGATTCAATATATATAAAAGAGGCCAAGCTTGATGTTGATTAAGATAAAAAGGTATTTAATAACTAAAGTGTCACAGTTTTTACTCTAATACATCCTCCTTCTTATACAAATAAAGTATTTGTGTCTTGCAAATCGAATGAAGAATATTGAAATGAGCAATTATTTATTAATAGGCTTTTACTCTACACAAACATGAAATTATAAAGTGCATTTGATTTTGAGTTATTAAATCTAGTACCTTAAATTAAATTGTCACCTTATGAATTTATAATCTGAATACCTGTAGTTGATTATGTCTGAGAGTTTATAAAGCCAAAAAGTATATTATCATGAAAATATGAATCCAATATCTTAATATTAGAGTATTAATCAGAGGATATAAAAATAGGATTTGAATAGGTATTTGTTAAAGTTTGATAAAATGAGCTATTAAAAATATTGATTTAGGTCATTTAAATTGTTACATTTTCATATATTTAGCTTTATACATTTATAATAGATTAGTCAACAGCTTTGATAAAACTTGAATTAAACATATTTAGACTAAAATTTTTTACATCAGTAAATATTAGACATCCAGCATATTAATTTATATCTGTATTTTAGAAAAAAGAAAAATCATTTGTGCATGATATGTTAAAAAGCTAATTATTTAGGCAATTAGAAGCTCTTAAGAAAGATATTTTATTTTGATTCTAAGTAGTTATATTATTTAGAATAATATTCTAAACTTTATCTATTTAAATTAGAGAAGTTGTTAATAAATTTTTATAAGTTTTATCATCAGGAAAATATTAATTTTCTGAGTTTTAAACATTGTTAACTAAGAGAGTGTGCTATGGTAAAGGATTAAATGTGTAGATTGCATTAAAAAATAAATACGATGCCATTGTATAAAATTTATTTTAAGTAATTGTAATATTTTAAAAGGATAAAATATAATTTTTCTAATTGACATTAGTTATTGTTGAAAAAACCTTTTAATTACAAAATATATTTCCTTTTATTTGCATATTGCTCACATTAAACAAGCCTCCTTAAAAGAGTTCTCCTACGTTTTCAGAATAGGTAATTTACTCAAAGTTGCAAGTGTTGTTTTAAATAAACATTTAATTAATTGTAATATTAGTATCGCTTATTTATCTTAAAATACTAAACTAGCTGTTTAAAATTGAATTTTCAAGAGTAAAATTTTAAAGACTTATCTTTTAATTGTTGAAAAAATAATAATTTAAAATAAATTATGTTTAATAAAAAGATTTACCTAATTTGAATTAGTAACTATAATTAAATCTTCAAAGTGAGAAAAATTAGCTGATGATATATTTATATTTTGTAATATAACTGAAGAATTATCAATATGCATAAAATAGCAAGTAACTATTTAATTATATTACTGTGATTGATCTTATTATTATGATAACTACTACTTATAATTGATATGTTCAATATAAGCCGTGTCAAGTATTTTAGTTATTTTTAATCCACATTCAGAGATTAGATTCTTAGATGATATTAAATATTTTATCATAATATTTTATAATCTTAAAATGTTGAATTACTAAAATTCTAAAACATCATAAGTATTTATTTCAGATTAAATAGATTCATCAACACTTTTAATTGTCAAATTTATAATATTTCCAAATTGCACGTTAATAAGCTCTTATATAATTTAAAGAGATTAATTTGGATAAATATAAATAGTAGCATTGATCTTTTAAACACCAAATATTAGGTCATTATATTGCTACATCTTTATTTTTTTAAAATTTGTTACTTCTACATTCAAATTAAAAAAATAAAAAACTAAAAATATAAATTAATTTACTAATAAGAAGGATGTTATTAAGCTTTTAGAAGTTACAAAAGGAGATTCTTAAGTTCCTAATCCATATAGATTATTAGAAAGCTATTATTCAGTAGAATTAAAGTAAAAGTCCATCTGACAATTTAGGCAATTTTATCTATTTTATAAGCATTATCCAATTGGAAAATAATATATACTATAAAAATACTAAATAAAAAGCATTTGGGATTCAGCTAAATATTATAAATTTAAGGTATAATCTTTTTATTTTATTGTTTAAAATTATAAAAAGAATTCAAAACTTTGAGTGTTTTGATTGAATGTAAATAAAAAGACATTTCCTGTATCACTTTCTCCAACACCAATAAGCTGAATTTCTTCAAAAGAATTAACGTTAAACGATTTAGAGGACATTTACTTTAACAATTACGTTTCCTCAGTATCTATATTAAAAGCAATTAAATTCAGATTATCACATACTGCTACCAAGTAAAGGGCTTTATCATCGTTGTATAGCTAGCCAATAGTAGAATTGAAGCATTGATATTTAGCTTATTAAATAATAAAATTGCAATATTCAAATATTCAAAAAATAAATATTATTTTTACTTATAGATTTCTTAAATTTAAATTCAGTAATGTTTTACGAATTCCAGCCATAAACATTCCCAAGCACATCTAACCCAACTATTAATTTATTTTTATCAGAATATAGTGCATAACATGTTTGAATTTAATTATCAGCATCATTGTTGGATACTAATTGTTAAAGATTCCAATGATAATAATCAACAATCCAAAATAAAAATTTTTCATTATTATCTTTGAAAGGTAAAGCAAAAAGAATCCACAAGTACTTTTCTTAATCTAAATAAGAAGTTTAAGTTTAGCTAATTCTACCAAACGATAGATTTAAATAACTTATATCCATATACTAATTTTCAAAAAAAAAATTATTTTATTTTCTTTTTACTCTTATAAAAATGTTTACTGAATAATAATCACCGAACGCATCGAGTTGTATTAAATTATTGTTATTCATCTATAAAAAAAATCCTTTAGGGTAGTTTGCAATTTCGATAAAACAATTTTCTTTTCCATTGATTTAACTACCTAAATTAAATGTCCACACATCTTTTCCCTAAGGTGTGTCCTCAGAAGCAAAAACATAACTGGTTATTGGTGTAATGTAATAGTCTTTTTTATCAAAATTTCTATGAAAAATTTTAGGAAATCCTGTAGTTCGATAATCTTTTTTTAAAAACATAATTTCATAAATATTATCTTTGTTTATTTCAATAGAATTAAATATTTTCATAATATTTTAATGGAGTAAAAATTTTTTTGGATATTTCTTTGTGATGCTTTTTATTAAAAAAGTTTTAATAATTAGTTACATTAACGAACTTAAAAAGTATTATCGATGTATGAGTAGAAAATAGAATAAGTCTACTCCATACCTCCATAATGAAAAATATTATGGACAGGTAAAACTAAAACCTTATTTTCTTCTAAAAAGTACCAATTTGCATGTTAGAATGCTTCGATTGATATTGGAAAAGGTTATTAAGCCATTTCATAAGTTAAAGAATCTATTTTTTATATCTAAAAATCTCCAAATATCTAAATATCTAATCTGAATATTTTAGTTGTATCTGTAAGATATAGACTCTAGCTATTTAATGTTTGGGAAATACCTCTAATTAATTTTCCATTATAGAAATCACTAGTAGAATCCATCAGTTCTATTTTAATAAAAAATTAGTATCTATTAATTGCTCTATAAATATGTATTTCTTTACATAAATTTTTCAGCAATTTAAATTTTCCTTCTCTTAAATTTACAATCTAAATAATATTTATTAAATAACCTTAACCTACAGCATATATAACATTCCAATTTAAATCAACATCTATGTCTATATATTAAGTAGAACTAGGATTTCCTTCTATTTAATATTATATTTCAAAAACAATTCATTTTGTTAAAGTAAATTTACATGGTTCTGGCAAATAATTATGATATTCAAGAGCAATTGTTGTAGTATTTAATGACCAAGCTTGAAAGCCATATTTATCTTTTATTGCTACAAAGATTAAACCATTTTAGAGAAAGAATATTTTAGGGAAATAAAGAGGATTATAGATATCATACTTGAAATAGCAAGAATCTTTAAAATATACCTAATTCAATTCAATAACATCTATAATATAAATGTTGCAAGTTTATGTTGTTACAAAAGCTAAATTTGTTCCTTAAATTAAGTTAATTCCCTTTAAATTGCTAATAATAAGATGATTTATTATAGATAATGTATATATGTTAGCAACTATCAATTTTTATTCGCTAGCAACTAAAATCTGATTTGTCTACTCAATAAAATCCATTTAAACTATTGTATAATCAGCTGTTTATATATATTTTAATTAGTTAATTTGAAAATTCATAAAAGCATATTTTACGCCTAATAACATTAATTGTGTTGTCAACATCTTTGGAAATATCATTATAATATACAACACTGGTAATAGCAACACCATTTTAGTCTTTCGCTGTTGAGTTTATTAAAAGCAAATTTGTTTTTGGTATCTTCAAGTAATTTATGATGTATTAAGACTCAAAAAATTTAGGTACTATTTATAATTAGAAATAAAAATTTTATTATGATAAAAATTTGTTTATTTACTTTGCTAAACTTAAAAATTTGGGCATTTTTATGCTTAAGCCAAAATTAAAATTCCCAATTTAAATAAAATAGTCTATAAAAGTAACAGAATTTTATTTGTCATTTTTCACTTGCTTTTATTTATTGTTAATTATTCAAAAATATTAATTAGTATATTTCTTTCAATAAATAAAAGATGATTAATTAATTAGTTAATTTATTTACTTCTTCTTCTTTTTATTGTTTCTTTCTTAAGCTTATTTTGATTAGTTTTTCCTTTAATATTAACTCTTTTACAATTTTAAGATTATTATAAATGATTTATCTGTTTTTTATGAAGCTAGAAAAGTGAAATTTTTCTAAGGATATTATTTTATTATTATCTTTTCTTTAATCTAATGTGGTGAATATTTTACTTTTTTTTTTTTCATATTTATATCTTTTAATTACAAAGGAAAAAGGAAAATTGAACTAACTATTCCTAATTTTTCCAGAAAATTTCTTTTTATATGTAATAATTACAAAATAATCCACACAATTTTTATTTTTGAATCATTAGCTTTTTCCTATTGATTCATACAAATTTTTAATAAGTCTTACTGATTATTTTTTATAGCATATTTTGATTCATTAATATTTTTTACTATGTTTGAATTATAATAAAATAACTAAAAGATAAATTAATTGAATAATACGTAAAATATTTTTGAAATAATGTATTTTTAAATATATAAAAATTAACTTTGATAAAAAAAATAAAAATAATAAAATATTGATTATTTTAGCATGATATTTAAAATAATGGTAATTATTTAGTATGATTGATTATTGATTAAATTTATTTTTAATTATTTAGTTTTTTTTTCTTTATATAAGATGTTTTATTTAATAGAAGTAATTATATTATTAATTATATTTAAGAGATTCATAATTATATCACTAAGAAAAATCAAATATTAAAAGTATTGAATTCGAAATTCTCATTCAAATGTCTCTAAAAACACTTCTCTTGTTTTCTCTAAATTTTAATCCTTAATTGATTCTTTCTGGAAGTTAGTTAAATAAAATTAAAGAAACTATTAATTAATCGATTTCGAATGTAATCTTAAAGATTTTTTCAAATTAGGAATAGATATTGGCTGAATATTTGATACTTTTTGCTTGATTCATCCCCAATAATCCGGTGAGTAACTTGGCCATTCAATAAATTTTTTTTTTAAATGAGAACAAGGGCAAAAGCCACATATATTACAAGCATACTATTAAAATAAAAATTAATTTAGAACCATAATATAAAAATAATTCATACTACAACTATCATATCCACCAAAAAATATTATAAAACCAACCATTGAAAAATTAAGATTGGTTTATTAAAAATTCTATTTATAACTCTTTTTATCAAGAAAATTTTACTTCAACAAAATATACCTATAAAAAACTAAATAAAAAATACACAGACTAAATTTTCAAATACACTTTAGTAAAAAATTTTTTCAAAAATATTCATTTAGGTTTTTATTTTAAAAAATATAAATATATAATTAAATAATCTTCTTATTATTCATATGTAATCCACAAATATTATTAATTTTACTAAAAAAATGAGTTATTTATTCTAAAATCTTATTTTATGAAGTTTAATAGAGGAATATAATTTTATAAAAAAAAAGAGAATTTAAATATTTTTTAAATATTTTAACATATAATTTTATATTAACATACATCAATAATCAGAAAAAAACTATAATAAATTAATACTTTAATTTAATTTTTATTCCATAATTTGATATCATTTCAATGAATTTGTTTATTATATTTACATGAATTAAGGTAAAAAATTTGGATTGCTTTAATCCATCATTTAAATAGCGTTTATGTCATCAGGATATGACTCTGACTATGCTTAACTCAAGTTTGTGTCAAATAAGTTTTTGTTTTTTTACTTTTTTATAAAACTTTATCTTTTATTTGATGATTTAATTTTTAATCCTATCAGCTGATCTATTTATTAAAAATATATTTTATTTTTAAAAAGGATCCATATATAAAATTACCTTTCTAGTATTAAGAAATAATATCGCTTTGATTTTAAGTTTCATTTAGCTTGAATATGCTTAAAGTTGAATGAGAATTTTAATTGGGAATAATATAAGGTGACTAAGTTTCAAATTTGAATTCTTATTTTTAGCTCTATTCAAGTTTCTAGATATTTTGTTATGCTTTAATAGCTGAAAATTATTAACCTAATTTAAAAAATCATTTAATTTATGAAAATAAATAAATTGGATATTTACTTATCTGGTTATTTAATACTGAAAACATTATTTCCTATCTTTTATCCAGGCTTAAATAGCAATAATTTATTAATGATCTTCTTATTTTTTCCCTCAATTTAGGGTTTATTTACTTCTTGCTGATTTATTATTATTTTTGCTTTTTAAATACTTTAATAGTTAAGAACTCAAATATTTTTTAAATTTTTTATTTGTATCCATGAAAAACTCTTGTTAATATGAAGCAAACGAAAGAAATATTAATTATAAATATCATTAGAACTGATATGATGACTAAATATTTGTAATCATTTTAATACATTAATAGGCAGAGATATATTGTTAAAGCACACACTTTAGTTGATAAGCTATCTATATAATTTTATTCATCTTCCTTGTAAGGTTTTAATTTGTTTGATATTATTCCATAAGCTGTTATTATCAAAATAACAAGTAATCCTTTAATAACAACATTCTGATAGTAAAAGTTAAGAGCAAGTATAATGGATAATTTTTGAGCTATTTTGATAAACTCCCAGTAATAAACATTAGATTTATATTCTCTATACAAGAACCCAAACTTCATATTAGTAAATAGGCTATCAAGTTTTGATCTATTTCTATAAATATGTACTAATAAAATAAAAGGAATTACTATCACCCATGAAATAAGGAAAGGAAAAACTAAGCTCATACTGTAAAAATTATACTGATCAGAGTTACATGTATAGTTAATGTTACTTAGTATGTAAGAGTTGTTTCCAATCTATCTACAAGAAAGTAGACTAATCATTTAAGAAACTAAATCAGGCTAAAGATACAGAAAAAGGAAAATTGATCCTGTATAAAATTGATAAATCTTAAATTTAACTGATTTTTCAAAGACAATTTATTTTAATTTTAATCCAAAAATAAACAAAATCAAAATTAATAAAGGCGTAATTAATGAGAATATGAGCTTTTAGTAAATCAAAGGTATATTTGTTTTAAAATCTTTAATTATGCAATTAAGAAAATCTGTTGATATTTTTATTGGAGCTCCAATGAATGAAAAGATGTTAATCAAATCTAAGTCATATCAATTAAAAAAATTTTATTAAGAAAAAAATAAATTTTTTAATATTAAGAAACTTATTTAAATATTAATAAATCTTCTAAATAAAAAAAACTTAACTGTTATTTAATAATAGAGAATAGTCAAATAATATTGATTTAATTTACATGATTCAATATTTAGGTTAAAAGCTACAGCCTAACTAACAATTTAAGCATAATTTGTAAATATTTTAATATAGTTTTTAGCAGACATATCTCCTTTAATACTTTTAAGAGTTTTTTAACTTTATTATGATAATACCATAGAATTAGAAGGTTTTTAAAAGTTTTACATACCTAGCTTTTAACTTTATCTTCGTATATTATTTATAAAAATATTTTTTAAAAAGAAGTTTTCATGATCTTGTACTGTAAAAAAGATAGAGAAAAGTATCCAAATATATGTAAGAACTATCTTCCAAGAATTATACTTTAATTCTTGGCACAATTGACACTAATATTAATTAGATCTTGTATAGCTTTTCCCCCAGAACTCGCCATAAATCTTAAGTAAAAAAATTAATCAAAAAATATTCATAAAAATTAAAATTACATCACATTCTTCACATAAAGGCCCTATATTTCCTTGAACACAAACACTATTTCCAAAAGAATTTCCTACACAATTTTACTATAAGTTGTGACATTAAATAATTTCTATACTTTTATCTTCTTTTCTCCAATATCCATTTTAAAGATAAACAACTCCATTATGACATTCTGCTCCTTGTGGACAAGAATAACATTCTTAAAAGTCCAACGAATACTTTTCATCATCACATACTTAACACTCAGTAAAATTATTATACTTATAGATGATTTCTCCATAAACACAATTCCTAAAATTAACATTGACTTCAAATGTATAATTGTTTTCATACTTCTGTGTATCGTTATTAAAAACTTTTATAGAATCAGAGACAAATTCAAGAATTGAATCTGAACCTGGAATACCAATCAAATCTATTTATTCAAAGACAAATACATTTTATTGAGGATCAATATTTACAGATGTATTTCCTCTGAAGTAATATAAAGAAGAATTAACAGTTTTTGAACTAACTTAAGCTTTTACTGTGAGTTATTATTATTAATTAATATATGTTATAGGTTTATAGCTACTGTCTTTTAGTTAAAATATGAGTTTGGGCATCTAGTTTCCACTTTTAAAGTTATTGATCTTTATTTTTTGATTATTATATGATGAAAAATTGTAATAATTAACAAGATAAAGCTGAGATGGATATGAAAATTAATCATCTCCATATATATATGCTTAGTTGTGAGAAATATTAGATTAATAAAACTTAGGATTGATTCCTTAATTGTATATTCCACCACCTATATTTGCCTAATTACTTTAGATTGCTGTTCTATTAATAAAAATAGTACTTAAAATAAAGTTTGTACCAAGTACCTCTATATATAAAGCACCTCCATAACCTGTATTAGCAATGTTATTTTTAAATTTTGAATCAACAATCGTAGTTTATATATTCTAAGAAAAAAAATATTTTATTATTCATTTTTAAATAATATTAAATTACATCATTTTCATTAGCTGTTAAGTAAATTGCTCCGCCATTAATTGCATAATTATTGTTAAAATTGCAGTCTTGTATTATATTTTCTTCATTACCTCCTTATATTGCAATGGCACCTCCATTTAACGCCTTTCAAAAAATACTTTAATAAATTTAATTGATATTATATTAAATACTTATGAATTTGTGAAGTATGTATTTGAGATATTGAATCTAGAGTTTACTAAAGATAAGCTAGAACCATAACACTTTTTGCTGCATATTATTTAGTTAAAAAATGTTTAATCTGATATCTCTAATTACGAAGCATTTAACTTAATCAAAGAATTCCCATAACTTTATTAAACAGACATATAGTTTTAAGGATGAGATCTATTTACAGTAGACAGATTGTTAAATTTACTTTAACTAATGAATAATTGACAATAAGCAGCATCTATTAAACTTATCCAAAAATATGATTACGAAATATTTAGTTTATTTATTATCACAATTGAGTCAACTGATTATATTAAAAGTGGTAAGATAGAATGATCTGATGAAGTTATGTTAAAAAAATTAGTATCCCTGAATGTAATATTCGAGTATTATGCCTATATTAAAGTTGGTGTGTAAAAAGTTTCAAAACCTGCCATTTAAGCCAATATATAAGGAAACTATTTAATTTCTGTATTTTTCCCATAGATATATTAAAATAAAACCTCAGAGTATTAGACGTTTAAAAATTTAGTATTTATGCCCCCTAAGACATTCGTCAATCTAATATCTACAAAAGAAAATTTATCTTAGTAGTCTGCTGTTCCTTAATTTTGGTTTCTAAAAAATAATTAAAAAAAGAGAAATGATATATTTCATAAATAAGTAAATAATATTATAAATATATGCTTTGAGTCCAGATTAAGATAATTGCGAGTGCAATCAAAAAAATTATTGCATAAAATCTAATCAGTTATGATTGATAAATAATTATCTCAATTTGGGTTTGGGCTCATAAATATATATAAATTTTTGTGAAAATGTAAATTACTGAATGGATATAATATTTGAGTTTTGAGAAAAAGTATAAACATCAGTAAAATTTGATCTAACAATGATAAATTTTATTTTTGAGTTTTGAGAATTTATGTAGATAGCACCTCCATCTGAATTTGAAAATCCTTAAGAAAACTATGATTAAGAAATCAAACTATTTATTTAATTGCTCAATGATTCCAAATATATAAAAGAAGCTATACTAGCTGTTGAATATGATAACTTAGACTGTGATAACTGAAATGTATTACATTTAGCTCTTATACATCCTCCTTATTAAATAAGCAAACTAGTTGTATCTAATAAATCAAAAGAAGAATTTGAAAACGAGCAATTATTAATAATCAAGATATTGCTCTGAACAAATATAAAATTGTAGAGAGAGTTAGATTTAGAATTATTAAATCTTGTTTCTTAAATTAAACTGCTTCCTAAAGAATTGATAAGTTAAATACCAGTCGTAGATTATGTTTAAGCATTAATATAACCATAGAGCACATTATCATGAAAATATGAAGACTATATTTCTATTTAAGAGCTATAGTCAGAGGATATAAATACAGGATTAGAATAAGAATTAGATAATGTTTATGTAAAGAAACTTGAAAATATTTCTATATTGGTTAGCAAGATTATGTTATTTTAATAGTTTTAGTTTATTATACTTATAATTTATTAGTCAGAGGCATTGATGAAGCTTGAATTAAATATATTTAGACTAAATTGGTTTACTTCTTTAAATAGCAAACAACCAGCATAATAATTAGAAATAGTGCTATTAAAATATTTTGCATCATTTTAACATGATATATTATATAGATTACTATTTTCAACATAAGAAGCTTTCAGAAAAGCTATTTCATTTTAATTTTTATAAATAATATTTTAAATATTAATATCCTTGATATTATCTATCAATATTAGTGATGTAGTATTTTAACCATTTTAATACTTTATTTATGAATTTGGTAAATACTAATTGTCTAATATGTAAATGTTGCTCACAAGAAGAGTATGCTAAGGAAGAGGGCTAAAGGCGTAAATTGCATTAAGTAATAAATATGGAGCAGTTGTATAAAATATATTTGATATTATAGTTATATTTTAAAGTTATAGCGTAATATTTTGTTGATTAATATTTGAAATTATTGAAAATATTTATTAATTACAAAATTAGTTTTCAATTATTTATATATTGCTAACATTAAACTGTCCTGCTTAAAATAACTATCCAACAAAATTAGAACCTGAATTTTACTATTAATCACATGTGTTGTTTTGAATAACCATTTGATTGATTGTTATGTTTGTATTGCTCATCTATCTTAATATGCTAAAATAACTATTTAGAATAGAATTCTAAAGTGTAAAATTTTGGATAATAATCTTTTATTTAAAAATAAAATATATTAATTATATTTTAAGGACTAAATATATTACCTGATTTGAGTTACTGACAAGAATTAAATCTTAAAAGTTTGAGAAATCAACAAACGATATATTTATGTCTTAAATTATAGCAGAAGAATTATTGATATACAAAGAATAGCAATTATTGTTCTAACCATCAAACTGTTAATTATAATTGATATTTTCGATGATCGCCCATTAAACTACATCTGTTATCTTTAATCCACAATAGGAATTTAAATCATATTATTACAATAATATGTATTATATTATTAAATTTTATAATTTTAACATCTTAAATTACTTAAATTCTAAAATATTAATAGTACTGATTTCAGCTTATATTTATTAATCAATGCTCTAAATTGTCAAATTAATTAAACTCCCAAAATCAATGTTTATCAGCTCTTAAAATATTTGAAATGAATATCTTGGGTTTATATAAATTTTTATATTTATCTATTAGACTTAATTAACTAGGTCACAATATTATTGGAGCTTATTTTCATAAATAAATTATTTTAATTATAATAAAAATAATTATTATTGAATTTATTTAACTTCAAAAAATATCATAATAATTTTCATTGTTAATTTATTAAAAGAAAATTTTTGTGCTAAAATTGAATATTAATTTTTTTTTTTGAGATTTTTCAATAAAAGAAATTTTATGGTTTTAATTTTTAATTTATATAAAAGTGATATTTACTTGTAAAAAGGAAGTAATTAAATTTTTTGAGCTTTAAAATGGTGATTCAGCTGTTCCTAGTCCATATAAATTATTTGATTATTAGATTTCAGTAGAACTAAAATAAAAATCCATCTCACAACTTAAGCAATTTTATATATCTTCTAAACATGATCCAATAGGAAAAAAATAATTACTATAGTAATATTAAATGAAAAGAATTTAAGAATCAGCTAAATAAGTGAGATTAATTGTTTCATCTTTGTATTTTACAGTTTAGATTTGCAAAAAAAAACTAAATTATTCTCTGACCTGATCAAATTAAAATAAATAGACATTTCCTGTATCTTTTTCACCAAAACCAATAAGCTAAATGTCCTCAAATGAGTTTACATGATTTGATGATGAAGACATTTTAATTAATAATTATGTATCTCCAGTATTTAGGTTAAAACTTATAACATTATAGTTATCACAAACAGCTATCAAATAAATAATATTGCGATTATTGTATAATTAACCTATAGGAGAATTATAGCACTAAAAAGCAGCTTTATTATTTATTAAAGAAATATTTAATACTATTTAATGATTATTGAAATAAAATATTTACTAATTGATTTTTTAAATTTAAATTAAGTAATATTTTATGAATTCCAAACATAAACGTTTGCAAATACATCTATTCCAACTATTTACTTATTCTGATCTGAATATAAAGCATAGCATGTTTAATTTAAATTATCATCGCTATTGTCTGAAGATAAAGTTTAGAAATTCAAATTCCAAATATCAATTATCCAAAATAAAAATGTTTCATCATTATCCTTAAATGGCAATCCAAACACTACCCAAAGATATTTATTTTAATCTAAAAATGAGACTATAACCTAACTAATTCTATTTATAGATAGATTCAATGAGCTTAAATCTAATATCTATAAAGATTTTAACAATTATTTATTTGCAATAAATTATATTACTTTCTTATTTTAAGTTTCAAAAATCTCAATTTAATACATCATTTGTGAACCCACTAAAACTATATATCCATTAGGATAGTTTTAGATTTAAATAAAGCTATTTTATTTATTAATAATATTCTCGTTGTATTAAACCTACCAAACTATATTTCCAGAAGGTTTATCCTAAGTTACTTTAACTGTGTTCAATAATGGTGTTACATAATAATAAGTTTGATTCAAATTAATTAAAAATATTTTTGCCCAACCAGTAGATGTATAATCTATTATTTTAAATTATTTTGAAAAAGGTTATTAAATCTGATAAAATGATAAAATAAAATTCAATATTAAAATAAATTAAAATTAATAATTATAAAATAAATTAAATTTTTTTCTAAAAATATTTTCTTTACACTAACGCTATGTAAATGTATTGTCAACATAGGAATAAAGAAATGTGTAAGACTATCCTAGAATATTGTTTTTCAGTGGTAAAATTAATTATTTGTTTTCTTACAAATAATACCAAAATGTAAACTATATTCCTTCAGTCTATATAGGAAAAGGATGATTAGCCATCTGATAGGTCAAAGAATATATATTTTATTTAGATTGATTCATGCTTATCTAAAAATCTAATCTAAATATATTTCTGGAGTCACTAAGAAATAAACTTTATTTTTAAAATGAAAAAAATCCGGTTTTAATAAGTTTGACATTTAAGAAGTCATCTGTTGCATTCATTAAGACTATTTTTTAAATTAAAAAAGTGGTTTATTTTTGTTTAGTTACATTTTTATACTTAAACTTTGTAATATTTCAAATCTTCCTGTACTTAAATCTATGATTTACATAATATTTATTAAGTAACCTTTACCTACAGCAAATATAATATTTTAATTTAAAGCTATATCGATATCTATGTATGCAGTGTTAATGCCTTGTTTTTCTAAAAAAAATTTAAAATTGGTTATTTTTCATATGAATAAGTAGAATTTACATGGCTCTGGTAAGTAATTATGATAACTGATTTACTATGTTGTTATATTAAATGACCATGCCTAGAAACCTTAATTATCTTTTAAAGCTATTAGTAGCAAATCATTTTGTAATAAGAAAGTTTTTGGAAATTAAAGTAAATTATTAAGATTATAATTAAAATAGCATGTGTCTTAAGAAAATATCTACTTTAGTTAAATTACGTCTACTATATAAAACTTACATATTTATATAGTAAGGACTGCTAAATCTGTGCCTTAAATCAAACTAAGAGCTGTAGCAGATCTGAAAGTTAGATAATTCAGTCTTTAGAGTGTGTAAACATTTGCAGTGATAAGCTAATTAGGACTAACAATTAGAATTTAATTAGTTTTGACAACAAACTCCATTTACAATATGATGTAATCAGCTTTTTAAATAAAAATATGAGTAAAAAAAAATAAAAAATAATTGTTTACTCTTAATAGCATTAATAATATTGTCAAAATTCTTAGAAAGATCATCATAATATACTATACTTGATTATTCTTAACTTGACTCTTAGGATAATGTGTTAATCAATAGTAAATTCGTATTCGGTATCTTTAGAAAGTTAGTAATGATATTCTATTCTAAGTAACGAGGCACTAAATATAATAAAATACTAAATATCAAAATGATTATTTCTTCAATTTACTATGTTGAATATTAAAGCTAGGGCATTTTTATGCCAAAATAACTCCGAGCAATTGAAAGAAAAGAAAATTCCATTAAATTTTTAAATAAATATTAACCATCTATCTTCAACTTTTTTTGCATTAAATAATTCTTATAGAAACTACTGAAAAACTTATTTAAAAGTGTAATTAAATTAATTATTATAAGTGCTTACTTTATCACATTTATTTTTATTTTATTATTATTAAATGCATAAAAGCAAAAATCAATCTTATTAATATATCATGATCAAATAGTATGATCATACCCTAAAAAATAAAAAAACATTTTAAAGAGATTTCTATTAAATTATGCCCATTTTAAAAATATGGGTTTTTGTTGTTTCCATATTAATTGCATATTTTACTTATATAACAAAATAATTAATGGTCTGTTTTCTAAATTTTTTATTAAAAATAATTAATAAATAAAAGCATGTTTTGATTTTATCCTGATAATTTGTTACTTTAAATCAGAGAATTCATTTTTAAATAATATTAATTTTATTAAGGACATTTGTCAAACATTTAAATTTTTACTGGAAAAAACATAAATATTTTATAGACACTTTATAATTTGAAATTATCAAATACGTTAACAATAAATAGAAAATTAAATTTCATAATCCTGAAGTTTTTTAAACATGCAAAGCTAAATCAAGAAGCTTGTTTGAAAATCCCCATTCATTATCATACCAAGATACAACTTTAAAAAAATTATTGTTCAGACCAATTCCTGCTTTTGAATCAAAAATAGAAGTTCTCTAATCATGTACGAAATCTTAAGATACTACTTCATCTTTTGTATAACCTAAAATTCCCTTTTTAATTTTAATGTATTTAAACAAATTAAAAAGGGAGACAAATAAATAATAAATTACATTAAGCTCACCTTTAGAAGCTTCTTCCATAGCCTCACAAATATTTGCATATGTAGTTTTTTTTTCAAGTCTAACAGTTAGATCTACTACAGACACATCAATAGTAGGAACTCTAAATGACATCCCAGTAAGTTTTCCTTTAAGATTTGGTAGAACCAGACCAACAGCTTTTGCAGCACCTGTAGAAGAAGGAATAATGTTAACCTTTGCAGCTCTTCCAGCTCTCCAATCTTTTCCTCCTTTTGAAGGACCATCAACCACTTATTGAGAAGCTGTTGTAGCATGCACAGCTGTCATTAAACCTTCTACTATACCAAAATTTTAGTCAAGTACCTTAGCGATATTTGCTAAACAATTTGTAGTGCAAGAGGCATTAGAAATGATATTTTAAGAAGGTATATAATTATTATGATTGACACCAAAGACATAAGTAGGAGTATCATCTTTAGAAGGTGCTGATAAAATAACTTTCTTAGCACCTCCTTTTAAGTGAGCTCCAGCTTTATCTTAAGTCAAAAATAATCCTGATGACTCGCATATAAAATCAGCTCCCACTTCACCCCATTTTAAAGCAGCAGGATCCTTTTCTTTAAACAAGACAATAGAATTTCCATTTATTTTAACAGTATGTTCATTAACCTATTTAAAAATAAAATTAAAACAGATAAAATTTAACTTAAATTGAAGTTTAAGTGCATATATTATTCAAAGTAAATTTATTAGAATAGAATAAAATAAAAATAAGCATTAAAATATAGATTTGAAGGGTATTTTTATGCATTTGTTAAAATTATTGTAATTATTCTAACTACCTTTTCAATAGTGCCAGGAAATTTTAGATGAACTGAGTCATATTTTAATTAATAAATTAAATAATCAATATCCATAGAAGGATCATTAATTGCAACAGGTGTGATCAAATTAGATTTATTTTCAATAGCAGCTCTTAAAACTAATCTGCCTATTCTACCAAATCCGTTTATACCTATTCTTAAAGACATATTGATTAGTAATTAATTTATTTAATTTATTATCTATAATGCTATTCTTTAAATTAATTAAATAATTATTTTTTTAGATACAAGTATTGATAATTTAATATATGTATTTGTCTATAATTAACATTTTTAATGAATTATATTATCAATTGACTTTACAGTCCATTTAAAATAGATAATTTAAAAAACAAAAAATATAAAATCTGATGAATAATTCTTAAAAAAATTGTAATAACAGGAATAAAAAAAATATATTGCTAGCCTGCTAAAATTATTAATTTTATTGAAATAAAAGCATAAAATATTTAAATTTGATATGTAATAAATAATTAGCACAGTTAAATGATAAATAAATAAATAATTATTGCTTAGTTACCTGGTTATTCTTAGCTTTTTAGTTATTTTGAAATAGAAGTTTAATGAAATATAAACGATCTAGAAATAAATTATCTACTTACATTTTTTTAGAAACATAATACACCCAAAATCTTAGAAAAGAACATAATTTTTTCTTTAAATTTTCTATGGAAATAATATAGATTAAAAATTAAAAATAAATACTAAAATTTTTTATTCATTAGTGTAAAATTTTTCAAAATAGAAATAATTTAACTTTATAGACAGTTTTATAAATTTTATAATAAGAAATTATGAGAGAATAAAAATAAATTGTATTTAAAAAATAAATTAATAAAATTAAAGAAACCTTTGCTATCTAATATAACTTTAAAGCATAAACCATAATTTAATAGTAAAATGGTAGAATGCTTTGAATAATTAATGTTATCTTTTTATAAAATCAAGCATCTTCAAAAATCACCTATTCTAATTAACTATATCTTTTGAAAAAATATAATACCATTAAGTAACAACTGTAAAATCTGGCCCTTAAGAAATACTTATAGAAGCTAAATCTCCTAAATTAACATATTTATTTAGGAGAGTGCATAAATTTCGGCAGTTATTAATATGTTAGAACTCAAAAGAGTATTTAATTGGTTTATATAATGTATTCAATTTACAATAATGGATAAATAGCTTTTAAAATAATATAAATAGTATTAACTAGAGTAATTGAGCAATTATTTGCATATAGTGATATTGAGGAGTTTTTAGCCTCACTACAAATATCATCATAATAAAATCTAGTACTATAATTCGTCGATATAAGTGTCCAAACTGAAATACCGAAGAACTCAATATGTTAGCCATGTAAAATTTAATAAAAATTATTTTATAAATGACAAGAAAAGTACCAAATACAAAAATCACAGATACAATAACTAATAAAAGCTAAACTAAGGTCTTTTAGATAAAATGAAATAAGTACTATCCATATTACAAATACTATAAATATTATAAATACGTGTAACCATTTATAATTCAAAATATATTATATGCTATGAATCTAAAAAATGGAATTATAATCAATTTTAATTAGTATATTTTTAATATAAAATTAAATTTGGTAATTTCAATATTTTTTATTTATTCTGTATATTCATAAATTATTTTTTTTTATACTTCGCTCTGTTATTTAAAAATCTTAATTCACTTATTATTCAGCATCTAACTACTTTATTTTAGATCTTTCATGAAATGGATTTTAAATATTTATTCTTTTATTTAAATTTATTTATGATTTATCAATTTTATTGGTGAATTGCATAAATTTAGTTTCTAATTCTGTCAATTTTTCTGTTTTTTAGATTTATTTAAAATATTATTATAAATAGTCTAAAAATAAGTAAATAAATTTATACATATTTTGCTTTAAGAAATTATGAAATTTTAACTTTATGTCTCCCATATTTGGTTTTATAAAGTTGACAAAGATTGCAAATCAGAACTTTAGCTATTATATGGTACTTTGCCTTATTTATCAAGCTATGAGAATAGATTAAGCATTTACACATTTGAGTTTTCTTTTAAGCCTACTTATTGGTTAAAAATTAAGTATGTTAATAATTAAATTAAATACTAAAGTTAATAAAAATTACTTGTTTAATGATTATATAAAAGAAGATTGATGCTCAATTTATTATCTTTACTAAATGATTAATAATTTAACAGAATTCTTCTTATCTTTTTCTTTAATTCTTTATTTATTTGTTTTTTTTCAATTTTTTGTTCTTTTTTATGTAATAATTTATTTTTCAGATAAGAAAATATTTTTAATAAACTATGTTTCTTACTATCAATTACTCTTATTAAAATGGTTATAACAAAATAAATATTAATTATTAAGATTATGATTAAAGAAATAATCAATAAATAATTGTAATCATTTCCGCTTATAAAAACACAAAGAAATACTGTTAAAGCGCATACCTTTGTGGATAAGCTATCTAACTAATTGTAGTTATCTTCTAAGTAAGGTTATAATTTATTTGCATATAATCCATAACCTGTTATAATCAATGTTATAATACAGCCTTTTACAATCTAATTCTGATAATAAAGGTTAAGTACAAGTATTATTGATATTTTTTATGCTATTTTTATGAACTCCCAATAATAAACATTGCTTTTGTACTCTCTGTACAAGAAGCCAAATTTCATATTTATAAATAAACTATCTAAGTTTTTTTTATTCTTTTTAATGTAAACTAATAGAGCAAAAGGAATTATTATAACCCATATAATTAAGAAAGGAACTATTAAGCTCAAGCTATAATATTTATAGCTGTATGTATAGCATTCATAATTGATATTACTTAGTATGTAAGAGGTGTCCCCAATTTATCTACATGAAAGCAGACTTATCATTTAAGAAACTAAATCTGGTTAAAGATACAAAAATAAGAATATTGATCCTGTATAGAGTTAGTGTATTTTAAATTTGATTGATTTATCTACAAATTTTTAGTTAAATTTCAGGATAAAAGCAAATAATGCTAAAATAATAAAAGGAGAAATTAAAGAAAAAATTAACTTCTTGTAAATTTAAGGTATTTATATTTAACTATCTTTAAGAAAACATTCTAAAAAATCAATAGATGTTTTTATTGGAGTTCCTAAATATGTAGAAACTTCTACAAAATCTATTTATTATTTGGTAAAATTAAAAAAAATAATTTTAAAAAAATAATAAATAAATTACATGAATCAAGGTTTAAGTTGAATGAGACTGTAGTACTAACTATTTGAACATAGTTTGTAAAAATCTTAATATAATTTTTAGATAAAATTTTTTATTTTGAGTTTTAAAGCTTATTTGATCTATCCTTTTAACTAAGATTATCAATTTTATAACTTTCGTATTGGATTTTTTTCGATTTTTTGCGAATGTTGTTTATCAATATTCTTTTTAAGAAAAAACTCTCATCGTTCTTAACAGTAAAAAATATAGAAATTGTAATCCAAAGAAAAGTAAGAGCCAGTTTCCAAAAATCATATCTAATACTTTCACATAACTCACACTAAAACTTTGAACTTCTTGTATAGCTTTTCTACCAAAACTCTCCATGAATCTTTGTATAAATAAATATTTTTAAAAATATTATCAAATTAATTAATTAATTAATTACATCACATTCTTCGCATAGTGGTCCTATATTTCCTTAATGGTAAACATTATTTCCAAATGATGTTCCTATACAATTCTATAATCTATTATAGCATTATAATATTTATAAACTATGCTCTTCTTTTCTCCAAAATCCACTTTAGAGATTAACTAATCCATTTTAGCATTATCCTCCAGAAGGACAGGAATAACATGCTTCAAAATCTAATGAATATTTACCATCCTCACAAGTTTAACATTCTTTATAATTGTTATACTAATTAATGATCTCTCCATAAACACAATTCCTAAAATTAACATGCACTTCAAATGTATAATTATTTTCAAATGTTTATGTTTAATTGTTAAATATCTTTATTGATTCTGAAATAAATTCTATTATCAATTAGGAATTAGGAATACCTATCAAATCTAGATCATCAAATATAAAAATATTTTTGATAGGATCAATTTATTAGATAGTATTTCCTCTAAAATAATATTGAGAAGAATTTACTGTCTTTGTACTTATTCTTATTTGAGCTTTAATTTGCTATCCTTCAGTATATATTACAGGTTTACTGCTATTATCTCTTAGCTCAAAGATAAATTTAGGAAATTTATCACCACTTTTAAAATTGTTAAATATAATTTAATTCTAATTTTAATGTTAATATTAAAAACTTTGATAGTTGACATTATAAAGTTATGTTGGATAAGAAAATTAATCATTTCCATAATACAAAGCCTAATTAAATGAAATCAAACTTTTTTCTATTTTAGGGTTTACTCCTTAATTATAAATTCCACCACCTATTATAGCCTTGTTATTACTAATTTCAGTATTTTAAATCATTATCTATTATTAACTTGAGTTAACAGTTTATGCCAATATATAAAAAGCACCTCCATTACCTTACTCAACTGAGTTTTCTCGAAATTAAGATTCAACAATTTACATTTTGAAAATCTAAAATAAAAATAAATTAAATGGATAAAAATTAATTTTAAATAAAATTAAAATATCAGTAAAATAAAAATTGATTAAGTATCATATTTAATTTAAGCTTTTTAAAAAATAATTTATATTAAATAAAATTATTACATCATTTATATCAGTTTACAAATAAATTGAACCTCCATTTTTTATTGCTGTATTTTAAAAAAAGCTCGAACTTTGAATTAAATTAGTCATTTGATTATTTCCTAAGATCGCTATTGCTCCTCCATTAACTGCCTAATGAAATAAAATGTAAATAATTAAGATTAACTTGCTATTTATTTATACCATAGTCAAATATAATATATTTTACACGAACCCTCATTTGTACTATATTTACACCGTAACGTAATTATACTCCATTTACATCAACCTCAAATTTTATTTCTTTTACACTATACCCATACAATTAAGGGTTGATGTAAATATAATATAATAAGTGTTGGCGTAAAAGAAATATAATTTGAGGTTGATGTAAATAGAGTATAGTTAGGGTATGGTGTAAAAAGAGTAAAAAAGATGGTTTGTGTAAAATAAAGGAAATTAAGAAATAATGGTGTAAATAAAATGCAAGTTAATCATAACTAATTTTATTGAGAAAAAATTACTTTATTTTATTTGAAATAGGTGTTTTATATACCAAAATTTGAGTAAACTAAAGATAAACAAGAGCCATAGCAATTCTAAGTGCAAATAATTTCACTAAAAAATGAGTTATCATTTATCAAAACACTAGATCTGTTTAATTAAATCAAAGAATTATTTTTAATTTATTAAGTTAAAGCATTATTTTCAAGAATCCTTTGAGGTTTTATTTAAAACATATTATTGAACCTGCTTTGACTAATCTCTAATTTACTTTATGTGATATCTATTAGACTTGGTTAAAATTAACATTTCGTTGCATTTAATTTTTTTACTAAGATAGTTGAATTTATCGATTTAATTAAAAGAGGTAGAGACGATTCCTAGGAAGAAATCAAATCATAAAAATTTGTATTATTTATTTTAATGTTTGAATTTTCAGAATTAATAAATGTGCATGCTTATATATTATCTGGAGCAAGTATTTTTGAAAATTGAATAGGATAATCATAATTTTACATATTATTGAAAGATGTTAAATTTTAAATAATGATATCAGCATCATTTGCATTAAAAAAAATAGAATCTGTGTTTCCTAAAATATTTGTTAATAAAGCATTGTTTAAAGTGAAATTATAGAGTCTTCCTAACTGACCTTATGTTGCTTGATTCCTTTAAATTAAATATTTTTATTTAATTTTTTTTTAAATAATAAATTACTTAATTGAAACTACACTTGATGATGGATAAAGTGAGTAAATATCAGTAAAATTACATTTATTTATACTCAAGCTTATATAAGAATTCTAAGAATTTATGTATACAGCTCCTCCATCTAAGCTAGAGTAACCTTAAGAAAATGAAGTATTTAAGAATATATTATCCATTTAGTTACTTAGTGGTTCTAGGTAAACAAAAGAAGCAATACTAGCAGTTGATTAAGAGAATATAGAATTATACAATTGAAATGTATTTGATTTTATTCTTAGACATCCTCCTTATTGTATGAATAATGCTGTGTTATCCTATAAATCATAAGAAGAATTTGTAAATGAGCATCTATTTATATAAGTGTTGTTGCACTATATAAATGCAAAATTATAGTGAGAATCTGACTTAGAATTGCTAAACTATGTGTCTTAAATAAGCATATCTCCTTGAGAATTAATTATCTAAATAGCTGTTGTTGACTAAGTTAAAGAATTGACGAAACCATTGAGAGTATTGTCATAAAAATTAGAATTTAATATTTAAATATTAGAGACTTAATCACAAGCAATGAACAATGGGTTCGAATAAGAATTTGGTAATGTTTATTTGAATGAAGAACTAAATATTTCAATATTATTTAAGTCAATCAAATTGTTTTTGTAATTGATATTTTAGATAATTATGACAGAATTATCAACAGCATTAATATAACTAGAATTAAATAAATTCAGGTTAATTTAATTAACTTCAATAAAATATAAACAACCTGCATACATTTATTAAGTTTTTTTTGAATTTTAATAAAAATTTTAATCATTAAGACATGATATGTTGTATAATTTACTAACCTATGATTATGAAGCTCTTAAAAAAGTGATTTAGTCTTAATTTTTAGATGATATATTTTTGGCAGTTATATTTGCTATTTTGTCTAATAATATTAATGAAGTTATGCTTAAATTATTTGTATATTCATTTTAAATATTTGGAAGATACTAATTATCTGATGTGTAAATATTACTTAATTATAGAGAATGCTATGGTAATGGATTAAAGGTATATATTGCGTTATAAAATAGATGTGAAGTTATTGTGTAAAATTTGTTATATTGTATGATAATATTATCAAACAAAATATTATAGTTTTTCTGATTTATAGTGCTAATAGTTGAAAATATTTTTGAATTACAAAATTGATTTCCTATGATTTGCATGTTACTGACATTAAATTAACCTGCTTGAAAGAGTTAGCCTACATACTGCGAATTTGCATTTTATTTTATATCACAGATATTGTTTTGAATAATCATCTATTTGATTGTTATACTAGTTTCACTTAACTACTTTACAATGCTAAACTAACTGTTTAAAATTGAATTTTCAAGAATGAAATTATCTAACACAAGCTTTTTAATTATTTTAAAAAAATATTTAGTTTATTTTTTAATTACTAATATTATGATTTACCTGCTTTGAATCACTAACTTAAATTATATCTTAAAATTAAGAAAAATCTTTATTTGATATATTTAGATTTTACAAAGTTACAGAGGAATTACTTATTTGAAGAGAATAGCAATTTTAGGAATATGTAGCATTCGAAGACTAATAGTCGATATTATCAATATTTACAATTCCAATTATATTATTTATTTATAATCCACACTAATAAATTTAGTTATCCAAATATTTAAAATAGAATATTATATTTTATAAATATAAAGAATTAAATTAATTAAATTAAAGGCTATTTGTAATATTTATTTAAGATTATTTTAAAGGATCTGCACTTCTTATCATTAATTATATTACATTACTAAATTAAATATCTAACAATTCTTGAAATAATTTCAAAGAATTTTCTGTGTGAATATAAATATTGATGTTAATCTTCTAAATCCCATCTATTAATTGATTATATTGCTATGCCTGATTATTTTTTTATAAAATTTTATTCATATTTTATGAATTTTAATATGGAAATAAAATAATTTGCTCTTTATCATTATACCTTTTTAATGGTTAATTTTTTTAAGGTCAAACTTTGTTAAACTCAATTTATCAAAAGTCAATTAAAGAAAAAAAATATTGGTTATTTTTAGTAAAAAATAAATATTTATTCTAAGGATTGATTATAAATTTTAATCTTTTAATATGAATTATTTATTAATTTAATTAAATTATAGAAAATTTAATAAATAAAATGTGTTTTATATACCCTTGATAAAAATTCTTTAAAGTATCTTTTTGTCAAGTATAAGGTTTTGAATTTCAAACTTAAAATTCTAATTATTATTTATTTTAATAAATTAATTTACCAGTAAAAAGGTTGTTATCAAATTTTATGAACTTAAAAATGGAGATTCACTTGTTCCTAGCCCAAATAAATAATCTTATTGTTAAGTTTCAGTTGTTTTAAAATAAAAATCCATCTAACAATTCAAACAATTTTAAACATTTTCTAAGCACATTCCTATTGGTAAAAAGTTGTTACTGTAGTAGTATTAGATAAAGAGCTATTGAGAATCAGCTAAATAACTTAAATTTATTGTTTTATCATTATATTTAATGGTTTATATTTTAAAAAAAGACTCAAAATTCTTGCTATTTTAATTATATCTAAATAAAAATACACTTCCTGTATTGCTTTCTCCAATACCAATCAATTAAATATCTTCAAAACAATTAATATGAAGTGAATCAGAAGACATTTGAATTAGTAGTTAAGTATCTTCTGTATCTATATTAAAACTAATTACCTTATGATCATCACACAGTACAATTAAATAAATATTGTTGCCATCATTATATAATTGACCCATTACCGATTTATAACATTAGTATTTAGCTTATTTTTAATTAAGTTAATAAGTTAATAAAAAATAAATTATTTACTTATTGTCTTTTTATATTTAAATTTATATTAATTTAGTGAATCCCATACATATACATTTCCTAATACATCTAATCCTACAAGAGAATGATTTTTTTCTGAATATAAAGCGTAACAAGTTTTATTCAAATTGTCATCTAAATTATCTGAAAACAAAGTTTTTGCCTTTTAAATTTTAAAATCAATCATCCAGAATAAAAAATTTTCATTATTGTCTTTATAAGGTAAACCTGTAATAAACCAAAGAATGTTTTCTTAATCCATAAACGAAGTCAATACATAACTCATTCTCGCCAAAGTAACATTAATTTAACTTAATTTAAAACTCTTAAAATATAATTATTTTAATTTATCTTTGAGACTGAATAAATTTACTTACTTAAATATTTTGATTTGAAAATATCTCAAAATAGCTTATTGATTCAGTATCCATCAATCCAAAAAAACCTTTAGGGTAATTTTGAACTTAAATAAAATAGTTTTCTTTTCCAAATATGTTGCCTTCAGGAAAACTTGTATACCATATAACATCACCATCAATTGTATTTTATATAACTTTAATTTAACATTAACAAACTGAGACAAAATAATTTATGTTATTTTGATTAACTGGAAATATTTTTATCCATCCATTAGCATAGTAAACTTTTTTTTTAAAAATTAATTTATTTCTTAAAGTAAAAATGAGTTAAATATTATTTAATATATAAGATCACAATTATTAAGTTTTAAAAATTAAAAAAAAATTTAAAATATTAAGAGAGGGGAAGTAGTAAAATATTAGTTTTAAATTACTATTAATCTTAACTAAATAAATTGAAAGACGACTCCTTCATTAATAACAATTATTGGTATTTTCCCCTCCCCAAAATAGAAGATAATTTAATTAAAAACCTTGTTTAAAGTATGAAATTATTTAATAAATATTACATTAACGCCTTATAGTTTTATTATCTTGATAAGAAAAAACTAAACTATATGTCTAGTATGAAAAATTATTATCCATAGGTATCAATAACTATTTGTTTTCTTAAAGGTAATACCATTTAGTGTACTAAGTTCCTTAAAAACGTACAGGAAAATCCTAAGTAGCAAATACAAAAGTAAGAGAATCTATTGATTATGTTAACTAATTCCCTATAATGGTAAAATCAAGTCTGAATAAGGAGTTAGGGTCACTCATAAATAAGCTAAAATTCTATTTAGATTATTCAGTAAATTAAATAAATTTAACATTCCAAAAATTATTGCCCCAATCCATCAAATCTATTTTTTAAGAAAATAATTATATCAATAATATTCAATTAAAATAAATCATTTCTACTCATTTATTTTAATACAGTAAATTAATTCAAACTTAAATCTCCAATTTATAAAATGCTAAGTAAGTAATAATCGCCAACTAAAAATATCAAATTCCAATCATAATAGAAGTCTATATCTGAATACCATGTGTATGTAACTATTTATAAATTTAGAATTTAAAAAATTTAAATATTATTAAAATATAGTATACATGGTTTTGGGAGATAATTATGATATTGAAGTTAGTATGTTGTTAAATTTAAAGACCAAGCTTGAAATCCAAAATCATCTTTTATTGTTATAAAAATTTTCCCATTATTAAGGATTTATGTTCTTGGATATCTAAGAAAACTATTAACATTATAGTTATAGTAGCAAGCATCTTCAGAATATATCTGTTTAAACTAAACAACATCAATTATGTAGAATATACAAGCTCTAGTGGTTAAAATAGCTAAGTCAGTGCCTTAAATAAGGCTTACACCTGTTGGATTTCTAAATATGAGGAACTTTACTATCTCTAATGTATAAACATTTGCTGCTATTAGCTGATTTGGACTAACAATTAGAATTTAATTATTTTTCTAAATATACTCCATTTATACAATTGTATAATCAGCTATTTTGTAAAAAAATTTTTAAAGTCAATAAAATTTATGGATAATTTACGCTTGATTGCATTAATGATGTTGTCTTCATTTTTCGAAATGTCATCGTAATACACTACATTAGATATGTCATTTGCTCCATATTTATTACTAGAAAGAGTAGTGATTAAGATAATATTTGTTTTTGGAATTTTTAGATAACTTTATATCTATTGATTATCGTAGAAGCGAGCCACTTAAATAAAAGAAATGATATTATATATATTTAATATTTATTAAGTTACTGTGTTGAATAGAAAATTTTGGACACTAGGATGTCTACCCTGATAAGACATAATGTAATAGAAGATAAATTAGTTATAAAAATGATGCTTTGAAATTCATTCTTTTATTTTTTTTTGTCTCTCCTTCTCAATCTCTTAAAAAACTCTACTTGTTTTATCTAATTTTGTTAACTAATAATTTTTTTAATAAAAAATATGTTTGTTTGTTAGCTTTAATATTTAGAAAACCATAAGACTAAAGTAATTAAAGAAGATAAAAATTATTAAAAATTTTAGATTTCAGTATTTTGATGACCCTGTAAATTTTCCCCACAGAGTAACTTAAAATCAAAATTAGGCTAGACATATAGTTTTGTTTTTTCTTATCAAGATAATATAATAATAACGTGTTAATTTAATATACAGCTCCAGCAACGAATTTTTACAAAATTTTATAATTAATATGTTACAGTAAATATAATTTATGACAATCAATAATTAATTACTTATACTTGTTTTTCAATTAATATAATATATATGATTCAGGGATATAATTATGAAATTCAAGTTAGTATTTTGCTAAATTTAAAGATCAAACTTGAAATCAAAGTTAATCTTTTATTTACTACAAAAACTAACTCATTTTTTAATAAAAATATTTCTTGATAAGCAAGTAAATTAACAACATTATAATTATAGCCACAATTATCTCCAAGATATTTCTCTTTAATATAAATAACATCAATTAAGTAGGTTTACAAGCTCGAGTTGTTAAAATAGTTACTTCTGTGCATAAAGTAAAGCTTACACCTGTTGAAGATCTAAATAATAGTAATTTTATTATCTTTAAAGTATTAACATTAGATGCGATTAGCTGATTTTGACGAACAATTAGAATTTAATTATTTATTTAAATATACACTATTATAAAACTGCATAATCAGCTATTATGCAAACAATTTTTAAAGTCTATACAATTGATTATTAATTTACTCTTGATTGAATTAGTGATATTGCCTTAATTTTTTATACTTTATCGCAATACACTTAGCTTTTTATATCATTGATTTAATTAAAAATAAATATAAATTATTAAATATTATTTATTTATCTAGTGGTTTGGAAATGACTAGATTTTTAAATGGCATTCTGCTTTTTTTAAAAAGATTGGTTATTTTTAAAATTATATAGCTCGTTACTTAGTATTGAGCTTTTGCTGTGAATATTAGTAATATTAAAAGCATAAAAAATTATAATTTTACTTATTATAATATGTTTGTATTAACATTAGTTTCAGTATATTAAAATAAATTATTTGGTGTTATGTAAACAACCATTGACTTTAGTTAACAAATATTATAATAGGTATATTTCTAATTACTAATTCAATTTAAAAACAAAAACTTTATATAAATTAATATTTTATTAAGGTAAATATAAAAATTTTAGTTAATAGTTCAAATATATCATGTTCTTTATGTGTAAAGAGAATTTCGTTTAGCATCATGTAGTCTTTAGATTTTTTTTATTATTTCAGTTTCTTATTTGAGATAAATTTGATAAAAAATTAAATAAAATTGAGTTTATCTTAATAAATACCTTATTATGAATTAAAATACTATCATAAAACAAAAAACATCAAATATTTTGAGCTAACTCACTATCTTAGCCTTTTTGATTTTTTATGCTAATTATTCAATTTATGCATACAGAAATAAGTAAACAATTTCAATCCTGTTATATATTGTACTTTCTGTATCATGGCTTATGATTGTTCTAATAATTTAATTACATCACAATACTATATAAATATAGTCTTGATTTAAAGTTTAATAAATATATTAACATAAATAAAATAACTTAAAATATTAGGATTACTTTTTAACTTTTGCCAAATTATTTTTTTAGTTTGTCTTTTTATGAAAAATGTTGCTATTTGAATATTAAAGATGAAGTAAAAAATATTGCTGAATAGAAAAAATAAAAATAAATAACAGTTTTAATAAGATTTATATAGATTTGATTATTCTAGGTCCTTATTATTTTCTTCTTTATATTATATTTATTACTGAATATTATACTAAAGTTTTTTTACAAAAATATATTTATCAAATTTTAGTTTTAGTAAAACTATACTATTTATTTTTGTTTCCCTATTATGAACATTAAAATTTTATAAAACTTTTATTATTTTATAAATGACAGGAAACAGAGTGCTAATACAAAAATCACAGATACAATAACTAATAAGGCTAAACTAGAGTAATTTAGATAAAAAGAAATTAATATTATCTTTATTATAAATACTATAAATATTATACATAAATATAACCATTTGTAATTTGAAATATATTATATGCTCTTTAGCAGTAAACGAATTAAGAAAATAGAATTATAATATATTTTAATTAGTACATTTTAAATATATAATTAAATTTGGTAAAAATTAATAATATTTTATTTTTTTCTGTAAATTCATAAATAATTATTATCTATATTTAGCTCTGTTACTTAAAAATCTTAATTAACTTACTATTCAATATCTAACTACTATATTTTAGATCTTTTATGAAATGGATTTTAAGTATTTATTCTTTTGTTTAAATTTATTTATGGTTTATCAATTTTATTGGTGAATTATTAATTTAGTTTCTGTTTCTGCCAATTATACAGTTTTTTTTATATTTATTTAAAAATGTTATAAATAGTTTAAAAATAAATAAATAGATATATACCTCTTTTGCTTTAAGAAATTATGAAATTTTAACTTTAGGTCTCCCATATTTTGTTATATAAAGGTGAACAAGATTGCAAATTAGAACACTAGTTATTACATGCTACTTTGTCTTATTTATCAATTTATGAGAATAGATTAAGCATTTACATGTATGACTTTTCTTTTAAGTTTACTTATTCATTAAAAATTAAGTTTGTTAGTAATTAAATTAAATACTAAATTTAGTAAAAATTACTTTGTTGATCATTATAAAAATTAATTTTTTATTTTTAATAAATTCAATTAATAGAAATATCAGTAAAATAAAATTGATTTAGTATTTTATTTAATTTAGCCTTTTAAAAAAAATTTTTATATCAATTAATTATTACATCATTAAAATCAGTTTACAAATAAAATTGCTCTACCATTTTTTATTGCTGTATTTTAAAAAAAGCTCGAACTTTGAATAAAGTTAGTCATTTGATTATTTCCTAAGATCGCTATTGCTCCTCCATTAACTGCCTAATGAAATAATAATGTAAATATTAGATTTTATTGAGAATAAATTACTTTATTTTATATGAATTATGTGTTCTATATATTAAAATTTGAGTAAGCTAAAGATAAACAAGAGCCAAAGTAATTTTAAGAGCAAATAATTTCACTAAAAAATGAATTATCGTTAATCAAAACACTAGATCTGTTTAATTAAATCAATGAGTTATTTTTAATTTGTTAAGTTAAAGCATTATTTTGAAGAATCTTTTGAGGTTTTATTTAAAACATATTATTGAACCTGTTTTGACTAATCTCTAATTTGCTCTAAGTTATATCTATTAAACTTGGCAAAAACTAACATTTAGTTACATTTAATTTTTTTTACTAAAATAGTTGAATTTATCGATTTAATTAAAAGAGGTAGAGTCGATTCCTTCAAAGAAATTAAATTATAAAAATTTGTATTATTTATTGTAATGTTTGAATTTTCAGAATTAATAAATGTGCATGCTTATAAATTATCTGGAGCAAGTATTTTTGAAAATTGAATAGGATAATCATAATTCTACATATTATTGAAAGATGTTAAATTTTAAATACTGATATAAGCATCATTTGCATTAAAAAAAATAGAATCTTGGTTTCTTAAAATATTTGTTAATAAAGCATTGTTTATAGTGAAATTATATCCTAACTGACCTTATGTTGCTTGATTCCTTTAAATTAAACATTTTTATTTAATTTTTTTAAAAACAATAAATTATTTAATTGAAACAACACTTGATAATGGATATAGTGAGTAAATATCAGTAAAATTACACTTATTTATACTCAAGCTTATATAAGAATTTTAAGAATTTTATAAAAAAAATATGGACTTCCTACTATTATTCCGTTTGTAAATGATGACTATGATTTAATATATATTCAAAAAAAATAAATTTTTTCGCTTTTTAACTTTTTTAAGTAAATTTAATAAATATTATTTTATAAATGACAAGAAAAATACCAAATACAAAAATCACAGATACAATAACTAATAAAAGCTAAACTAAGGTCTTTTAGATAAAACGAAATAAGTACTATCCATATTACAAATACTATAAATATTATAAATACATATAACCTTTTATAGTTCAAAATATATTATATGCTATGAATCAAAAAAATTGAATTATAATCAATTTTAATTAGTATATTTTTAATATAAAATTAAATTTGGTAATATCTATATTTTTTTTTCTTCTGTATATTCATAAATAACTTTTTTCTATACTTCGCTCTGTTATTTAAAAATCTTAATTCACTTATTATTCATCATCTAACTACTTTATTTTAGATTTTTCATGAAATGGATTTTAAGTATTTATTCTTTTATTTAAATTTATTTATGGTTTATCAATTTTATTGGTGAATTACATAAATTTAGTTTCTATTTTTCTCAATTTTTCTGTTTTTTTTATATTTATTTAAAAAATTATTATAAATAGTCTAAAAATAAGTAAATAAATTTTTTATATATTTTACTTTCAGAAATTATTAAATTTTAATTTTATGTCTCCCATATTTGGTTTTATAAAGTTGAAAAAGATTGCAAATCAGAACTTTAGCTATTATATCGTACTTTGTCTTATTTATCAAGCTATGAGAATAGATTAAGCATTTACACGTTTGAGTTTTCTTTTAGGTCTACTTATTGGTTAAAAATTAAGTATGTTAATAATTAAATTAAATACTAATGTTAATAAAAATTACTTTTTTGATGATTATATAAAAGAAGATTGATGCTCAATTTATTATCTTTGCTAAATGATTAAAAATTTAACAGAATTCTTTTTATCTTTTTCTTTAATTCTTTATTTATTTGTTTTTTTTCAATTTTTTGTTCTTTTTTATGTAATAATTTATTTTTCAGATTAGAAAATATTTTTAATAAACTATGTTTCTTACTATCAATTACTCTTATTAAAATGGTTATAA